GATGTCACCTGTTCCTGTCATCCAGCACCAGCCTGGACCGCTCGACACTGAGTCCCACACTCGAATGCATGGTTCAAGGCTGTGCTTAATTGCTCAGTATTTATGTCAACTCATGTGTCTCTTTGTTGTTTGTTGAGCACCATGGTGAAGCTGCCTACATGTAGCTCCTGATGTTGCATGCGAATTGACTACTTATGACCTTTTTCGACATGTCTCTCTTGGCTCAGATGCAACAGGTTGAGTCGCATCTGAGCGGCGGGGACTCTGGCTCCAATGGCCGGGCCTGCCGCGCTTGCGACGGGAGTCGGCCGACCTGCGGGCCTTGTCCGCTGCTGGCGAGCTGGAGCGCACGCGGCTCCGGGTACCCTGGCGCGCTTGCTTGACTGCCGGATTACTGCATGCCGGACTGCATTGGACTACCCGCTAGTCACTATGAAAGTAATATATTTCATTTTCTTTGTTTTCTCTAACCTGCGTGTTGCATCATGCTTGTAACGCACGAATTCGTCACGTTTGCGCGATAAAGGCTATGGAAGCTTGGAACACTCCATCTGGAAAAAATATACAAGCATGAGGCCATTGCGACGCGCACAAACACAGACACACACCAAAGATGGACGTGAAGCGAATGCTACGCGGTAATTCACCGACACGGACCAACTATTCATCTGGTCACTCGCGGACACGGACCAACTGGTGCTTCGGCCACTCGCAAACATGAACGCGCACCGACTAGTAATTGGTGGACACTGGACAACGACTGGTGGTCATCCAATCACTTACGAACACCATCACCATTGATCAGGGAAATGAGGCGCCAGAGAGCGGGACGGAGCATCAGCGAGGGCCATGTGCGGAAGTACAAAACGCACTGCAGATGAACAAAACAACACAGCACACAGCTAAGGGAACCAATGTCCTGGACCTTGATGCGCATTATCCACAACTCAGTCGTTCAAGCAGCGTAAAACAGCGTAGAAAGGTGACCTGCGAAGTGCCATCCAAGGTCAGCGCTAGCGCTGCATAGGATCGTGCAGCTATAGCAATTGCTCGGCATGTTACTGCAATGGGTCAAACAGTGTTAGGACACTACCAAAAGCTGCGAACTAACTGCTATTAGATATTTAAATCGCATGGAGCTAGATATTTTGTCGGGTTGCGCATCAACGATTGACCTCTCTTGACCTAAGATGTCTTGACCTTGCGAGGGCGGCCAAAGCATTCAGAATACTTCAAAATGACAAACGTTAGGAATTTGACGTTAAAACTTTTCTCACGTCATGATGCTAACTTGCATGTACTATTGTTCACTTTAGAGTACACGTCACGTACAGAGTCTTGTGTAGACGAGAAACGCCCTGTGCCGTTTAGGTAAGACACTAGAAATTTGCACACCATGGGAAACAATTATTTTACCTGAGCTAGCCGAAATATAATCCTTGTTCGAGATCGTTCAGATGTTATTCGAAAAGAACACAGGATCCTCTCGTCGGGTGGATGTTACAGCTGTAAAGATTCTTACTTTGATGTCAGCTGTGGGAATCATTCCTGTGCTTCTTTTCAAGACGCTGATCATCGAAATAATGTTAAGTCATTGTTGTGTAATACAGGCTATAAAAAGTATCTAGCCAGGGTGGCGCCCAGATTTCGAATTGGGGAGGTCAAGATTTCAAAGGGGGATTCCTGGACAAAGTGAGGTCTCACAGGGCGGCACCCTGAACAGTGTAGTGTTCATGGGGCGGGGCATCAATGGCATATACTGCTTTATCAAACAGCTATATGCATTAAGTCTAAGTAAGTAAATGTCGACAATGAAAAAAAAACAGATTGAGGGCATCTGATTACCCAATAAACGGTATCGGTCGGCAACCTAAAACAGAGACTGCTGGTGCATAGCGGGGTATCTTCTGATCTAGAACAGAATGCTTCCAATTCCCAAAGGGAGCCTCCAAATCTAGCCAAGGGGCCTCGTTATTGCAAAACTGGGCGTACTGATTCGGAAACGCGGCCATCTCATGCATGAAAAGGCCTCCTGTTCCAGAAACGGGGTTACCTGTTCCAGAAATAGGGCTTGCTGAACGTAGAGAATGCCTCCTAACCCAGAACATGACCTCCTAGTTTATAACGGAGGCCTCCCGAGGCAGCAAAGGGGCCTCCCGAGGTGTCAAAGGGGCCTCCAGAGACAGCAAAGGGATCTCCCGAGACAGAACTGCGGCTTATTTAGCACAAAATTGTGTCGCCTGTTCTAGAGCGTGGAGTTTCTGACTCCTGAAGGTGTCCCTTTAATCCAGAAAACGGGCCTCTTTATGTTGAAAGGAGTCCCCTGAGCCCGATTCATCATTCTCTAGCTCAGTCATGGGGGCCTCCTTGATCTGAATATTGATAGTCTACGGGCGGTTAAAATGATTTAGGCCGGGAAAAAGGGCCTCCACCAAAAATGTGAAGCGGGCAAACACATTCTCTTTCCCTCTATGCCACCCTGCTGCGCCGCCCCTATATCTAGTCGCTATAAACCGAGGCCATCAAAGTGAATGGGTGAGATGACTGACATGACTGGCAGCCTCACAAGGGACTGAATTGGCTGAAGTCGTCCAGCGTCCGCGCCAGCTGAATTTTAAGTCACGTTTGCAGTTTTGCAGAACCAAGTGGAAAATGCTCTCTGTATCGGCTGACGTACGGCTGCCCTAAATGGTGTTTTCCTCTCTAATTTTGACCAGCTTTTCGATTTCCAGAAAATTGAAACGCCAACTCTGTTCACATATTGAATTCCTTGTTGGACAGTGGAAACCGCTTCTTGGGTGCCCTTTGTTTGTGAACGCAACTACAGAAACCCGCACACTCCAACGGTCGAACGCTGCGCACAAGCAGTGTCCGGAGCTATGAGGCTGAACAAGGGAAAAGTACGTGAAAATACGAGACGAGGGTACCCGAAAAGACGCTCCACGAAAACACCGTGCAGCAGTCCACAATCTGTTGTGCCAGTGAATGACGAATATGGCAGCTTGGCTGTTTTTGGCAGCACAGCTGAGCAGCCATATCTTCGAAAGAAAAGGGTCGTATGAAATTAACCTTGCTTTGCAAGAAGTGCATAAAAATCTAAAGCCATCCAAGTGAGTCCATTGATTACCTTTGAATTCAAATGATCTCATGTCATCCGATTTCCTTCTGGTCTGCCGGTATGAAAGTCACTTACCTTCGACATCTTAGTGGTTAGCAATTTTGAAACGCTTTTGTTCCTATCTAAATACATGGCTAGTTATGTCGCAATGCGTTTTCTTCTGCCTACACTGCATGAGTTGTGCATGAGCATGGTGTTAAAAGACGGAAAGCAGATTCCTGCCGCCTTGGGAGGCCTGAGCTCGGCACTGAGGAACACCAGCACTGTTGAGCATAATGTCATACACTCTTACAGACAATACTTGATGTTGGTCAATTACAGCGTGATCGTTACGTCAGGGAACCATTTTGCACGCTAACTCATGGGAAAACAGATGCGATCGGTGCTAAGGCACATTTTTAGGCAATCTGGTTGCAGCTGGCTTCATCCGCTTCGTTTTAATTCTCACTAGCATGGTCTTAATGCTACCTTAGTTGTCGCCTCTCGCTAGTCCTACGCCAAAGAAGGCGTCTTGCGGGCTTATCATTCTGAGTTATTTATTATGCATTACATTTCCCATTAAATAGTTGTTTTGCACTCGACCGGGATATGATTTAGTTGAAGGGCATGTCACACAATTGTATGGGTTTTGAACCGCCAATCCGTCTCAAAGATCATTCGGCGCAGTCCACAGACCTGCCCCTCTTGAGACCTAAGGCGCGCTAGTTTTTGAGCTGCACGCCCGAGAAGATGTGCATACTATTTCGGGGAAACTATTTCAATGTCGCTCAGGCATCCATGACGTCATAATAGCGTCACTCCAATCCTGTCATTCCATTCGCCATGCGACGATCAAGACTAAGAAAAACATTATTGTCGAGTCGTTGATAACTGGCGTTCGTGAACACAATTTCTGGATGTGAACGGCCGTCAACTGGTTCTTAATCACTGTGCAAGGTACGATGACGTACTTAAACAGTGACGTGTTGAGGAACATATTTACAATACAGAGAAATTGTGTTGTGTATAACAGTCTTCCATTCATAAGTACAAAATGTATAAGTAGGTTTTTTCCATCCTATCTGATGCTTGCTTCAATATCTTCATATGTGGAACATTTTCTTTCGGAGGTGGCGACACATCTGCTCCAGAAACACAACTGAAAGTACAAGCATATGAATCTCCAATCGGCAACTCGAGGGACTCTTATTTTTGTCTCACGGTCCAAATGCTCCTTGTACAGGCCTCTATCTTGGCAATGTCCTCATTTGTGCGCCGGCCATGTCCCGGCTAGTGGCCGAGCCTATGTCTCTATCCGTGTCCCAGTCCGTGTCCCGTTCCGTGCCGACGCGTGTTGCCGCTGTGCCCCACAACTCTTATGCTCCGTATCCAAGTGTATGTCCTGGTCGTGTGTGAGTCTGTGTACCGGCCATGTCCGGGCTAATGTCCCAGCCCATGTCTCTATCCGTGTTCCAGTCTGTGTCACGTTCAGTGCCGGTCCGTGCCCCGGCCGACCGCGTTCCAGCCCATGTCTCTATCCGTGTTCCAGTCCGTGTCACGTTCAGTGCCGGTCCGTGCCCCGGCCGACCGCGTCCCAGTCCATGTCTCTATCCGTGTTCCAGTCCGTGTCACGTTCAGTGCCGGTCCGTGCCCCGGCCGACCGCGTCCCAGCCCATGTCTCTATCCGTGTTCCAGTCCGTGTCACGTTCAGTGCCGGTCCGTGCCCCGGCCGACCGCGTCCCAGCCCATGTCTCTATCCGTGTTCCAGTCCGTGTCACGTTCAGTGCCGGTCCGTGCCCCGGCCGACCGCGTCCCAGTCCGCTGACGGTAACGCGCTCGGCGCCGCCGGCCGTATAAAGCGGTCGGAGGGCCGCCCGGCGGCCAGAGCGGCGCACCATGGGGCACCGGCCGGCCGCCGCGCTGTTGGTGCTGGCCTGCGCCGCATCCGCCGCGGCCCGAGCCCCTGCCAGCCCCAGACGCCATCACGTCACCCTGCAACCCCAGATGGACCTCCAGATGCGCTGGGTCGTCGACTACAGGCGAGTCCGCTGGTGGCCACCCGCTGCGGCCTCGAGCCTCGCACGCTGGCGTACCGTTACGTTGCCTGCGAGCATTGGCTGCCCGACACTTGCCGGCTGATGATTGTGTGTGGAGGTCGGTATTGGCGATGCGTAATGTGTTCTTTAGTGAAACAAACGCTGCACATCGAGAAAAAAATTGATTAACCGCGTTACTTATCCGCTACGACGGTGTTCTGGCAGGCACGTAGTAGTCCGATGTCTCCGTCGTTTAAAAAGTCGGCTGCGATGCGACAGCCATGGGCGTCTAACATCTCACTTGGTCGTTCCTACCACCCATCAGACGGGAAGAGGTCGAGATAGAAGTCAGTGCTGAGATAAGCTCCAGCCAATGGCTTGGGATCGGTTTCTCTGACCGGGGCGACTTGGCCGAAGCCGACCTCTGCGTTCTCTGGGTCGACTGGCGGAGACACGTGCGCATACAGGTGGGCACGGAGCGGCACTGCCGCAGCGCAGGACCACTGCCTGGCCGGATCAGAACACGTACCCTGTGGTTGTGCCTTACTGCAGACTGTATTAATATGTGTCTGTATTCACGCGTGAAGTTCTTGCTTGAAACTGTTCATGCATGCTCGCAGTTCTTCACCAGAAAAACTTAATAGCATTCGCTTCGCTTGATGCAATCAATGAAAATATCCATGTTTCGTAGGTAATGCGGCAAACGGGCGTGACATACAACAATAATTTTCTACTTGAACACGAAAAAAACAGGGCTGTGCTTTTCTTGTTCGCTCGGCATCCTTCTTTTTGCAATTGTGTTTTCTTCAATACTATGTGACTGGAGTATCATGTGTTTGACATTGGCACATTGTTATTGATGTGTTGGAAAAGTTACTCAATTTGGTTTCGTTATAAAATGTGGGCATTTCGGTAAGTCTTGTGGTACTATCCACAGGGTCCACATGCATGCAATGTTAAATTTTTTCTCTAAGCCTTGCTGATCGTTGCTACCAACCGCCAAACGGAAACCGGCCAAGAAAAAGTTCAGTGCTGGAATGTCCAGTCATTGATTCAAATTTTCTGTTCATTCAGTTTCTAATATCTGTGGTTCAGTTCTGAACTGTATAATATTGACCCAGTGAAAGGTACAGCAGGATGCACCACGATATAGGTACATTATATCTGAATCGCACTGAGTAACTTTTCCAATTAGACGCAACCATGCAATGCTTGCCCTTTTACTTTGCATCGGTTCTGCAAAGATCTGGCCTTGGTATCAACCCTACGTGAAGTAAGTTCGCCATAGCCGGATTTTCATTATGACAGCTCTTTTGGTTTGTTTATTGCCAAAGGCAAATCTAGAAAGAATACACGCATTGTTTCTGTTTTTTGCTGGTTTTTTTTTTTGCTTTTTGCTTTTCTGGGGTCATTATTTTCCATTCTACTTTTTCAATTCATATTTTCTTCTTTTCCTGAGAAAATGAAATAGGAGACCCTGCTTTTGTGAGGTCCAATCCCTTCAAAACCTTATTGGAGTAGTCATACCAGTTTGAACTTCCATCTTGGCGTAAAAGAATATCAACTTCCAGGAAGCATCGTCCTGGAACTCTAGTCTGGACTGCCTTTCCTAGTTAAGGCAGCCTGAAAAAATGGCGTGATTCTGCAAAACACAATAACGAGGTCAGGCTTCAAGCTAGGCTTATGTGGGATGCGGTGTGGGGGGCGGGGCATAGTGTTCGGGCGCTCGGCTCTGGACCTGTGGGTCTTGGGCTCTGGCGCCTCCCACGGCACCACCGCATCCTAGGTACCGAGCGAGGGCGTTCGTCTCGAAATGGCTCTGGCAGTCGGTGAGACGTAAAGCTCCATCGTTAAGGCTTAGCTGAGGTCAGCCTAGGTGTAGCGCCCAAAGCGGAAGAGAAGAGGAGGAGAAAGAGAAGGAGAAGAGGGTAGGAGGGTAAAGGAGAGGAGAAGGGCGGGAGAAGCCAAATTGGGCTATGTTCGTGAGGGCCCCATTAACCAACAGACAAACGTAAGAACTTGAAAACGTGTCAAATTTGATGAGGCTGTTACCACTTTTGGCTGGGTCTCAGGATTTCTAGCTTTTGGGATGGCAGGCGAGTCATTGAAATGACACAGGCACTTTGGAAATTTCCGTTCTCCAGCAAGATTCCTACAGGGCTCTACCCACTGCCCGTTATAGTGGAAGGAACGGTTTGAACTGCTTTGGCGATTTCTTCGTCAGACGAAACAGACCAAAGTCACTGCAAGGCGAAGCTTCGTGTTATAGATGCCCATACGTCCTGATTGAACGCTACCACCACGCTCAATTGACGCAGGAAGCACCTGTATCTGTCACCATCGCCTGCACTCGGCGCAGTCGGACAGACAATCCATTAGCGCTGGGCCAACCCGAGGTGTCGCGCTCGTGAGACAGGTGCCTGCCATCGCGACCGACGCGGCCGTGGTATTTGCTCATATGCCGCCGGTTTGCTGAGCAATGAGATTGCCGGAATGTGATCAGGCGGCGGAGGGGGCTGATGGCACGCGCTTATTGCTCGGCCCTGGCGCCGCGCGCCAAATGACGCGTGCCACCGCTGGTACGTGACACCGGCGCCGGCCCGGCCCGGGGGACGGGGCCAGGGCCGCACAGAGCTGCTGGCGACCGCCAAGGCGTCAACAAGGGTGGAGACGACGGAACGAGGCGCAGAAAGGGGAGAAGGAAATACATGAACATGGATATGGACATGTAAAGTGAAAGAAGGATAGGAAAGCATAGAGGGGATTTAGGACAGGAATAGGGGAGAGATTCAGATAAATGGAAAGTACTGAGAATAAAAGCATAGCATGTGCGTGTGCACATCCCCGCTGTATATTTTCTGCATGTAAGTTCATGCGCTCCAGCTAGAGGGCCTTGCTGCAGCACGCTTGGGTGGATGACGGAGGCCGTCTATTGGTGGATGCGGAACAACGTCACCTGGAAGCCAAGCTCATTCGTCGTCACCACAACAAAACAACGTTCCAGTTCAGGCGACCGTTCAACACGTGCCAACCGCGAGACTACGTCATAGAGGTGGGCAATCTCAGATACGAATATTCAACCATGTTTTGAACGGCTCTTAAATGTCATTTGGTGATCTAACGCATGTGTTTCATCTTTGAGGCTTGTTTGAAAAGCATACTCTGGTGAAACCTCGGGACTAGTTACGTCTAATGATAGCATAAGGTGGTGCCACTGCAGCACCATCAAGACCTAGTGGGGATAGCAATTCTAAATACTTTCCAAATTATGCTGTCAACGCTTTGCATCAACATTACGTTTCTCCCCTGCAGTCACAAACGCCGTCGCCATGATAACGAACTTGCGCACCTCCACCGGTGCGAATAAAAAAAAAACGTTGGTGATTTACCCAACAGGCAAGGGTCTGTTACTGAGAAGTTGAATGGTGGAAGTTTGAACCAGTGCGACCCATGGATCACGTGATATTCCCATTCCCCAACCCAAAGTGCGCCTCGAAAAGAGCCACGATGGTAAACGCCATGGGGGTGAAATGAAGCTAATAACAAAACGTTTCGTCGAATTCGCTGGATAATAGCTTCCTGTTAGCATATTTTTTTAACGGTTTTTCAAGCTTTCGTGGCATTTTAACACAAACATTTTGGCGCATTAGTGTGCCGCGCACAGAACACGTACGTTGAAAAAAGCAAGGCAGATTAAATGTATTGCTTTGATATTGGTGAGCAAGGAGTCAAATGCGGCTCTTCCGCAGGGTCGGCTGCTTCAAATCCAAATTATGAGCTTTTCAGGTGAATTTCGAAATAGCTAACGTTACTGATCAAATCGTACTCGTTTGATGTAACAATTAGTGAAAAGCACAAAGAGGTGGATATTCCCTTTAACCAAAATATGTTGCAAGATTGGGACCTGAGCTGCACATGACGTTTGTTGTTCAATGGGCCAAAAGAGCACTTACTTAGTCTAACAAGTGGTGCTATGCACAAAGCTTATTGTGGGAAATGATACCGCCACAGAGTCTGATTGACAGTGCTACATTTCGGTATCGCTAAAATCCACAACATTATTAGTACAGCATAAGTATTCCCTTCATTTTTACTTCACGGCGTAAATATTCCAGTTCTTCTGTCACTCAGACAGAGGAACTCATTCGTAACACATAAATCGCCAACCTGTCTTCGACGTGAGCAGGCCATGACAGCGCTGGCCCGTCTACAAGCTACCACCACCCGTGACTTCGGACACCGGTGGTTAAGCTGCGCGTCTGGGAAACCAGAGGTACAGGGTTCGATCTCCCGCGGTGCCCGCTCTTCCTGCCAGTGTGAGAGGCAGGCGACGCCACAGAGCTTCAGCGCTGGGTGCGTCGTAGAGCCCCGACGACGACGGACGATCCGTGACGTGACTGGCCCGGCCCGCAGGCGGGCACCACTCACGTGGTGTGGGTGACTGGGCCGGGGCCGCTGCTGACCCTGGACCGGGTGCAGCTCACGCACTTCTCGTCGGGTCTGGTGCGGCTGCAGCTGCTGCGACCCGAGCTAGCGGCGCCGCCTCTGCCGGCCGGCGTCGCCCACTTGGACGTCCCATCGCACCGCGTCCACGTGCCGGCCCAAGAAACCACCTACTGGTGCACCGTGCATAAGCTGCCGCCGACCTTCTCCCGCAAACATCACGTGGTTCAGGTGAGTCGTTCACGTGACAGGCGGGGTCGGCCGCGCGAAAGCGTGAAGACCGGACGCCACGCATCACCTAAGAACAGGACTGGTTATGCCTAGGCGTCGTTCAGCGGCGCAATAATTGTAGTTTGCCCATTCACAAACGCAAGAGTTTGTGTCATGTTTTAATGTATATATATATATATATATATATATATATATTGTGTGTGTGTGTGTGTGTGTGTGTGTGTGTGTGTGTGTGTGGTGTGTGTGTGTGTGTATGTGTGTGTGTATGTATATCGCCAGTCAACGGCAGGGCCATGGGTCCATGTGGCCCAAGAAATTCACACCGGACAAAAGGCGATTGCAGAGGAACTTCGTCCAAATCCACAGGACATAATTGGTAAGGAAAAAAAGAACACAGGGCACACAGGAGATACTCGACATCACCGCAAGAAAAATTTTGGCTATGTGCTTGAGACACTACACTTGTCCATAGTAAATGCACAGACGCATGCTCAAGAGCTGGGCGGAGCTTCCTGCCGTGTGATTTTCGCGTGTACACCCTTATCGCCTGCATCACGTGTTTACATTTACAACATATCCGAGTGCCGATTGCTTGCAGTACGAGGCAGTTGTCGAAAAGGCCAACGAAGACCTGGTACACCACATGGAGGTGTTCCACTGCGAGGCACCCGTCTCCGAGACGATCCCCAGCTACCAGGGGCCCTGCCACGCGCCCGACAGGCCTCCCGCCATCGACAAGTGCAAGCGGGTGCTCGCCGCCTGGGCGATGGGTGCTGCTCCCCTGGTGTACCCAAAGGTCAGTACCCCAGGATACCCGGGTGTCAGAGCTCCGGTGAACTTCCACGCGAGGGATCGGGGTATACATATATCGGTCATCTGAGAGTGACCACAGGTGTACCTTGGTAAACTCTGAAGAACTCTGGTAACCCTGGTGTACCAAGCACATCCTAGAACCCTGGCTGAGGTTGCAGAGGCCCTAACCAAGAGGTCGAGCCCCCGGTGTACTTGCTCATAGGTCAGCACCCTTCGTTTACCTAAAAATAAGAAGAATGGTTGCACTCATAGGTCAGGCCTCGAGGTGCACTCATAGGTCAACACCCCAGTTGTACCCACGTCTGTGCATCTCTAATACACCGACGGGTGAGCACCCGTTGCGCAACCGAATAAGAAATGAAATGATGATGGCTAGATACCTAGATTTATCTGATGCATTGCAAGCTACCCGCTCGTTCAATGCGAAGTAAACATAAGCAAGCACACTCTTCTCCGTGACATTCCTCTAGTGACGTACTTAAGGAAATCAACAAACTGTTCCGCCTGGCCGATCTCATGCAGCTAGATGATAGACGCAGCCTGTTCATGTTGGTCCAGTCGGTAACCAGGTCTGCCTGTCCACTGATCCAGCAGACGTCCACTTCGTTATCCTGTCAAGTGTCCTGACCTTGTTCAACGTCGCACACCTCCAACCACTGCCACATGTTTTTCTCGGCGTCTTTCCATTAACCTTACACGCCGTTCTCCACTCAGGAAGCAGGACTTCCAATCGGAGGCAGTAACTTCAACCCGTACGTGATGCTGGAGGTACACTACAACAACCCCAAGCTGGTTCAGGGTGAGCTCCGAGAAGTAATGCGACGAAAATCCTTCGTTGACAGTTTTTTTCGTTTTGATCACGGACGCCATTTGATGGCCGCGTCTCCTGTTTAATCCTCTGCCGATACCTGGTATTTATCATGTGTGTCTGTACGACGCCTCGCGCTGCCGTGACGAACGTGGCGCGCTGGCGACGGACGGCTGTGCGTGTCGTCGCCAGGCCGGATCGACAGCTCGGGGGTGAGGCTGACCTACACCGACCGGCTGCGGAGGCACGACGCCAGCGTCATGGAGCTCGGTCTGGAGTACACCGACAAGATGGCGATACCGCCCGGCCAGCCGGCCTTCGAGCTCTCCGGGTACTGCGTGCCCGAGTGCACGGCTGTGGTATGTGCACGGATCCGTCGCGGGCGACGTGTGCCTGCGCGCCGACGGGAAAACGGCGTTGAGCCAGTAGGATATGCGCCAGAGTTCCGTTGCTCTCATTGCTCTGCATTGTACGCGCATGTGTTTTTAGCAGCCGCTTAGGCACCATGTGGAAGCCGCTGCTGGACGACGTGAGAAAGCTGCGGACAGTTCGCAGCAAGTGATCGCATCTGATATCTGAGTATCCTAGTGACACAGACACCCCGGCTGAGCTACGGGCCGTGCTGGGACGGCAGCCTGCCGTGGCGGCACGGTCTGAAGCTGCCGTCTGTGCTCGCCGCTGAGCCAGGGCCTGCCGGAGGACGGCATCCGGGTGTTCGCCTCCCAGCTGCATACCCACCTGACCGGCGTCGCCGTGCGGACGGCACACGTTCGCCGTGACGGTGTCCAGCTGCCCGACTTGAACGGCGACAACCACTACTCCTCTCACTACCAGGAGATCCGGCTGTTGCCCCAGCAGCGTGCTGTGATGCCGGTGAGCTCCTGCTGACTGCTGGATGAGTGGTGGAGTCTGACTTGAGTCTGTTGAGGTCTGATTGATGTCTGGATGGGACCCGGTGCAATTCTGGCTGAGGTCACGTTGAGATTCGGCTGAGGTCTAACTGAAACGAAGCTAAGGTCTGGCTGAGGTCTGGGTGGAGACTGGCTGAAGTCGTCCTTGATATCAGCCCACCATTAAAGGAAGCAAATGATCAACGTGACGAAATTAGCAGAATCGTCGTGCTATGCTTTTTGTTCTGGCATGGCCATGCCCTCAATCTATAACTTAACATCATACAAAGGACTTCCTGACCGACCCGAACACTGGCTTCCGGGATACCCGACGGGAACCGGATGTGATGTCCTGTCTACTCATATATAGGTATATATGAGTCATGGGAAACAAACTTCATCTGTAAACCAATTTTCGAGCAGCGACATGGGGTGAATCGTTCATAGCCATGACTGAAATCACTCGGTGACCGCTCGATCTTTTCCCAGCCCTTCTTATACGCATGTGCGTATTGTAATATGATTGGGATTGCCTGAGGAACTATATTTTATATGTTTTAAGAGGCAATTGTAAATCAATGAGGATAGCATTAACTCGAACCAAGACAACCACTGCCATGACGTTTACCAACTTTGCGCCCTAAAGGCATCAGCCCAAGTTGATGAATCACACCAAAGCAGTGAAAGCAATGATGGGAAAGCGTCATTTTAGACATTTTTTATGCCATGAGCCCACGATCTGCCTACTACGACACAATCAGCGACTGTCCAGCTGCAAAACAATGTGAAATCCGCCACGGCCCCGGCTTCACTTTCGACGTGTTGCATTCAGCGCAGTTTTTTTTGTTTTGTTCTAAACGCCGACATTCCAGGCCGGCCTGTCAGACGGTTACTTGCGTAACCGTGCGTCGTTCAAACTCGTCCCTCTAACTCTAAGCATAGTCCATGAGGATTGAGAAGCAGATATGTACAACATGCAACGAATGCATATGGCAAATATCTGCAAATATATACAATGCAACGAAAAAACACATTTTCGATCGTCTAAAAGTAAATTTTTCAGCTTTTCATGTTATCAATCAGCGACCTCATTCACAAACATGAACCAAACACAAGGCCCGTTATCAAAACGATTGCAAGGCTGCTCAGAAGATTGATTCATGCCAAACAGGGTTGGTTGCTAAGCCAAGAGTAAATATGTAAGTTGTATTATATGCAAGGGGAATTGTACATCCTGGGCTCTGCACGTTTGCTCGATTGTTTGAATCAAGTAATTTCCTGGCTTCGTCAAGTCGTAGATCAGTTCGCCAGTGGCCATTAAGATAATTCTCAGACAGTCAACGTTTCAAGGAAATGGGCTCCCTATTTTCATAGTAATACGGCTTAGATATGCGCAGCCTATACCGGCATAATGAGATATTAAACTTGGTTTACGAGATATAGTTTTAAAGGCACTGCCAGTTAGCGTATTACACCTAAGCATATCAGTTCAGGATACAAAAAAACTTTCAGGCTGTCTTCTTCCCGTACCGTTACCTCCGCGATGAGCTTCAGACACTGGTCACCCTGATAGAACGAGGTGTCTGAACAAAGACACGGTGACGCATGATTTTAGCTGTCTGTTAAGGTGAGGCACCCTTTCTCCGACGAGGATAGCTTTCTGGACTTGCGGATGGTGTTTGTTGGAACACGACGTTAGGATTCGGATGTTTTCGGTTAGATCAGACCGTAAATTTTTTTTGTTGGTCGTGAGTTTCACGCATATCCTGCTGTGGCGCCCGCCCGTGCGAAGTTAGGTATCGTGATGGGATGTCGTAACCATACCAATAAAGGTTGAGTGGCGGAGCTGGCGGTCTACGTATGGGCATTTGACCTCGTAGACTATATTGGTAGATTTAAGTCTGTTTTGTGCATAGGCCAGGTTGTTGATTATCACTAAACTACTAGTTATAATACGTGTGTAGGAGATGGTGAGTCTTATTTCGGTGCTTTTGTTGGTGGGCTTGATGTGTTTTTCTAATGGTGCTCTGTACAAAGTTTTGACAACCTTTTATCACGGAGACATCTTATTTCGATAACATGAGCGGGTGATTTAGCTTCATGGCGTAAATTAATCGATGATCAGCGCGGTAAGCTCCCTGACGGGTGGATAGCACTTTGCAAAGGTCGCAGGTGAATTAGACCCTGGAGACCGGTACGGTGATGTAAAAACACACAAAACAGACAATCCGTTGATACCGATTCTCTCTCGAATGCACACGCATACCTACCAGCAAGAAAATACCCTAAATGGCAGCATTGAACGGCAACACCAACTGACTGTAGCCTAAAATCAACGGGGTAGTTCATTTCTATTATCAAGTCTAGCAGCTGAACTAGCTAAAGCTTATAAGCTTCACTCGATGTAGAAATATTCTTCGCGAATGTGCCGGTTGATAAAGGAATTCAGGTTATACTAGACTGTGGCTGTCATCACTCGTCCTTGCCACCACCGAAACTATCACGATCCAGCTAAGCGCATCACTTAGGTGCACCGCAAACCCACCGATGCTGTTAGATGCATGGATGCGATCAGTTAATGCCCAGGGCGTTATCACACGGGCGTAATCGGATATCTTTTTTCAAGAGGTCTCAAATATTGCTCTGACTGGTCTAGCACTCACCAGGAGCTTGAACGATGTCAATGACTGTTAGTGAATAACGGCTGCTGCGAGAGCGCAGTTGACCAAGGGACCAGGACCACAATGAGTCGCCGAAGCCGGAAACCACAAGTCATGAAGTTCAGTTACCAGCTTTTTTATAGAAATTAAATATCCCCGAAGACAAGTTGACAAAAATTTTACAGAGCATTATTACGACCATCATGAAACCGACCGTTTAAAACACCAAAATAAGGACTGCCATCTATTGCGCAAGCAAAACAACTGATAATCTATCAATGAAAAACAACCTGCTCGCAGCACAAAACCAGCTAAAATGCACCGATAGAGTCTAAAAATTCAAATATCCATAAGATGACTCCCGACTCTGCCACTGGACCTATGTGGGTGTGACTACGACTACCCAATCACGACGCATGACTATGCATCTGCAGGAGGGGGCGCCAGATCATCACGTGCGCAATGCTAACACTAAAAAACTCTTACGCTCTTCGCAATTTTGTCGCAATTCTGAGCAAGCGAGCGTTAAGAAAGTATGATGCAACAAAAAAAGTGCGCATAAATGACTTTTGACCACCAGAAGTGACAGGCAAAGACCTGGCTGAGGTCTGACTGGGATCTGGCTAAGTTCCGGCTGTGGTCCGGCTGGGTTTGGTTAAAAGCATGGTAACGGTGCCTTTTTTGTTTGGCCATATGAAAAAGAGTTGTTGCCGATGTTTGCCTAGGTCTTGATTTTCAGCATTGGCTTCCCAGCAGTCAAGCATGGCATGGCCAGTTACTTGACAAATTTGAAGTTCCTAAATCCCGGACAGCTTTGTGACAACAACACGCTGTCCGTGCACATGTTTGTCTCACTGTTCCGCCGTTCCGTCAGGGCGACGCTCTGATCACCACCTGCCGATACAAGACCGTGGATCGGACCAACGTGACGGTGGGCGGCTTCTCTATCACGGACGAGATGTGCGTCAACTACATTCACTACTTTCCCAAAGTCAATCTGGAGGTCTGCAAGAGCTCGGTCGACTCAGAAAGGCTTATGGCGTATTTCGAGTTCATGAAACAGTGAGTGACGTTGGCCGGTATGCAACCATCATCTGTTTTCACAGACATAAGCATTACATATTTGAATCTGATCCTGCTTCCAAATCAACATATTTAAAAGATTATTCATTTACCGAGAAAATTCTGTGTCGGTAACCGTCAGTTGCATTTAAATGTGTTCTTCGATTGCGTGCAAAAGCTGGCTACACATGGCTTACCCTGCCTGTGAACACAGGAGCGATGGATCAAAGTTCACAATTTATTCAGACAGCAGCTTTTGTTCTTGGACTCATCGAATATTGCAAGACATTTCTTCGTCTACTGGGACATAACCGCAGCATGTACTCATTTCCTTCTACGGTTCCAGGTGGGAGGGTCAGCCAACGGGGGAGAAGAATTTGGGATGGGGCGACAACTACCGACGCATCAAGTGGAACAAGCTGAGAACGCAGGGTCTGCGCCAGGTTAGACAGCTGACGAATGGTGCCACGTCGACACATAACAGCTGAAGTAGTGCTAGTCTGTTGTCCATTTAAAGGATATGTGTACCAGTTCTTCAACACGTCACTTAGTCATGTTCAGCCTACCGACGTAGACATTTGTGGCCAGGAGTGCAGAGACAGCGGAGACCAAGGAGACGAGCCCCAAAGTTTCCGAAACTTTAGCATATAGCGGCAATAGCTAAGGGTGCTGGCTGGAAAAAAAACAACTGCAAGTGTCGATCGGCCTCTTCAACTTTGAAGGACTTCTGTTCCCTTTGGCAGTGGCGAATCTGACTTAAGTACCGTCACTACACTAAGCAAAAGGGATTTTTGTGATGAGCTTCTAATAGCCAGCTTCAGCTTTGGGGGCGAGCTGAGCGTTGCAGACATTTGGCGGCACCGCTGAGCTCACACCAGTCTTTCCTCTCCCCAGTTTTACGACGAATCGCCGCTCTCTATGCAGTGCAACCAGAGCAACGGAGACCGGTTCGCAGGCTTCTGGGAAGCGATACCGCTGCCCACAGTCCAGCTGCCGCTGCAGGAACCATCGCCCTGTCCTGCAGCGTACTGAACGATTTCTCGTCCTCCCCCTCCCCCCCCCCCCCCGCCCCCTATCGCCGAGCGGCCGACGGTGCCGCCTGCTGTGCGCGGCTGCTTCCCTCGACCCAATGGTCCGTCACAAGAAGGGGAACTAGACAGTCTGCTGGGAAAAATGTTTATGAAACACATATAGATATGAAAGCCAGTCCTCTTTTGAGTTTTGGGGCATACTCTGATATTTAGACAAGAAGAGGCTGTAATAATTGTGTTCGCATTTGTCAGCTAGAACTTCCTCATGAATTAGAACAAATGACCTCCGAGACTGGTCTGAAATTTAGAATCCGCACCTTCCGTGATCTGCACTCGTAACCAATCTGTAATTAATCTAAAAACATCATTGTGCAGCGCAATAAAACTGCAGGTCTTTGACTTATGGTCCTGTCCCTTTATGCATTGTTATGGTTTGTGTTAATCTGTAGATTCGTGTATATATGTGCAACGTGTATCCGTGCGAACTGGGACCAATAAACGCAACAGCATCTCGGCAGCTTTTTAAGAATAGGAAACTGAATCACCTTCTTTGAAAAAATTTAGTCACATATCCTGGTGACGTTGCACTAAATATAACAACAACTGGTTGCGGACATAGTCGTCTGGTCTACAAACTGATTACTCTTTAACGCAGACTGCATCAAAAAGTTCTCAATTGCCAGTACCTGTGTAAAGTTATCTCCTCTTCCCTTGATTTGTGTAGTCAAACTGGTTGCGAAGGTCATAGCCTGCACACTTACTATTTATTTTTTATTTTTGTTATGCTCAAGAGCAGATTTTTACATCTTTCGGACAAGAAGTCGAATGAAAAAAGTCGGATGGGTAAGTCGAAGAACAAATATTCGAAGGAGATATCATGCGGCGGGGATAAGAGTCAAACTAGGAAAAATATAGGGACAAGTCAGAAGGCGTGTAACATGGCTAAATGTTGACAAAGATAAAAGTTGAAAGAAATGGAACTCGTCAGGCATGAAAGTTGAACTGGAAAAAGTTAAAAGCGATGTGCGTCGGCGGAAGGAAAAGACTGGAAAACCCTTCAAAGAACAGCAAGACGACGGCGATGCCATTGGAATCAGGAAAGTAGTAAGGGATGGAATTCGACATGCTTAAAAGCCGGATTGAGCCAAAGAAATATAAAAGTCGACGGGAATGCAAGTCGGATGAGAAGCAAATGAAACGAACAAAACTTTGACATGGGTTAACATCGATTTCTAAAACATCACAGATGTAGGTAGCAAAAAGGATTCAAGACTTGATGGTATGACACCTGGCATGCAAAGGAATGCTGCTGCTAGGGAAATACATGAAAATGGGTTCCTGCACTCGGATGCATCCGCAATTTCAATAGGTTTTGCTACCTTGCATCTCTAGGACCTCTTATTTGTTGTCGCCCGCGGCCATCCGGCAAAGGATCCAGTCAGGAAGCCAGCCTTCGAGCCTTCACGACCGAGCCGAATGGAGCGCATCAGAAGGCTATCAGGTAACCAATCCTGCTATGGGCACTTCGCTAAACTCTATCTCTTTCCATAAAAATGCCTTTCTTGCTACTTTCTGGGACGGTCGCGAGTAACACAGGCGCCCACAGCAGAAGCCGGCGCGCAGCGGCGGCATTCATCGCGAATACAGTGATTCCGTTAGTCCTAGTGTCGGAAAGGCACGTGCCTTGTTCCCAGTATTGGTTCCTGGTTCCAATTTCCTATTCTGAAAATGAGATCTTGCATCTTTGGGTCCGGTTCGTTGTTTCACAAACCGACCCACTGGTTCCTGAATCCTATTAATTGTTCCGCAAACACAACACTCTGGCTCCTGCTCCCATCTGTATTTCACACAGATATAATGTTCTGGTCCCCACTAGTTCCTTCAGAAAAACTAGAGCCAGCTCCAGGTTCTCATTGACTTTTCATAGACAAGATACCTTGGTTTCCTGGTCCCAACAGCTCTTTTGCAGATACCAGGTCTGGTTCATGGTTCTCAGTGGTGTAAAGGCTCCATCCCATGGGGTGTTTTCCAATCTTCTGTACCCATTTCGAAATGCGTTTTTTTCCGTATTGCATTCCTCCGACACTTTACGGTCTGATTTTTATGCCTGCCAGTTTTTTGTTCAACGACTTTTTTCCCTGTCGACTTGCATCCCTTTCGGATTGCTGTCCTTCGACTTTTGCTGGCTTCGACTTGTATCGCTCTTGGACTTTTGTCCCCCGGGTTTTCTTCTATTCGACTTTCACTCCTACGCACGGAAGCTCTTGTCGAATTTCTTTCATTCGAACTTTTTCAATTCGACGCTTTGTCCGGGTACCAACTTTTACAGATACGGCGAAGTCCACAAATCAGTGTTTGGTACGTACCCTGACGTTCGTACCCTGACGTGTGTACGTAAGTACTCTGCGTAATACTTGACCACCAAAGAAACGACAGGTCCTGTGTGGGTCCGGGTTGACCATCATGTCACGTGTCCGTAACCGGAAAAAGCTGGCTTAAGTCAGAACAACCCAGTCGGAATGAGGTCCTTTGTTGTTCACTGTTGTTTTCGGGCGCGCCGACTGCGGTGGTCGTTTGACACCCAGGAATGTGGTTCGATCCCACAGATATGTGCCAAATATGCTTGAACGCGCTGCGTATACACAACGCTCTTGAGCCGTTCCAAAGATATCCGATGTTCTCATAACAGAAGCATCTCTGTTTTGTAAACGACGGGAACTGACTAAAATTACTCAATGCACTTCCCAAGATGCCTTGCGCCGCACAGCTCTCAATCACCAACTCGTTCATCACCATCCCTTGCCTAACAGCCCCAAACCGTTCATCAGAGACCGTTCGCTGCCGTTACTTTGTGCTGTGATCCGGCTTCTCAGCGGGCAAGATTCCATAACTCTTAAAGCACCAGGCTTACCATTTTGAAACGGCAATGGTGCGAAAGCCCTCGAAATTCTTCACAAATGGAGTTACCTGCAACCTATCAGGTGTACACTACCCCGGTTGGTGAGGAAGCAGGGTTTTGCCAACGCCCGTTCAGAGATCTCGAAAATGGCTGGACTGATTTTTATTGGACAAATTATGTTTGGTTCACACCGGCAAAACGTTGGTATTCATGAGTCTGATTTGTTTTTAAGTGCGGAAAATTGGAAAAGAATGTACAGTTTAAGTGATAGACCCTCATTTCCATTGAAATTCACTTATATTTGATACACTTCCAATTAAAATGCGAAATTAAATATCGTATGAGGCGCACGGATGAATCAGATTCAACTATTTTGAAACCTCTTGTTCCTTTTGTTATTCGATTACAAGTCTATTTACGTAACAAATAGGAACCATGTCAAGCTTTTTATATTATGTAGCACAAAACGTAATTCAAGACCGAGAGATCCGACTCTCTTATCTTCTTTCTTGCTTCATCCTGCATCCTCGTGATGCTCCGCTTGTCCGGGGCATGCTGCATACGTCAGCCATGAGTGGGCCGTGAGGCCAGCTGGAGGGGGGAGGGGGGGGGGGCATCCCGACCGGGCGCCCGATGCTTACCCCGAAGACGGGTGCGTGCGCGGGATAAGGCTCGGCGATTAACCGCCCAAACGTTTGAAGTCCCACCCCACCGTTATCCATTCTCCGTCATCCTACAGCTCTGAAAGGATCATTTCTGGTCCAAATGGCCCTGGTCCAAAGAACAAAGAACCCAATCGTGAGTGAACGTTATCGTTATCCGCCATTTATTCCCCTTCATCCCATTGCCTTGATATTATCATCACTAGTCAAAATGGCTCCAATCCAAATGACCAGATCACTAAATCATGATTGAAACTTGCACGGCTTGCTCAGCATTCATTGCTCAATCATGCCCAGAGAGCCGATTGCCGTCCAGGGTATTTGGAAACCGTGCTCACGGGCGCCGGGGCTGCACTCGCAGGACGCAGTATTGAGGGTCTCGGCCCGCAGGGACATGCACTCCAATGCTAGCCAGAGGGTCCTTTGCACTGGTCAAGGGCCCCAGAGTCGATAAGGGCCTTTATGACGGCCAGACATCACCAGTAACGCACAGACTACTCCATATCGGCATGGGCCGGAGGGACCATTTCCCAAGTAAGGACAAAGCCGAAGCCAGCGATTTTGATCAGCTGGAGCTCCAGCGTCTGTCAGAGCTCCACAGCCGCTAACAGAGGCCCTGCTTTCGCAAAGGACCCCGAGCCGGCTAGATGTAGTGTTTGAGGAGTCCCGAAGAGCCCGATCGGCCTAGCAGGTCCGACAATCTATTGGATGGTCTAAGGGCATGAAGGGCTCCGTCGGAGTCTTGTTTAGGGGGCCCGGCCTAAGGGGACCGGCCCTCAAATGGCAGTCAGAGCGCCCTTTGCGCTGGTTGGGAGCCCCCTCAGCCGACATGGGCCTATATGTGGTCAGACTTTGCTAGTACCGCACAACCGGGTCCGTGCCGGTTTCGGTCTGAGGATCCACTTCCCATCCAACTACAAAGCCGGGGCCAGTTATTTACACTGGCCGGGGCCCCTGTATCTGTCGGGGGCACGCAGTGCCTAACAGGGGCTTTTGTGTTCGCAAGGGCCCGGGACCGACCAAGGGCATTGTTCGCTAACGCCCGAAGAGTGGTCAGGCGACCCGCCGAAACCAACGATCAAAGGCCCAGTTGCAGGCCAGAAAAACCCGAAGGCTTATAAAGTCATATAAAGAATCGCGGCATTTAGGGTCATGACATGAAATAATAGTCGATGTCCTGCTACATCGTTCGAAAACCCCCTGCGGCAATGCGGATCCTGAAGAAGAACAATGAGACAACGAGACAAATGCAATACATCCGCGGGGTCTCTAACATCTCTGAAGAACCCAAATGAAAATAAGGAAGAGGCTTCTGAGTTATACGCGTTTAGAAAGAGTCCACTGGGCCATTGTAAAATGACGAGCGCGGGTGTTTTGTTTTATGCGATCGCTTAACGCATAATTTCTTCAGTTGATAAACTAAGAAATTTTGCTAGAATTTATGTCGCGGTAGTTGGCAGCTTCTGTACCAGCTATAGAAGTGGAGATGGAAAAAATACCGATGAAAAGCATGCCCTGATTAGCAAATGGGCTATGTGGGCGGTTTGGGGCCTTTCACCATCAGAGAGCCCTTTTTCAACCTTGTGCTCCCCCTTCCGAAGGCTCTGGCTACGCACCTGCTCCCAACTTTGGGAAAATAGGCCAAATCCGGGAGAAATCCATTTGTTGGCAGCTCCTGGGTGGGGGAGCGCGGGGGAGGGAATGGCATCGGTTTCCACCCCTTAGCCCCCAGCTCATTTCGCGAGACTACGCCGATTTTATGAGATTCATGAGTTTTTCCAGGGATTCTTGTTTTGCATTAATAACAATTTGACCTAGAGCACAAAAGTGCGTTTTCTGAAATGGGGATATAGCATAAGGCATCCGACGGTCAGGAACAGGCCCGCAGCGAGCCAGAGTCCCTTTTAGTGACGTCATGGAGAGGCCCGTGTGGAAACACAAATCACTTGGTGACTTCCTGTTGTATACATGGCCTTGCGATAGGCGGGCGCGGGTAGGGGGCGGAGCAGGATAATTGTCGTCAGGACATGGCATAAACAGGTGAAGTGACGTGTCCGGAATACCCACGGAAATCTGGATTAGCTATCGATGTGAGTTATGTATGATTCGCATATTACCTTCAGTTTTGTTTAAACAAGGTGTGTACTTAGGCCCGCGTTGTCCACCAAGGCCCAGGCACCACGAGGGTGCGGAACTTCGGCACGTTCCTGCTGGAGCGTGTTTTTTACTGAATATTGTGCAGTTGAGCTTGATATTCATGCCTTCGGGTTATTTGGGAACTAAAACTCTGTTAACCAATATGATTAGAGCCGCCATGTGCACAAATTTTGTGTGTAGTTTTCAGTGTTCCACACTTTCTCTACCCTATCCTAACATTTCCTAAAAAGTAGAGTTTAGCCTCAAAATTAACAAAAGTTTGCTAATTTATTCAGAATCTGACATTGATCAATTTCGTAGCAAGGCACACTGGCCACCATCAGAGAGATCAGCAGCAATATACCACCCTGTGGGTCTGAAGTGCCGATATGCTGTGAGCGATGTCTAGTTCCATTGGTCATTCTTTTGATACCACACCCGCTGTGATATGTGATGATACCTGCCCCCAAAATTCACCAAGAATTTATTGTCTCAGAATTGGCCTACTTTCTCTTTAAGTGTGAGGGGGAGGCTGCAGCTCAAGTTGGGGGACTCAATGCTGCAAGGCTGCAGCTCAAACTCCACCTCCCCCGACTGAATATGAACAACACCCCTGATGCACATGCATGTGCATAATGTTCACCCAATGTAGTTTCAGCATAGATATGTTTATATTACATGCTATTGCATATTTCAGACTAGATACAGTTGTACATATTGCATGATATAATTGCACAACTATGCATACATGACCAGTGGCCTCTTGCTCTGTGAAGGGTTCATGTGAATCTTAGAAATTATTTTGATGCATTTGAGTGCATGTTTTGGCTCCATATGACCCATTCTGTTTAAAGGGTTACCCAGTGTCACGCAACATCCATGTCAAGTATGCTTATTGGTTCGTTGAGTATATTGTTGGCACTAACAAATTAACTGGCCCACTGTTGTGTGTTCATGATGACTGATATCTGTCTACTGTGTCTCAGGCTGGCCGACGACAACGACTCAGCCATGTCAGACAGCCTGCCGGCACTGCAGGGCCAGCGCAGTGCGGCACGGCGCGGCGGCCGGCTGGGCTTCTTCTCCAGCCGCGGATCGCCGTGGTCGACCGAGCCCAGTGAGCAACTCCAGACGCGTCGCTCGAGTGACTCGAACCTGCGCCGCACGTCGCCGCAGCCGGTGCCGGCCGACTCTGGCGAGGGCCGCAGCTACGTCGGCGTGCTGCGGCGCATCAGCTCGATCCTGTCCGGCGGTCCGCAGGCGGGCGAAGGCGAGCTGAAGCAACACTGGCTGCCAGACTCGGTCAGCCGCGAGTGCTACGACTGCGGCGACAAGTTCACTACGTTCCGGCGCCGTCACCACTGCCGCATCTGCGGCCAGATCTTCTGCTCGCGCTGCTGTAATCAGGTGATTCCGGGCAAGGTGATGGGCTACAGCGGTGACCTGCGCGTCTGCACCTACTGTTCCAAAGTGGTGATGACGTACGTGCAGAACATCACGTCGGGCGCGGACGCCGACGAGCTGGTCGACCTGAAGTCGGTATTGGAGAAGGTGCATGCTCATCTGGAGACGGCCAACCAGCTGAGCTTCGAGCGCTCCAACTCACTGCCACGCCTCAGCAAACCACAGCGGAAGAAGTACAGCTTAGGCATGCAGGACAGCGGCATCCGTGAGCTAGAGGAATCTCAGGAGAGCATTGCGGACCCGCAGGAGGAGGAGCAGGACCTGACGTATCTATCCACGCTTGTGCACATGATAATCAACCCCATCCATGGCGTAGGGCTGGGTAACCATCGGCACCGGCTCAAGAGCTATAGTGCTTCCCTGGTCGGCTCAGAGCTGGTTGACTGGATGGTCTCGCAGCGCAAGGTGACGAAGCGCACGCAAGCGGTGGCCATCGGCCAGCGGCTGGTGGACATGAAGCTGCTGACCTGCGTCAGCCACAGCACGAGCGCGTTCCGTGACGACTACTGCCTGTACCGGCCGTCCGAGGTGGCCATGCGGCGGCCAGCGCTCTCGGAGCCGGACGAGCCGGACATCGAGGAGCCGCACTGGCTCTCACAGATCGAGCTGAAGGAGAGCTGCAGCGGCGGCGTGGCCACCGATGAGCCGGCCGGCGCCCCGCTGGCCCAGTCCGGCTCTCTGTACGACATTGAGTTGGATGTGGCCGCCAGCGTGGTGTCCATCTCGCGCGCGCAACTGCTGCGCCAGCTGACGCCGACCGAGCCGCTGGCGCCGGCGACGCGCGGCCTGGCCGAGCCGCCCGGCCAGTACCTGGAGTCGGCGGCGGCCGAGGCTGACCCGCGTCGACCGCAGGCCGACCAGCGCTGCACGGCTGCCTTCGAGGCGCTCGAGTCCAGCCTGCTCAGCCAGCTGCTCGACTCAGCCGGTCTGCCAGCCAAGTGGTACGAGCCGATCCTGGACATGTCACGCCAGATCAGCCGACTCGTGAAGCCGGACGTGCGGCACGAGTGCGACGAGCTCGACGTGCGCCAGTTCGTCAAGATCAAGCGCATTCCTGGCGGCAAGCCGTCCGACTCATCCATTGTGCAGGGCGTCGTCTGTCGCAAGAACATAGTGCACAACGACATGCCGTCGCAGCTGACCAACCCGCAGATCCTACTGCTGAACTGCCCCGTCTCTTACCAGCGCTACCAGGAGCGCATGGTGTCGCTGGAGCCCATGCTTATGCAGGAGCACGAAGTGCTACGCAACATCACCAATTTGCTCATCTCCTTCTCGCCGGACCTGATCGTGGTCGAGAAACACGTGGAGAGTATCGCGCGCCAGATGTTGCTGAAGGCCGGGGTCACGCTGGTCACCAATGTGAAGCGGCAGGTGCTGGCGCGGATTGCGCGCTGCACTCAGGCCGACGTGATGGGCTTCCTGGATGCGCAGCTGTCGCAGCCGGCACTGGGAATCTGTCACTCGTTCTACACCAAGCAGTTCACCATGGAGGGTGGCCACAAGAACACGCTCATGTTCTTTGAGGGATGTCCGAGTCACCTGGGCTGCACGGTGCTGCTACGCGGCGGCCACATGAACCAGCTGCGGCGCGTCAAACATGTGTTGCGATTCATGGTGTCTGTGCAGTACAACTGGCTACTACAAAAGAGCTATCTGCGAGACCTTGTGGCCATACCGCCGCCGTTCGGTAACCACGTGATTCTGGACCGGGCTGAGACGAACGACATCGCTCTGGTGGGGCAGGCGGTGCCGGACGGCCGACACGGCAGCCCAGCGGAGGCGGGCGACAGGTCACGGTCGGAAAGTGTGCAGTCGGAGGCATCCGTAGAGCGCGGAGCCAAGTGCGCGGATGAACGGCTGCGGTCTCCCCGCCGGCCTGGCGAGGTGGTGACCGACCGCAGTGATCCGCTGCACAGTCTGCCGACTGGTGAGGGCGAGGCGTCCATCATCCAGCCGCCTCGACTCCGCGTCGAGTCGCTGCCCGACCGTAACAAGTTTCGTAAGCTGCTGGGCGACACCATTGTGTGCTGCACGCCCTACGCCAAGGTGTCAATGCCGTACCTGGAGACAGAGGAGGGTAAGCATAGCAGCCTGCGACGCTTTTTCACCGCCAACTTGTACTGGACCGTCGAGTTCGACAAGGCGGAGAAAGCGCGGCGCGCCCACGTGAAGAAGGCCCAGATTGAGACGCGGGCTGAGCCGCTCCTGTTACAGGCGCACGAGTTTGTGTCGCACACCTTCACGCGTGGGGTTGAGTTCGATGAGACGCAGGCCCTGCTGGCCGACTTCCGCGGGCGTGGATCCCGCTGCCCGAAGGTGGAGCCGGCCGAGGTGCGGCCGGTCGAGGCGGCACACGACCGCCTGGAGGACTGGGTGGTACCGCGCGACGCGCTCAGCCCCATCAACCACCAGAAGATCGCGTTCCAGACATACACATACGCCAAGCTGCCGAGCGGCGTGGCGGTAGGCTGTTGTGACCCGCACATCATGGTCATCATGTTCAACGGCGACAGCGACACCACGCTCGGCTCGTTCCTGGAGACGGAGTGCTTCACGCCGGCGTTCAAGTGTTTGAAGAAGGAGTGCGTCGTTCCGCAGGAGGGTCACGTGCAGCGCTTCCTGCACGACAACAGCTGCGTCTCGATGTTCGTGCAGTCGCTGGCTGAGTCTTGCCCGGAAAAGAAAACCTGGATGTGGACGTGGTGCCGCCAGTGTGACCGCGGCACCGCCGCCCGGCCCATGACCGAGGATACATGGACGCTCTCCTTCGGCAAGTTCCTAGAGACGTTTTTCCTGTGCGAGCAGTACTCGTCGCTGGATGGCTGCGAGCACAGCCTGTTCCGTGACCGTGCGCACTACTTTGCGCTCGGCAACAAAGTGGCCGTGTTCAGCCACACACCGATCCAACTGAACGACATCGTGCTGCCGCAGTTCGACATCGCCGTGGAACTGGGCTCGCTGACGCAGCTGCGGCTCACGGAGGAGCTGCACGTGCTCTCCGAGGGTGTCCAGCTCTTCAGCAACATTGTGGAGCGGCTGCTGTCGATGCGCGCCGCCTGCAGCGACGTCAAGGTGTGCGAGGTGCTGCGTGCTTCGCAGGAGGAGGTGGCTGAGGAGAAGCTGGCTTTCCGCGCGCTGCTGACCACCATCGAGACGATGCTGGCGCCGCTGGTGGGTGAGGCCGAAACGGCCGACCGCCGGCTCGACGAGACCCAAGTCTTCGCCGCCACAGACCGCGCCGTGCAGGCCAAGCGCATGATCGCCGACACCGTGCACAAGTGGAACGGCCGCCTGCTGGAGCTGGCCAAGTCCATCAAAGCGGTGCCCCGACCGAAGGCGGAGGAGTCCGGCAGCGACGCCGATAAGCCTCCGAGGAAATACTCGGCAGATCAGAAGTCAGCTGACAGCAGTCCACTGGGGAAACGGCTGTCAGGCGAACAGAAGCTGACGCTTGAGCAGCGGCAGAAAGAGGCGGGGGAGCTTGAGACGAGTGGCGCGGAGGACGCCGCCGACAAACCGTCGTCGAGCAAGGTTAAGTCGATCACAGCTGGTGGCATCAAGGCACTCAAGTCGCTGGCCTGGTCGAGCACCGAGCTGGGTGAGCGTCTGTCGTCGCCGTTGCCGGCCAACGAGCATCATCGCCTGCCTCCAACCGTGCCGCCCTCGTTCATCTCGGGGGACGACATGGGCTCCATCATCTCGTACTGCATGTTGACTTCCGAGTACAGCCGGCGGCTGGCCGAAATTCGCTTGCAGCTGGAGCAGTGCGACGGTCCCGCTGACGAGGCGGAGCGGGCCGGCTCACGCGGCGCCCAGCGCCTCAATGACTCTGTGTCAGTAGCTGCCACCGAGACCAGCACCGGCTCGGAGCGCACAGAGCGCGGTGAGAAGTACCTGGCTCAGTACCACATCGATATCAACATGTCGGACGACAACGCCAACTTCTACTGCCAGGTACTGCTGGCCGAACACTTCCGCCGACTACGTCAGGCCATGTTCTCGGCCGGCGAGGAGCGATTCGTCCGGTGCCTGATGCACTGCAAGCCCTGGAACGCCAAGGGCGGCAAGTCCGGCTCCACGTTTCACAAATCCTCCGACGACCGATTCGTCATCAAAACCATCTCCAAGATTGAGAAGGACCACTTCGTGCGGTTCGGTATCAAGTACATTGAGTACATCCTCGACAGCCTCACCGCGGGACGGCCGAGCGTGCTGGCCAAGATCCTCGGCGTGTTCCTGGTGGGCTACAAGAACAACATCACCGGCTCGGCCAAGAAGTCGTACGTGATTGTGATGGAGAACCTGCTGTATGGTCGCCAGGTCAGCCAGAAGTTCGACCTGAAGGGCTCGCTGCGCAACCGGTTGGCTGACACAAAAGACAAGTCGGAGGTGGTGTTGCTCGACCAGAACATGGTGACCCTGCTGAGCGAGAACCCGCTGTATGTGCGGCCGCACGCCAAGCGCATCCTGATGGAGGCGATCTCTCGCGACACCTTCTTCCTGCAGACGTGCCAGGTGATGGACTACTCGCTGCTGGTCGGCATGGACGATGCGCAGCGCTGTCTGGTGGTCGGCATCATTGACTATCTGCGGTCCTACACCTACGACAAGGCGGTGGAGACCTACATTAAGTCGTACAACATCCTGCTGGGGGATGGCAACAACCGACCGACCGTGCTCGACCCAGTGCGCTACAAGACCCGCTTCGCCGACATGATGAACAAGTACTTCACGGACGTACCGGACCGCTGGCTGGGGTTCGCCCAGGGCATGGGGTTCCTATGCTGACCTTGCTCTAGCGGCACTGCTTTTCACGATTGTGCACCATGGCTTGCGATCGAAGATTTGTTACGCTAGTCGCGGCCGGCAAAACGCGATGTACCGTAGTCTGGTCGGGTCGTCACATGGAGTAAGGACTCGGCTCATATAAGCACCGATGTGTGCTCACGCGCTGCGTCTTTCCTCAGGGCATCGTATTAGGTCACTCTCTTGTTTATTGTATGACTGTGTGTTTTTGTCCGGAGGCGCGGGAAAATGGTACGTGTGGTCCATTCCAGTCCGGCTAGACCGGCTTGTGTATCGCCCGTTATCCTGCAACACATACCATAGTACCAAAGTTCGGGGGGGGGGGGGGGCTGTCGACGCCTGTGAATGCTACCGAAGCGATATTGTTGGTTAACCATTTTGGCTGTGAATGTGAAGTGTCAGCACTGTGTAGCGACTGGAGGCACTTTAAAACATCCAGAGCCTATAGCTTCCAATGGTATGTCGACCGAAATCACAGCATCCAGCGTCCGTAACGTCCAACAATATTCCGACGTGCCGCGATAGAAGAAAATCACAGACAAACGAGCTCGCAGCATCCAACATCAGAATAGTTCAAGTTTCTTGCACTGTCTACCCATCACGCTAGCGTCGTCATTCGTAAGTCGATGGAGAAGATAGTGAACATCCGACTCGCATTGTTTTTACGCCAGCATAACATTATCAATAACGCGCAGTGCGGTTTTAGACAGAATCGTAGCACGATAAACCACCTACACTCGGCCAGCGGCATTTCTCTCCGTATCGAGATGCGGGCGCTGCATATGCCACATCCACCATGGTTTCTGATTTTGCTGGCTGAAATAAGGGAACATACGTTGGTACCAGAGTGATCCGCTTGGAGGGGATGGAGCATGTGTAGTACGAGGGACTCGTGATAACTTGCACGAACAGATCCAATATTGGAGATGGTGCCGGCTGTGCGTTAGTGGGTGGAAGCCCTCAGTGTTGGCGCCACGGATAAGGAGTTTGGGCAGGGGCGGGATTTGAAGAGGGGCCACTCACAGGCGGCCTCCTGGGCAGAGTTACATTCAAGGGGGGGGGGGGGGGAGCACGGAGGGCGTTTGCGTACCATTATCAAAGTATTGAATGCATCGCACCTTAGTAAATCGATGTCGATGACGAAATAATCCAGAATAGAGGCCTCCCGATTTTCCGGCTATGCATCACAGTGACCTGAAACAGAAACTCCTGATGCATAGAGGTTTCCTGGTCCGGATGAGGGTGCTTTTCATTCACAAAGCGGGCTTCCGGATGCAGACATAAAGACATCAGGCCAATGAAGAGCCACAAGGGCCGATCGAGGTCAACCTACCCCTGGTTCCGCACCCATCCTTGACACTAACCTGACCCGGCCTGACCACCTGACCTGTCTAAATTTGGCTATAAATGAGGTCCTTAAGCCGATAGAACTTGTCCAAACGATTTTTAAACGTTGCTAGGGAAGCGATTCCTACAACTCCGTTTGGCAGACCATTCCGATGATTCACAGCTCTCTAGCTGGATGGCACCTCTCTTTTCATAGCTCTACTCCTACCTTGAAGCTAATTGAAACTGGCCTCCTCTAAGTTCCGGTCTTAGCCAAGCGGGCCCGTCCAAAAACAGGGCAATCTGATCCGCAACCACTGCCATCTGGAGCATGAAAACAGGTTCCAGAGCTGAGATCGGCTGAATATTGTGTACCTCCTAGCACAGAACAGGGCCTCTTGGATTATAACGAAGGCCGCCCGGGCCAAGCTCTTCTACATGTTAAACGTTGGATTGCGTTGATCTGGGTTAGAGATAATATTACGCTTTGTTGTATCTCCATTCCTAGTCATGCCGACGTCCTCGGAGGAGAGCTTGCGGACTCTGCCGCAAAACGCGCTCCCTGTGCAACACGTACATGCGCTTTGCTTCTTTCAGCCTGCAATTTTTACCCAGCCATCTCGCCGTGTATACAACGCAAGTGGCAGATCTAGTGGAATAGGCAAACGGGTAGCAAGCTTAGATAATATATCCTAAATGGGGTCTATGGTGTTCCAGTTTCCTTAAGGCGAGGCGTGACGAAGCTGTGCTCTGCAGATTGCGTATTAGATACACTTCCGAAACGGAGAGGTACCTACTGTGTGGCCAATGACAGACATCGATGCTCACGGTGCCCTGCGTACGCACCTCAACGTGCACCACGTTTTTCGGTCATATGTACATTCCGCTCGCAAGTTTTCGCGTCGCTGGACGAAATGCTGCGTCGCCTACATTACGCGACATCTTCGGAGACGACGCTGGCATGATTGCCGGTGGCCAGCTATTTAAGTTTTTGCAGACATCGGATTCTGTACTTAATAAAAGCGTTAATAATTACATGGAGTGTTCCCCATTTGTATAGGGCTCTGAAGTGATGCCGCCATTTTGAAACTCTTGCAATGCGGTGCACAGCCATGCACCTTAATATTGCAAGTCGATGCACCTTCCCCGTTTGAACTAGAGACCCAGGCGAACGACTAGTTAAGCATGCCACAATTAAAACCGCTCGACGCAAACCACTGCTCCCATCAGATAAGCGTCGGCGAGCGGATTCCACCAGCTGCTTTGGGACAGCTGCACGACGGTTTACTTGATCTGCGCCCTGTCTGCGTGGGTGACCTCAGAGCGGGGTCCGCCAGCTGCGCTCAGCGTCGCCGCTGCCCGTCACCTCTCCTCCCTCCAGTGGGGCCAGCTCGTGCGGCAGAGCCCACGCACGCTCAGGTCCCGCTGTGGGTGGCTGTTCCACTCGGTCCAGCTCTGAGGACGGGTCCTCTTCCTCTTCTCGAGCGCTCATCCAGCGTGATGGATCATGATGCATGTGGTGTACGTGAACGAATCGGATCCGATCGTGGACTCGGGCACAGGTAGCACAGGCGCGATACAGGTTCGTGTTGTACGAGGCCAGTACGTGTGGTATGACGCGAGTACGCGGATCCTTACGGGACATCATCGCGTCCGGTAGCCACGTCAGTCAGTTGTCACTGCGATGATTTCGCACGGGGACAGGCTGACCTGCACAGGTGCGGGGACAGCGTAGGTGTTAGCGAAAAACACTGACAGCTTAAGGCTTTTTGGTAACGGACGACTGTGCCAAGATACTTATGCTTGCGCTCGGGAATTTCGGTCTTACAGGAATTGGTACCTTTATGGAAACCGTGACTTGTCAGTCTCCGACCTGGTCGGAAAAGGCATTCCAACCCAGCAATCCCAATAAAAAGTCACAGCTTGCCAAGCCCTACCAGGTATAACCGAGACCCGCGAACTAACCGTTCGAAAATATATCCTGCTCCTGGACATTTTCAACCTACGTTCGCAATGCGAGTGGGAAAACACTTGAGCCAGGCAGCCGCGGGATGTACACATACCAGAATGATCACCCGCCCGTACTCGACACGTCCCACGCTCGGAAGATGCCTGCCGTTCAACGGCCAGGAGCGGGTCACGTCCCGATCATTCCGACAGCCGTTAAAACGGTCATCATAACTGCACCACATTTATGGAGGGCGATAGGAGCAATCTTCGGGTACCGCCCTGATGGCGCATGTCGTCCGCGCGCCCCTCATGCCTTCCAAGCGTTTGAGAAAATGCGAACATTTGCATGCACAGTATATGACCAAAATACAGTTCATCCACTGGGCTGATGTCTTTGACACGCATGCACTGCATGCGCTTGACACGCATGCTTATCAATAGCACAGATGAAAGCCGCGGAATCATCAAGCCAGCAACCCAAGAACACTGCACCCTTTGCAGAGTTCCAAGTGCCGCCGACAGCATCACAATCTTGTCGCTGTGCGTAATATTGCTTGCCTGACTGCAACAATAAGGCAGATCCCTCCCGCAGTGCGCCCCTTCGGCAGCGCAAGCCGTCCTGTACACGCGCGCTACTTGGCGCCTGGCCTCAGGCTGAGGTAGATCCTACTGCAGCGGAGGGCGGCGGCCGTCTCCTGCATGAACGAAGTGACGTAGCTGTCGCGCTCGGAGCGCTTGGGGTCGAACACCACCACCAGTATGATGCAGGGGCTGATCTGCAGGTGGAAGACGGACTGGGCCGCGTGCGCGCCCAGCAGGGCGTACGTCGGCCGGCCGCTGGTCACGTCCCGCCTCGGGTCGAACAGCGACGTTGTCAGGTCCAGCCACAGCGAGGTCTGTGCCTCGCCCTTCTGCAACAGGCCGGCGCGCCGCGTCACCGCAAGCCGCGCCCGCTGAGACCACACGCCACACACCTGTATGATGCTAGGTTGACCCCCGTGACATGCTTGTTTAGTTTACTGTTTAGCTGCTCACGTCCCCTCTGGCCACTGATGGGTGATCTGGCTACTGATCACGTCCGCTAAAGCTGACATTTCGGCTTATCAAGCATTTGTCACACTTTGAACAATGATCTGACATGTATTTCTACCAATTTCACAATTAACCAAAGCATACTTCCGCCGATTCCAGCCAACTTTATCACTCTTTCCATACAAAACCTTCACATGGACATTTCGGCCGTTACTGATGTGTGCACCACGAAGGCGCATGATTTTTTGCTTAACTCAAGCGTCTGTTGCCATTTTAACAAAGGCCTTATATTGTGAACCCAACATCATCCAACCCAAACCACACAAATATTATACAACCAAAGCCACAAATTTGTGTTTTCACACTGGGATGCACGGCCCCTCCCATCTCCGTCACAAACTTTCCAAACATTTTTTCGCGTCGAGGTCATGCGGAAATCTGAGTACAATCGTCAATTCAACAGCGCCGTCTTAAACAGTAAGGTTCCGTCAAACTACTCGGACTGCAGTTAGGGCATCTATGACAATTAGGGAGCTTCCCAAGGGGCTCCATGACAAATGTCCATGAGTTCATAGTGGGTCATGCCCCAATGGATCCATGAGTCTTTTTTTAACGTGCCAAGATTTTCTTGGGCGATTTAGACCCCCTTGCCCCCCAAAACTTCACTGTAGTCCTGCATTTCAGTCTGGGGCAAAACGGATCAAAGCCACCAGGCGCGTCCACGTAGCATGGCATGCAACCTCCTTCAAAGTCAATCAGGGGGAACATTTATGTGCAAGCGAGGACCGAGTGCCCAAAGGGTCGTGACGTCACAGAGGTCTCTGAGCGCCCAAAAAGGTCCAGAGCGACCCGTGGGCTCCTGGGCACCCGCAGGGCCCACAGCAGCCAGGACTTCCTCTTGAGCGGTGAGAGGGGTCTCTGAGGAACAAGAGCCCTGAGCAGCCAGCAAGACTTCCAATATCCAGAGGGCCGTGATACCGTTGTAGAGCTACATGGCTCTGGCGACCGAACGGACCGGTGAGCGGACAGCGGACCCTCAACAGCCACACGAGCACTTAGGTGTTCAGAGGGGCCCTGAACAGCCAAAGGTTCCCATTGGTGACCGGAGGGGCACTGGGCAGCTGGTGAAGCCGGTGAGCAGCCAGGCGGAAACGCCACCGACCAGATGGCTTTTCTCAATGTTCAGATGGCCCCTCAGTGGCTACACGGGCCATGAACAGCTAAAACGGCTCATGGACGTCCAGACGGGCACTGGACATCCAGAAGGTCCCGGAGGTCAACGTATCTACCCCTAAACGGCCAAACGCCAATGAGTAGCTTCCGATGTCCCGTTAGTGTCCACGAGGGACTAGGCCAGAGGGCTGCGAGGCGACCAAGGTGCCCCCGCTTACAAGGAGGGACTCACTTTACGGTCAGAAGAAGGCCAGCATGGTCACATGGGCCCCTAAGCAGCCAGAGGCGACTAATGATACTGGCTCAATTTCTTTGTGGTGAAAAGGCACTCCTTGGTTCTCTAGCTTTTTACTGCAGCAATTTTTATTCATGCCGTGCGAGCCAAAAAGAACCCTCTCAAGCGACCACTTGACCTCCCTGAATCCCACTGCAGACCCCAGACCCTCGGGACCGAAGCATCGTTTTACGCTTGCCAGGGCCCGGGGTTCTGAGCTCCTCCGACCTCCGACTCCCCATAACATCCAGTCATGCTTATAAAGGTGCAACGCTCTGCTATTCCTCATACCCAACAAGGAAGCAACCGACCCAGCTTTCCAACGTAGCCCTACTTGTCATGCGATCGAGAGTGGCACCAACGCTGCCCTGTTTAACTCAGAGCTCGGCAGTCTGACCGCCAAACTTATAAAAACACACACGCACACGCGCGCGCGCGCGCGCGCACACACACACACACGACACACACGCACACCCACCACACCACACACACCACACCACACGCACACACACACACACCACACACCACACACACACACACACACACACACACACAACAACATTATATATATATATAATATATATATATAATATACACACTCACCACACATCACTCACCTTCTCACTCCTCACACACTCTTCACAACTCACCTCCACACTCATCTATATATATATATCTATCTCTCTCTCTCTCTATCTATCTCTATATTTATATTCATCTTGTGTGTGTGGTGCGTATCTGCGTGCGTGCTGTGTGCGTGCGTCTGGTGTGTTGTGTGTGTGTGGTGTGTGTGTGTCTGTGTGTGTATGGTCTGTACTGCATGCGTGTGTATGTATGTATGTATGTATGTATGCATGTATGTATGTATGTATGCATGTAACGGGGTGGAACAATACCGTGTCTTCAGAGCCGGGGTGGCCCTGGCGGAATGTCCCATCCCCCGCCGCCCCCGGCCCGCCGGCCGGCGCGGTCGCGGCCGCCGTACCGCGCAGCAGACGATGGCCGTGTACGGGTCGGTCTGGAGTGCGGTCGGTGGACTCCGCTCCTCCGGGTGGCGGTAGCCGAGGCCGCCGCAGCCGCCGCCCTCCCTGCTGTCGTAGACGAGCGCCACCAGCGCCGCGTCGCACTTGCGCTGGAAGCTCTGCAGCCTGCGTCACACACGGGGCGGTCAGGGCTGGACACTCTGCAGCCTGCGTCACACGCGGGGCGGTCAGGGCTGGAAACTCTGCAGCCTGCGTCACGCGCGGGGCGATCAGGACTGGAAGCTCTGCAGCTTGCGTCGCACGCGGGGCGGTCAGGGAAGGCGAGCAGCACAGCGGTGGGCCTTTACGGGCAGCCAGGCTGGGTCGGAGTAGCGGCAGATTCACAAGTGCCTGGCGTGGTGGTTAGACGAGTGGCGAACTCACTCGTATCAGTCCTCGCCAGTCAAACGAAGACAAATCTTCTAGGTACAAAGCTTCCATCCGTCCAGTATCTCGCTCAAACCTTTTCACTAACACTCACTTCACATAGCAGCATTCACACATACAACCAGCACCAGTAACAGTCTAGTTCTCCACTGAAACTGCGAATCTCTCTTGGCAACAGACGACCGGCTTTATATAATGATTACCACGGATAACGATCACGACTGCGCGGCACCCAAATAATATGACACGACGTGACAATCGAACGATAAAAACGCTTACCTCATTGTAACAGAAAGGTGACTCATCGGCCTATACACTCAGAGAGGAGGTCGCCTCGCGATTTCGGAAAGTGGTTGAGGTTTTGCCACCTTGTTAGTCACTGAGAATGACTCTTCCACGGGAAGTATCGAACCGTATTACCGCTGACAGCCCATCATTGGAATGAGCACATTCTTGCCCTAACGCCGGGTAAACAAGACACGAGGAGTGTTCCTCCCAGAAGTGTCAGATAAGCCAAACGCCGTTGTTTTTTCTTTTGGGGGGAGGGGGCGGGGGTGATTCTCGACGTCTTTCAATAGCTCAGTTGTTCATAATTCAACAATGTGATGAGGCACGGTCTGGGCGGAATGGCCCTTACTGACGTCAATGACGGCCAGCCATATTATGGGCACGTGGTAGCTGGCGACCGGTTACTGTTCATGCCAATGGGGCTCAACGACACACACAGCTGCTGAGGCTATATGGAATCGCCTGCCTTTTCGCTCTGGCAGGAAGGGCGGGCACCACGGGAATCAAACCCCGTCCGCTGGTTTTTGAGGCGCGCAGCTGAGCCACTACATTAACGGTTTCCGCTATTGACATGGGTACGGCGATTGGTCACCAGATGTTGCTGTACCACGAGGTGGACTGCTGTCACAGAAATTACGACACTTCCTGCAGCGCTCACAGCAGCTTCTGACAACGCGTAACCAAAATAAGGGAGGTTATATATGTAAAAACCATCGCTGAATTGACAACGATGCAGGATGTACCGACAATGTGGTGTCCAGGTGACACAAAATTTTCTCCTGACGCCAACCATGACACGAAATGTCATCCCACTAAAAAGGTGACTGCCCGCTAAGGAACTCCTAGCCCGGTGAGACGGCAACTGAACTCCCTGACCCTGCCACTAGGTCTGCACGCAGTTCCCGGCCTCGGGAGCTGGCTGGGACCGGTTCGCGAGCATCGCCAGAGGGGGTGGGATGTCCAGGGCCCGGTCTGTCCCACCTCGCGAAGTGATCGGCGGCGGTGCGGGCGCAGAGTGCCTTGAACTCGGAGGCCTGAGCCCTGCCGGCTGAGCACGTCACGGAAGTAGAGGGAGAACGTGGCGACCAGCGCGGCGCGCAGCCGCTGGAACCACTGGATCAACTCCGGCTCCTGGCTGGCGCGCAGAAACAGCAGCCGACGCGTCTGCGGCCGGGAAAGGTCGTCAGGGCGAGAAGGGAGGAGCGCAGGCCGGCCCCGGCACGCGCGGACGTGGGGCCACACGTCAGTTCCAGTGGGAGAGAGCGGAGCCACAGGTCAGCCTGGGATGGAGGTGACGGGTGTATCCGATTCAGCGCCAGAACGGGACCCGACGCCACATGTGAGCTCCGGAGTGAGGGGATCAGAGTCATAGGTCAACTCCGGAAGGACAGGACGGGAGTCCCCGGGTCAACTCAGGAGGGACAGGACGGGGCTATACATCAGCTCCAGAGGGAGGGACGGGAGTCCACAGGTCAACACTGGAGGGGCGGGACGGGGCCACACATCAGCTCCAGAGGGAGGGACGGGAGTCTCCAGGTCAACACTGGAGGGGCGGGAGGGGCCACACATCAGCTCCAGAGGGAGGGACGGGAGTCTCCAGGTCAACACTGGAGGGGCGGGACGGGGCCACACATCAGCTCCAGAGGGAGGGACGGGAGTCTCCAGGTCAACCACGTAGGGCAGAGATGGGACCGACATGTCGGCTAGCACTGTTCGGTAATTACTCAAGAAAACCTGGGGGGTGGGGGCACGGTTAAATTCACCCTCCTCCCCCCCCCCTCCACCCCAGCACGTGGTAGAACACGTCTCTGACCGGATGCAATGCTGCTAGGGCAAGGCGATTCAGTGAAATGTTGGCATATGGGAGGCGCTATATAACACAGTGGAATGCATTTTAAGGCCAATAGAGGAACACCCGCCGGCAGTTGATTGCATGCTGTGTCGGCATGCATCACATTTCAATATGACGTTGTAAAGTGTGCTTCACCCCTCCTCACGGCTATGAGAACGTTATGTCTGGATACAAACACCCATCCTTTGAAACGGCAGGACGAGGGCTACACCCTGTAGACGGACCCGAGTTCGGCTCGTCGTGACCATGTGCATGTCACGCGACAAAACGCGGCGCGTGCCTCGCCGGGCGCGGACCGGTTACCTCGCGTGACTGAACGCACGCCGAGAATTGGCCGAGGTGAATGTGAGCGTCGTTCAGGTGCATGAGAGAGGGCAGAAACTGCCAACTCTCCAGCTGCTCTTGGGCCTTCAGCAGTGATAGCAGCGACCTCACTTCATAGCTGTGGGGGACGATACGACGCATGAGGAACAGCAGACGTCGGACGTCTGCAATGTCGCAGCGATAACTGTGCAAAGGGCCGTTCAACGTCATATTGTATTATCCATGACAAAAGCTCTGCATACATATGTGCCCATGAAGGATGTGGAAGTATTTAAGCAAGGTCCCAAAACAGTTGTTTAGGGCAGGCCTAAGTTACCTGAAGACGGCCTTCAGAGGAGTCAAGTTTGGGTGGTTGAAGGTCGCGTCGTGATCCTCCGCAAAATCTTGCAGCTGCTCGACGAGCTCCGAGACGCTGCGCACCTTGCCAGAGCCCACCAGCCACAGCTTCTCATAGCTGGACGCGACGTCAAGGTTTGGAACCAATGAAGATCGAATCTTATGAATCTTGTGACGTCTACGCGTCACACCGGTACGAGTGGTCTATGCCAGCTGTGCAAAGTTTTACGAGGGCCGTTACCGCGAAGGCTGCTATTTCCGGACTGCTATCATTTCCCGGTACCGGTCAACTGTGTCAGATGCGCATGCGCTTATTACGTTGTCAATCAGTACAAAGCAAAAGGGTACAAACACAAATACGTCCCCTTCTCGCCCAGCATGTTATCAAATCAAGAGGTGACACAGGTCATAACGGCGGTCAACGATGGCACAGGGCAGACGACAGTGATTTACCGGCAAGGATGGAGAGCTTCCACCATGAGAGGTTATGTCTTGCCTGCCATTTAGCATTTTACAATACAAGTCTGCCACGACAGACCCATCACTACCGTTTACCAATGCACAAAACCTTTCCAAACTTCGGACCAACTGATGATGCTGGTCCGCCAACCAAAGATGCTGGTCAGTACCTATGCCACGATACGAGCTGGGCGTTGAGTCCCTTTCAGCGCCACTCCAACATAGAATGCAAGCACATTCCATCATAGAAATGCAAATCGAGTTGCTTGATGACACATGCCCAATTCATGAGCCCTGCCAGAGCTGCCAAGGATACAACTCGAGCAGTGCAAGTCGGCCCTGGACGAAGCGCAGCAGCTGGCTATAGGTTCGTGCCAGGCAGGCGTCTAACGGGCTGTCTGAGAGGCCGTCCATCGTGCGCTGGTACTCAAGTGAAACGGCTTCATAGCAGACACGTGCAGAGCTCTGTATGGACCAAACAGTCAGGTCAATGCCATGGAATAACTCAGGGTTTGGTCATGGCTGGAAGGTCAACTTTTCACCAGGGCATTACAAGTACATGGCTGGGACATCACGGCATAACCAATAGCCTTTTAGATGACATTGTATGAAAGGAATGAGCCCACCTGATCATTTACATGGCCATCTTGGACAGAAAAGTTGGTCAAACCATTACATTTCACCAAATAAGAAAGCTTACTGCCTTACTTAGCAATTACTTGAAAAGCATCTAAGAGGTATTTCAAATACTAATTACCATAAAAATATCCAGCTGTTAAGACTCAGGCTGATTAACATTAAGACATTGTTCAATACTTAATGTTTTACTAACATACATCTTTTCGAAGGAAGCTCTTGTGGGTTAGAAACATAAGTCCCATGTACTGCTTCTCTGCTATGGAGAGTTGCATCAATCCATTCACCAACCCGCTCCAAGATGTCATTGAGCTGAGCCTTGTGGCCTCTCTCTCCTTCTCCTGAAATGATTTTAGGAACATTGTAAAGCTATCTTATTCACATCACATACAAATGCCTAGTTGCCTTCTGACCAACACGCAGCAAAGCTCAATGTCCTATTTATTGAAAGGACTGCAGGATTAAAACTGAGAGTCTAACATGTAAAAAATACTAAGACATCAAAATGTTTTCATTATCATGCTGACATTTGGAAAGCATGGCAGCCTTTTAAATTGTACTACAAACTTATCTTGTACTCACCAGTACTTCCTTTGCTTTGTCAAATAAAAAGCCTCCAATCAGGGTGGATATGTTATCCAGCAGGTCATGAACTTCCTGCAAGCTCATAGCTGATGCAGCACCGTGTACGTCTATATGGTGTTTGTGAGTATGTCAAGTGGCACTGCCTTTATATCGTCACGCATACGAGTTGGGACATGGGGCTAGCCTGTTGATGGAGCATAGTGATAGCGTAAGAAGAGGGGAAGGCGAACAGAGCAATGTTACCCTGACATATGGTTGTAAGGTTTGCAAACACGGATTGTGACACAGATTGGGGGGTGAAACCGCAACCGAGGCACTGACTGCAACAATCATCCCAAACACAAACTCACAACATACAAACATCATGATGCGCCACATTTGTCTGACAAGCGCTACAAGTGAGGAAGGAGCAAAGTGATTAGTTATTCTTACTATATTTCTGAGTTATTGGTACAAAATTAGCGTGTCGTGCACTACCCATGCTTTGATACTATTTCATTCATCTTTGTGTATTTTTAGTCAGTTTGTACTATTTCTGGTGGTACGAATGTTACGAGGTATGGGATAACGCTTTGGCTGCGCCATTCTTAGTATTATTTTGTGCTAATATTGCACTATATTTAATCACTACCAAGCAAGGATGCATAATCCTATTAGGTTGGGGGGAGAGGAATCGTTAATTCATTGCAGAAGTCAGCATCGCAGTCACATCCTGATTGGCGAGGGCTTACAGTAATCTCATGACGCATTTTCAGTTACCCAAGGGCCATTGTAAAAGTCAAGACCCATGTTAGAAGCCAAATATTTTTCCATTTTCAAAAAGGGAGCGCAACGCAGGTTGTCATGCCCCTTTTATGAGGGCCTGCGCATTGGTGCGTTGGTCATATTAGCGCTCAGGTGGCCGAATAGTTAAAACGTCAGGTCACATGTATGCACGCCCTCCCCCCACCCCCAACGCAAGGGCCCAGTTTCTTACGTACGTGGGAGTCCTACGCTTTAACGTTCTAACCATTTGGTCATTTAAACCGCGTTCAAAAAAGCCATGATGTATATGTATATATATATATATATATATATATATATATATATATGCGTGTGTGTGTGTGTGTGTGTGTGTGTGTGTGTGTGTGTGTGTGTGTGTGTGTGTGTGTGTGTGTGTGTGTGTGTGTGTGTGTGTTTATAGACATATATGTCTATATTACATGCCTTTAAAGCTAATATGCGTATCTAAAGCAGCCACATATGGAGACCTGGCAGTTTGCATCAACTTTTGGAAAGCGCACAACATGTGCATATCGCAATCCGTTTGCATGCGTATTCTCGACGCATCGAAATTTAATTGGCGAACAGATGCATGTCAGTTCATGTAAAACAAAACATAGGTACTCCTCTACACACCATTTGAGACAATGGGACTAAACCTTTCCCCAAATACGCTTAAGCAGATGCCGTCCTATTGGAAATATCTACCCCAATCGTTTCAATAAATACGCATTGCGAGCCTGCTGTACTCCTCAGATACATTGTTCCAGGCTCCTCCGCTTTTGCAAGGAAAGTGACCCATTCCCGATTCAGGTCAAACGCGTGACAAACGAAACAAACGAAACGTCATCTCAATACCACGTTCAGTTCAGGTTGATTGTAGCAGCGCTACTGCTTGAGCTGGCCCTTGATTGACCACGCGATTATACTTTCGTATGTACACACGATGCTCAATGAGCTCGCCCACGCTCAGCCAGTCTAACTACCTGCGGAGTCCAGATGACATTGACGATGATCGTACGTTTTAGGGTTCGCTATTACAGGCCAAAAATACTTTCAAACGCATTGCTCGTGCAGCGTCCGCTGCGCCTGCAACAGTGAAGTAGTATAGCACATTCGGCAACACTGATAAGTGCAGTGTTTGACGCAGATGGTTTATTGGAAAAATGCAAAGATGCAAGTCACTGCTGGTATCTCCATGCATTTCCTCACAACTTCGTAAAGCTGTAATTTCCAAGGCAGGGTTTTGCAACAAAAGAACACAAAGTTTACTGTTAGGCACCAAGTGACTTCATGGAATGAACCACCGGCGCTGTTAATTTCACTATGGTCTATTGAACTCTTCGTGAGGCAACAACACTCAGGGACTTTGCCAGATTTTGGGGCTTCCGCGGAAATAGGTATTCATAACTCCGTGAACGTAGATTGTAGACAGAGATGGAATTAATATGGTATCCTGACATTGCAAACCACATCCGTCCGGAAATGTGCAACCGTCATTCGGAATTGAATTATATTTCAGATCATCCAGAATCGTCATTCAGAAGTGAATAAGATTTCAGATATTTTAGAATTATCAATAACAATGAATACCATTTCAGGCACTCAAGATTTCCATTCAGAAGTAAACTTGTGGTTTTCTTTGTAAAACACACGCGCTCGCTAGTTGTACAAGCAAAACCACGGCGCCGGCGTTGCAGTCTCCGGGGGCCGCACGGACCCATACCTGGCTAAAACTAGGCATGGCCAACGGGCGAGTGAAAACGATGACGCACCTGAACGAACTACTTTTGGATACTTTAAGTCATCAATAAATGTTTTAGAAGGCATTCCTGGCAAACTGTTATTGAAAATTGGTGGCGAGACCGGAAAAGTAAACGGACATCTCTATTTTTGGTGTTGCTGTAACCGCTAAGCTCTTCAGAGGCCAGCCGGAAAAAATGTGCGTAGTGAAATATACGTCCCAGTATAATTTTTGAACGATACGAATTGATTTTGAAAGACCATCCGAGAGATTATTTCAAAACGTTTGTTCTCGTGCGCCGGGCGCCCGATACCTGGTGTTATCTGCAGCGGCCAACGCCTCTCGGCTTGATGGAAACCGCAACTCCGGACCATCGGTGTTCTTGCTCCTAAGACTGCGATCGCGCAGGCCCAGAACTGTTTCATGTGTTTTTTCAACAGTTGTTACTGCGAAAACATTTACATCTTGAGGCAAACATTGGTTGCCTTTTCATTTTAGCTTATTTCGATTCACTCTATTGACCTCAGGGGTGCATCCAGGATTTCGTCAAGATGGGGCCACGCAACATTGTTGGGCCACCTTGAGTTTGGGGCCCCTTCCAAACAAAATATTCTTGCTTTTCGCCATTACATTTTAAGACAAGTCTTATGTAATTCACTCAATTTTTATAGATCATGTTAGATGCCGTGATTTTGAAGCTAATTGTTTCGGAACAACAGGCATAATCAACTTCTGTTGGCTGCTACCAACCATCAAAACCAGGCATGGACTTCATTCCTACCTCATGTGTTTACGGCTAGCCGGTTGGGCGATGTAATCAGCTGATGGCTGATAACCAATGCATAATTTTTATTTTGTTATAAAGGAATACAACATATCTTAGCATTCAAAGTATGTTAGCGTGATGCACTAGTATAATAAGTGCTACACACTCAAAAGCCAATGGAAATGACTGGTACGACGTCGGCGGCATGTACAATTACGCTCGGCAATCGCGCGTAAAAATTTATTGGCGCATATTCTGCTGCTGCTCTAAGGCGAAGGCACCAAGGCCAATAGGGACGGAACCTGGGGATCATGGGTGCCGCAGGAGACCAACAGGCCGATGGGAAGAATCTGCGGAGGAAAACCTAATCGATCAACAGTGCTCAGGCACTGAGGCAAATAGCGGCCCAACAGCACATTAGGCCCTACGAGAAAATGCAAACAAATCAAGGGCAACGTGGAAAGCTCCTTAGCAGTCAGATTGACCCGGCAAGTTAACATGTAGGCCAAGGCAACCAACAGCGTAATGCCTCTAGACAGAGTAATGAGTCCCAAAATTTCCTCCAAGTGACACTTTCTCAATCAGCAAAGAATGAGTTTCGTTTGGTTATGGACTCTTTACTTTTGTTAACAATGTTTCTTGGTCGTATTCGTCTGTAGGCCCAAATGCATCCAATTGAGTTGTGTTTTTGTTGTAAGAAAACTGCGTCTGTCCGGCCGATTATGGGCCCCTTTGGGTTCCCTCGGCATGGTCCATGAGTCATGGTCCTGTGCCTCCCCTCACCCCCACCCTCTACATCCGCCACTGGCCTGAGCAACTGAATAGATGGGACCCGCTAAGAGCATAGCCATCCATTCAAATACGGAATACTCACGACGCAATGCGTAGGGCTCTAAGCGATCGAGTGCGCCCAAGCAGGTTAACATATAGAGCCCCGTCAAGAGCGTAGGGTGTTCCGTTCAAATAGGGAGTGCCCAAGACCCAATGTAGAGGGCCCCCGAATGATCGAGTGTGCCCGAGCAGGTTAACAGATAAGGTTTCCAAAAAGAGCATAGGGCCCTCCATTCAGATAGGAGGTATTCAAGACCCAATGCAGAGGATCCCCGCATGATCCAGTGTGTCAAAGCAGGTTAACACAAGGGCCCCGTCAAGAGCGTAGGACCCTCTATTCAAAAAGAAAGTACCCAAGACCCAAGACCCGAGGCCCCCGAATAATCGAGTGAGCCCGAGCAGGTTAACAAATAGGGCTCCCAACAAGCGTGTAGGGTCCTGAATTCGAATGGGAAGCACCAAAGACCCTATGTAAATGGCCCCAGTATGATAGAATGTGCCCGAACAGCTTATCAGAAGGTGCCCAATAAGAGGGTACGGCCCTCAATTAAAAAAGAAAGTACCCAAAACCAGATGTAGAAGTGCCCCACATTCGAATGGGCCCCAGCATCTTATGAGAAGGAGCCCCGACAAGAGCGTACGGCCCTCCATTCAAATAAGAGGTACCCAAATCCCGGTGCGGAAGGCCCCCGAAAGATGGAGTGTAGCCGAACAGGTTATCGGATGACCGCGATAGGAGCAGAGGGCCTTAAAATCAAACGTCAAGAACCAATGTGCAGGCCCCCCCGAGCAATCCAGTACGGCCGAGCAGGCGAACAGAGGGGCCCTGTCAAGTGCGCAGGACCCCTTCAAATAGCACGTGCCCAAGGCCCAATGTAGAATGTGAGTGATCGATCGAGCGGCGGGATGTACCCGAGCAGGTTATCGGATAGGCCTCCCCACAAGAGCGTACGCCCCCCTCACCCTTTTCAGAAAAGAAGCAAGCAAGGCCCAGTGTGGAGGGTCCGCGAACGAATGAGTGTGCCCAAGCAGGCTATCAGATGGGCCTCCGACAAGAGTGTGGGGCTCTAAGCAAGTGACAGAGAATTGGAGACGCCCTAGACCAATATAGAGGTCCAAAAGCACATTGCAAGTGTAGCGGTAGGTTGACCGACATCCACGTAAAGGGCTCCTGGGCAGCCGAGAATAGCCCAGCAGTTTAGGATATGGGACCCCGACTATACAGCTATGTAGCTATATAGCTCTATATATACCCGACTATATAGTTCCCGGAGTCTTTCTGGCAAATGGAAAGGATCCGTGGAAGGGCTCGTGATTGGCAGGTGTGCTCCGGCGCGCTAACAGGAAGGGCCCCAACAGCAGCGCAGGGCCTCCGAGCAAATGCAAAGAAATGAAGACCAACGTGGAATTCCATTTAAAGATCGAAATTATCTTGCAAGTGGGCATATCGGTCGTTCGGAAACAGCATGGGGTCTCTAGACAGTGTAAGGGGGCTTAAAAGTTCCAGTTCACAACTTTTTCACTCATTGAATAATATTTTGCACTTCCAATAGGTTCTTCACTTTCGCTTACAATTGTTTTTGGCCGCCTTAGAAGTCCAGAAATACCCAGTTTTGCAGCGTTTTGTTTAAAAAAACTCCACCTGTTCGGCCGGCTATCGATATAGGCTACCGGCTATAGGCCCCATCGGAGCCAATGGGCCCCTTCGGGGCCCAAAGACGGGCATGACCTTGTGCCCCTCCCTCTGGATCCGTCCCTGGTTGACCTTATGATTATGACCTTCGGTGGGAAGGGAGAAACTTGTTACTAGTTTGCTTGCTGACTTCTGTTGCTATTTTCTCAAGCATACACATTCTGTTTGTTTGTGTGACAATGTATCAACGTTTGGCTACGCTTACACTTACGCTTTCCACAAGCTTTTCCATGCCACATAAAGGGAAATTTTGAGCTTCATTTGGAATGCTGTGGTGACCTATGTGCTCTATTTTGCGTTCTCTGTTTTCTTTTACCGTTGTGATATTCCACAGTTTATAATAATATGGTTGCGCCATCAATGTCAGTTGCTTGACCCAGATTTACTTCACACACTCAGACAAAAGAGTTGGCGAATCTTTTACCATGTCCCGTGCGTTTCTAATGTCACGCCTTGCCCAGTGTTTTCTCGAATATTGACAAAACACGTCTGGAAATGAATCAACCAATAGTAGCATCAATACAAGATAGCAACATTCCTTATATGTATGTATCAGGCACTGTTGCCGGCCATATCGCATTTTAGATAGCATCAGACCGAACTTTAATAAAGCCTGACACCAGCGTAGGCAGTACGACGAAAGTGTACGTGAGGTTCGAGTAAGTCAATGAGCCTTGTGACCCAAATGCGTGAAATATTTAAAATGCTGGCAGCTGATCTGGGTGATGGGATGGGCTAGAGTGGTAGAGGGACGGCCATGGCCGTACGATCATTGTTCATCCCTTTCACGAGTCCTACAGCCATAACGTTCGATTAAGAAATTAATATTTTGGTATTACTTCAACCTCCTAGGGGTTTCAGCCTGGTACCGTATAGATTCACGGCTTTTGGCCGAGCACACAGTGGACCGTTGTATATGCAACGGCTTGACATTCCGAATTTTCAGAATTCTCAGCTTTACCACGCGCTCGGGTGGGGAGGTCAAATTGACCCACCCAAAGGCTTGTCCAGAATGGTTTCCAAACGACGCAGAGCATTAGCGCCGAATCTTTCATGGCTGTAAACGATTGAATAGCGGATCGTCTGGCATCAAAAATTTTGATTTACTTTGTGATCTCGCTTACCTTTGGCAGGTCAAAGTCAGGCAATAGTTTCAGCGAAGGCAATTTCTAGGGAATCGCTCAACCTGATGCAACAACGGAATGTCAGACGAAACGATGCATTTCTGATAAATTTTCTTGGACAACAAAACAATTTAATCATTTAATTTCATTGACCTAGGGTCAGGTATGAAAGTCAGAACGAGTTCAAAACCAATCTGTTTTATTACTCCAGGTCTTGCTGTATGGGGTAATTTCTGGTGCTCAATTCGAATTTATTGATAACAGGAATCGCATCACACACCTTCCATAGACTTCTTTATGGCCAGAATAGGTCGCTGACCTAGAATGACCCAGGTCGAGATTTCATTTTTAGGAACATACCGCCTAGACTAATCTTTGTCGCTTATCCAACTGCAAAACTCAAAGCAGTCTTGTATGACTTTGGTCACCATGACCTTCAAAAGGTCAAACAAGGTCACTGATCTTAGATGAGCATGGAACCTTTTGCTTAAAACAATTATCTAGGTTCTAAGGGCCCTTTGGGGACCAATCTAGAATCCGACCTTGTTTGACCTTATTTGACCCAAAGCTTATGAAATAGTAACTTCAAACTTCGACCCAAGTGAGTTCACGTACAGGCCAACACACCCTGTAAATTTGGTGCGTCTGTCTTTCTTAGTCCCTGAGATCTCAGTTGGATCAAATTTACCCCCACCACGCCCTAGCAAAGGGTATCCAACCTGCCACCCCGGCGCGTGTTAACTGAAAAGCTCCGTAGCATGAATGACCTAAGTCATTCATGACTAAACCAGTACCCGTCCCCAGCAATCAAAAGTGTGTGCCGCCGCCCATGGCCGTCAAAATACAGCACCTGCGGCGACCTAAGAGGTGGCCTCTAGAGGGTGCGTTTACTTTCCGATCATAAGGGGCACGTGCCTCCAGCGCCTCCTCCTTTCTAGATCTGCCCCTGCATGACTTTGACGCTGCTTAAATTAAATACTATCTCAATTATATGAAATTTAAAACACGAAGTGCGTTTTGTCAAAGAATGTGTGTTAAATCCGTTGAGAAGACATAGGGGTGGATGGTCGGCCGTTGTCCACCCACCTTCCCATCATCTACAAAAATTGACCCTCCTGGCGGGAACATTATTTCGTGCCCTCCCCCCGTTACGGATTCGCCACTGATCTGAGTAGCTCACGATATAATTACCTTCCCTTCACATAACGTGGATGTGTTTGAGTAAAGGCATTTATGCAAAAATAACTTACGTCTCCGTGTGCCTATCAAAACAGCCTGCAGTAAAAATGTCAACGCTTCGGTGCGGAGCCCTACGCTTTCGTTTCGCCAATTAGTAGCCCGGACAGCTATACTGGTTCCGTGACAAACATTCATGCGTTGACGTCCATGCATTTATATAATAATACTTGACCACAAAGGAACGTATTAGATGTAGTTCGAGATCAGTGCCATATTGAAATAAGAGAGCCTCTGCATAACAAAAGCGGGTAAGAATAATCAGAATTGGAGTTGAAATAAGTGGAATTTCCAGATAGTACAAAATAACTACAAAGCACCTCTAGAATCTTTATAGTACCACAAAACTAATTTAGTGTAGAATAAGCTGTTTTGAGCATCTTATTTTTTTAGCGGACCCAAACGAGTGCGCGAGTAGACGCTTCGAGGTTATTAAGCCTTGGATTAGCCGCCTTGGACAAGCGGGTAGTCCGCCGCAGCGTTAGAATCGGCGTGGCGTTGGTGATAGTATTTGTATTAACTTGGTTAACAGGGACAGTCAGTAGATATGGCGGATGCATGGAATGAATTACAGCAGATAAAAAATAAGAGGGTTTCTCTTAGAGAGAAACTAGCTCAAAGGAAGAGAGAAATGGAAGACATCCTCAGTTCCACCCATGAAACGCCTCCCAAAGGTAAGCTCCCTGACTAGGTAGGTGCCTAGCTGTAAAAAGTGGTGTGTGTTCTGCTGATGGGTGAGTCTGTAAACCTGAGCAAGTTTTTGCACATTTTTTCACTCCAGTACAAACTTTACAAAGTCCTTTCCTTATGTTGCACATGGGGGAAGAAGAGCTGCTTTCCTCTCATGGCCAGTAACATCCCTGCCTTTGTGTCACCCCTTGGGGTGAGTTAGGTGCTAAAGATGTGCTTCTTTTTTTGATCATTTATTGAACACCACATAACCAGGAAAAGACTGTTGACTGGCGTAACTAGTGCATGATCAGGGACAGGAGGTTAAGATAATGGCAAATGTGGATCACAATTCATGGACAGCCCTGAAACCTCTGACAGAAGCTGGGCCATTTCATGATGCCTTTACTTTTGGACATCCATGTCCTCAAGTGGTGGACACATTGCAATGGCATGCCACAAAACCCATCCAAACTATACAAGAGCTCTCAGCCAGGATACATCAACTTCATGAACCATTTCTGTCATCACAGCAGTATGATAAATATTACAGGCTATCTACCCAGGATTCAGCTTAACCACATTTTCCTTTGTCCTGCACCAGACTTGTACATAAGGGGCCTGCTATTGAAAGTTGAGTGAGTCACTGGCCACTTAAGGGCAAACAATTTGTATTTAGCAGTATGCCTGTAGGCAACAGGAACCATATGTGTGAGATTTGTTGTGTGAAAAGTACTGTGATGATCTTGGCATGATAGTGTTGATGATAAGAACAATATGTCACTAAGAATATCAACTCTTGTTTTCAGATTCTCTGTCAACTCCTCCCAAGGCTGCTAGGACTGTTGGCCCAGATTTAATTGTGTCAGCACTATCTGCTGCAAAGCCCAACAATGCACCAACAGACTCCTCTCCAGGTATGATCTCTGACTGTGTCTGAGCAATGTCTTGGTGGGCTGTTTTTTGCATGCTGCTGGTGGCCAGTTGATTAAAGGGAAGACCAGGTCAGTTATTACAAGATTAGGGAGGGGGCAGGGGCACTCAACACCACAGGTTGGAAGGGACCCTTAGTGCTAATGGTCACAGGCCTGATTGGAGGGCCCAATGGGCTGATGGGAGGTTGTGATAAGTCTGCCTGTGCAGACCAGGCCCTGAAACATCAGTCTAGAAACTCTCTGACTGATTGGGAGTCTGTGACAGTGAAGGCTTATTGCTGAGCCCTAGCTCCCATTTCCCAAGTGGAGACAATGTCAGTGTTCAGGAATGTCACCAAATACCTCTTGTGTCTGTCATCACCCTCAGACAATGAAAGGGGAGATGAGAAATGGCAATGAAAGCATCTGCAGGGAGACAAATGGCCTGCATGTGAATTAAGGACCCAAAACCTGACAGATTTTTACTTTGTGCCTGACTGACCCAGTCCTCTGCCCCGTTTTCTCCAAGGGCTGATAAACCGAGCTGGGGTCCCCGCGCGCAGTGTTGCGATGCGCGGCGCTGCAGGCTCCAGTGCGTAGCCCGGCGCTGACCACCGCAGCTAATAGCAGGTGGCGGCCGGTGGGCGCGCAGGAATGGCCAAAAGTAAACTCGGATCGTTCGGAGGTTATGCTGGGGCGAATATTATGCCTGTGCAATGCCGAGGGTAATCCTTTAAATGCGTTAGTGCTTACAGCGATGCGAAAAATATAGCTAACACCACAACTGCAAGTGTTTACTCTGCTTTAACTGCTAAGGGGCTCCACATATCGTTCTGAAAACTGTGCAGGTGAAATCTTTGGCCCAAAACACGCTCCGTATGTCCCAACTGATTTCATAAAGTGGTCGAAAGTGTCACTTCCTGGCATGCGGACGGCAGCTGTTGGTGCCGATGTCGCGGCGCATATGGAGACTGCAACGCTGGTAAATTTACCCCTGATCGGGCCTGAGAAAAGATAGCGCCCTCAGGCGAACATGGGCTGGGTACGTAAATGTTTTTTTGTCACCCGGTTTCAAATACGCTGTTGTTAATCTACAGGGCCTTTGGTATCTCTGAAGAACCCCCAACATTCAATCAACACCCTGGACATTTATCGGGTTACCAAAGCCCTGATGAACCGTTGTTAAATTGATAACTCCGGTGCTTGATTTGATGCGGATATTTAATGACTGATTTGGTCATTTGTGACCTCTAAATGTAAGCAGAATTTAATCTCGTGATATTTTTGGTCTTCTGATTTAGATACATAAACTGAAAAAGATACAGTAGTGCTTTGCGCAACCAATTTATGAGTGCCATCCCACTGCTATGCCGCTATTCCTATCGCCCTAGTTTGTTGTATTCTTTTTGCATTCAAAGTCCTTGATGTGTTGTAAGTGTTGTATATAGTTATTATTAACTATGGTAGTTTGCTGAAGTAGGCTGGTATATCTTTACTTGTGGTTTGGGCAGATCAATTTGCACCAAGCACAAGTTGTTGGTCTTCGTGTTTGAACGCGACGTCGTGGCTCTGGTTCCCCAGGTGTCTTATTTAAACAAGTAACCAGTGGGGGTTTGCCTTTGAAATCGTACATTACCTCTGAATAGTATTAACAGACTATGCTTTCTTATGAACAATTACCAAATTAGTTTTTGCTCTTGGTTAAAGTGGTCAAGTTGAAAGCATAACTAACAGAACATGATATAAGTGGTTAAGGTTGCATTGTTACATTACACTGGGATGCAGGGGTGTGTTGTTCCATAAAACTGTTAAATCTACTCAAGTATTTTGAACAAACCTAATTTATATGTGACAGTAGGCCTGGGCTTGAAAGTTCACACATCACGCTTGCCCCACACAAAATACCAGTGTCTTCCTGAGCAAACTTGGCTAAGAAAAGAGAAGCCATTGCATCTACATCCGGACTTGCCCATGCACATCCAGAGTACATCCCCCCCCACCGAATTTAACGTGATGAGCTTGTTCTCAGACGTGTCGCGATCGGCTGAGACGTCGCCGGCTGAGGCCGACGCCACCGAGGTGGAGCAGCAGCTGCTGCGGCTGCTGACGGCAGCGCGCGACCTGCCCGCCGACGGTGTGCAGCTAGCGGCCGAGGTGGCGGCGCGGCTGACCGGTTGCGTCTCGCAGCGTGCCGTCGATAACGTGCTGCAGAAGCTGGCCGCCCAGGACCTCATCAGGTGGGAGGCGAGGCAGCCGGCGCCGGAGCGCTCGGTCGCCCTGCGATCGGTCACGGCAGAAGAAAGGATTTGCTGGGATAGATGGTTGGCTTATTCGTGTACTCCTGTGATCAGGCTATGGTTGAAATGTGGCAGACATGCACGCTCACACCCACACAGTAATCCTGGTAAATCCCGACAATAGACGACAATAGAGGACAAACTCCCGCATCTGATCCGATGTGCGTACCGTCTCCCTCAGTATCCGGGAGACGACCCGCGAGGGTCGGCGTCTGCTGGAGGTGTCGGCCGTGGAGCATGCGCGCCTACAGGTGGTGGTGGCCGAGAGTGGCGGAGGACCGGCCGACGAGCCGCCGCCGCCGCCGCACCAGCCGCCGGCCGCCGGAGACGCGCCAAAAACCGACGATATCATGGTGAGCGTCACAGGCCGACTACGCACCCAGGGACCACGTCACAGTGGGCGGTAGTATCGCCTTTTCGTGACTGTACCATTATGCTCTTGAGGGACTTATGACAAGCTCACTCTCGTGCTGTCAGGATGTGGACTTCTGAGACTGAGCTGCGTCTGTCATCCCGCCTGTTTACAGAATTTGCTAGCGCTGCCGTCTGCTCGCGAGAAGGAGAACAAGAAGATGGGCGAGGAGATCCTGGACCTTCTGTGCAAGCCTACCGTCAAGGAGCGCTCGACGGCCGAGCGGTTCCGCTCGCAGGGTGGTGAGTGACCGGCTGCCGGCCGGCCAGGATGGCGCCGAGCTCCCGCCGGTGGGAGGGGCTGACGTCTAATGCAGCTGCCAGGGCGCTGAGCTCCCGTCGTCGCGGGGGACTGACGTCTGGTGCAGCTTCTAGATCGCCGACACCCGCCATTGCGCAGGGCTGACGTCTGACGCATCTGACAGGGCGCTGAGCTCCTGTCGTCAGGGGTGGGGGGAGGAGCTGACGTCTGATGCATCTGCCAGGGCGCTGAGTCAGCCACCGTCGCGGGGCTGACGCCTGATGATGCAGCTGCCAGGGCGCTGAGTCAGCCACCGTCGCGGGGCTGACGCCTGATGATGCAGCTGCCAGGGCGCTGAGTCAGCCGTGCCCGCTCACAGCTCTTGTGTGACGCATGGTGCCAAGTATCTAGACCCTGCAAGGTTTTCTTGGGCGGCCCTTTCATGTGCCCAGAGCTCGAGATCTAGTGACGAAGCCTGCGCTGCTATGCAGGGCATAGTGTGGCGTTAAAGGGACAAGGACTCAGGTGAGATACAAGGACAAAAAGTCGAGTGGTAAAAGGTTAAGTGCAAGAAGCCAACTAAATTAAATTCAGGTACAAATTTTAAAAGCAAAGAATGCTACAAGGATAGAATACAAAAGCAAAGTCAAGATGACTATGAATTGAAAGAACCAAAAGTCGAGGTGATCAAGTGCAAGAAGCCAACTAAATTAAATTCAGGTACAAATTTAAAAAGGTGAAAGGTGGAAAGAAAAAGCAAAGAATGCTACAAGGATAGAATACAAAAGCAAAGTCAAGATGACTATGAATTGAAAGAACCAAAAGTCAAGGTGATAGAAGTCGACATGACAAGTCGAAGTGACCAGAAGTCATTGTGGTCGATGTGAGAATACTAACAGAGTAATTCAACTAGTCAGATAAGCCAAAAGTCAAAGGGGGATAAGTCAATTGGATACAGGTAAACGGCCAATCAATCTAAGTGCGCAGGCCTCTGAACACACCATTTGCCTTTGGTCAGTCGCTCGCGCAGCGGAAAGCCAGGGTGGCTGAAGTCCCTGATCCCGCTTAGCCAGTGCGTTTCTGTTTTCAGACTTTCCCTTTTAACTTCCAGAATTTTTCTGGCGGCCTCCTTGACAAAATGTGGCCGCCCCGCAGGGAGGTGTCCTCAGGGAGACCTTGCAGTGCGACGCGGGAGCTTGGGTGGAAAAGAACAAGTGGACCAAATGAGGCATTAAAACTGCATGTGCTGTACCTCCCTAACCTAAAGAAAATGGGGCTCGCGTTTCTCAAGCTATGTTGTGGCCAAATATAAGCCAGGTATAGGTTAGACCCAGCCTCTGATTGGTCAGCGACAAACTAGCCTCGTGGTCACGTGGAAAGCGCGTAGTCCCCTAAGTTGGCTGATGAAGGACCCACGCGCGGTCGGCAAAGTTTCCAATTTCCTTGCCTTAGAACCCAAGAACCCTTTGACTTTGATACCTTTTGACACTTGACGTGGTTGTGTCAAAAAAAGTGGACACTTGCACTTGCACTTTTTCGCTGTAATGTTTTCTTTTCGACTTATCCCCTTTTTAGTTTGATCCACTTGACCTTTATCCATTTTCCTCTGTTGCCTTTTTCACCTCCATCGTTACCTTTTTCGCCATGGTCCGTATCTCTTTGTATTTTATTTGATCCCCGTTTATTGAAGACGTCTTAGTGTCACCATCCCGTATGCGTCTGTCATGATGCCTGATCTGCTGGAGGGTGTGGCCGGCTGTCGCGGGACTGTGTACCGGCAGTTGACGCTGCTGGTGCGGGTGAGCCGCCGAGTGAGCACGGTCCCGTTTGTGTTCCAGGCGCTCAGGTACAGGAGTACTGTCGCCACGGCACCCGCGAGGACTGCGACCGGTCCAATAAGGAGAACGAGAACCCCTGCAGCAAGCTGCACTTCAGGAAGATCCTGCAAAAGCACACCGACGAGTCCCTTGGAGACTGCTCCTTCCTCAACACCTGCTTTCACATGGACACGTGCAAGTGCGTGACAAGGCATTTGGGCGCCAAATGACCACCGCAGTCGGCGCGCCCGTAAACTCCAATAAACAACAAAAGCATTAGCTGCTTGAATCGCATTGTGGTGCTTGTTACATAGCTTTGACCCTTCGGCCATCTTCGCACTCAACAAGAAAGATAACAGGCCTTACGCGGTACATCTGCTCGGCCATTCCCATACTCGTCGCAGCCGACACGTCGCGGTGCCGCTGTGCGCTGGCCACCGGCGGTGGGCGCGGCCTATGTGACGCCGCGTGACCGGCGGCGCGCGCGGCCCGTCTGGGCGCCGGCTGAGTGCGGCCGCCCCGCCGGCAGGTACGTGCATTACGAGGTCGACTACTCGGGCCTGGGCCGGCACGGCGCAGAGCCGGCCGAGCAGAGCGCACCGGCCGTGCTGCACGCCGGCGCCGCCGAACGCACCGTCCTCTTCCCGCCGCAGTGGATCCAGTGTGACCTGCGCTTCTTCGACATGTCCGTCATCGGTGAGTGGGTGGCGCCGGCGGCAGGTGCGCGGCGGCGACGTGCCGTGCTTGCCGTAGCCCCGCCGGCCCTGTGTTGGCAAGCTGCTTCCGACCCGCCGCGGTTTTTTGCACACTGATGGGAGTGGGGCCGACAATGTAACAGTGCATCGTAAGGTGCTGGTGGGCATCGTTCTCCCAAGCACCAAGCTCGAAGCGAGCTGGCGTTTGTTGGGACGGCCAGCTCGCATGCCTTACATATGTTGGTAGGTGCTAAACCATGGGATTTGCTGCATAGATGTCGCTTCTGGCAGGCGATCATCGGTTACCAGCGTCACGCACGCCAAAAAGATGAGGGGGAGGGAGCGCTAACGGTGGGAAGCCTGCGCTTTTCGCCTCGACAAATGATCGCCCTGTTCCTATGTGCTGTAAGGAACTTCTTTCTGGTGTATTGCTGAACAAAGTTTTTCTATTTGCTGCCATTTTTACCAAACACTCCATTTTGGTTGCGTTGAAATCGGATCATGCCGTGCGGGGTCTGTACGCCTCATGACGGCACATGGCGTGCAGCAATAACACCATAGATCTCCTGCTTATTCACGACACTGCGGTGAGAAGTCACCCATTGCAGCAAGACCATCAGCATTATGAGTGTTATATTGATTCAGATCCATCCGTGCGTGGGTGACATTGATTCTCGATAATGGCAGTGCATAGTCACGTCTTTGTCCCGCCCACCGAGCAGGTGAAACCTTAGAAATGTCGTTGGATTACCGCTGTAGCTTTAATTGTCGCTTTGCTTACAATGCACCTGGCTGCACCCACGAACCCCGTCAGTGGTGTTCACAGATGACGCTCACTGCGCCGTGTTAGGTCTAACATTGACTCCCTCTAGCTCTTCTGTTTCTGCTTCTCTGTTTCCCGCCGCTCCCCTTCTTTTTCTGTCGATGATGCATGGCACACGGGGCTACCGTAAGAGCTCCGCTGTGTGGGCGCTTCAAACGGCAGGTCGGTGCGCCCGCTCGGTGGAAGAAGTCGACCGTTTTCCTCACCGCTTCCCCGAGAACCATCCGAGTAGGGGGTGGAGAAAGGGGCCTATCCCTATGTCGACCGTGGGAGCTGGCGTAAGCCGGGCAGTCGGTGAGCTGGCGCTCAATGCTGTCCCACCCGCGGGTAGGATAGTGATTGCCTTCCTGCAGGCCGAGTCGCAGCAGGGTGTCTCGCGTCAGGGGCGAGAAATCCCGCACCAAGGAGACGTTGGCGGACTCCCAGCGTGTCTAGTCTCCATGGTGCGGAGTTGTTGCCTGGTGTGGGTCTGCGTGGTTCAGCGTCATGACACGGCGTCAGACGGCACTGCGGGTCCTGGCCAGGTCCGTGGAGGTTTTCTGCCTGGTTTTCAGCGTCGGCTTCTGCGGCACTATGCTGAGTGTGGTCCCGTTGCCGTCGATCCGGCATGGCCCGGTCTGGTGCGCGCAGCACGAGACAGGACACTGGCAGGGCGTCCTGGCACCTGGTCTGGTGCGCGCAGCACGAGACAGGACACTGGCAGGGCGTCCTGGCACCTGGTCTGGTGCGCGCAGCACGAGGCAGAGCGCTGGCAAGGCGTCCTGGCACCCGGTCTGGTGCGCGCAGCACGAGACAGGACACTGGCAGGGCGTCCTGGCACCCGGTCTGGTGCGCGCAGCACGAGACAGAGCGCTGGCAGAGCGTCCTGCCATCCGCCGCCTCGTGAGTGACGTGGCCTGGTCGCACAGGGCATGCAGCAGCCTCCATGCCTCATTAGCCAGCATTGAGTTCTGCGTGGACGGCCGTGCTGGCAGCAGCTGCAGGCCCGAGTTGTAGTCTGTCGTGACGCCGGTCTGGCGTGTGAACTGCTGGTCTGTGACGGGAGGTTTGTGAATGGCAACCTCAGCAAGCGCTTCACGGATCGCCGTTAACTCAGTCCTCAGACTGCTCCGAACTGACCCAGCATGGACGCGCACTGTCATGTCTCGATGTGGGCGACGGAGGTTGGACCGGCGCGCCGATGGCGTCGTTGTATTTGCCTCCCTGGCGCGGCCCGTGAGACCAGGCTGGTCACATCCGCCGGCGGCAGTGCCTCGATGAACCCCAACGCGGTATCTGGTCGTTGGTCGGGCGGGTCCTTCCGTCTGGGTGAGGTGGGCAAGTCCACTACGAACCAAGCCGACCGGCGGTCATGGATCCACGGCCGGTCGCACTGGAATAGCGCCATGGGCTCGGGCTCCGTCGACAGGAAAGCCACCCCAGCCACATCATTCCTGCTGCGTTCGACCCGGGGAGGCATGGGGGACAGGACAGCACGGTGTCTTCGTCCGGTGGCTTCGGCGGTAGCGGCGGCAGCAGTCCGCCTCTGTCTCGGCACGGCTCCGGTCCACGCCCCGCGGGTGCGGTGCTGCAGGCGTCGGTGGGTTCTTCCCGGGGGTCCGGGGTGACGTCAGATCCCCGCACGGGTCAGAGGTGAGGCGTGCGCTGGTGATCCATCGCCGCTAGCGGACTGACCCGCACCAGCACCAGGACATCAGGCCAGTCCGCGCGGAGAGGGCGTCCCCTGCTGAGCCACACGCAGCCAGTGATGAGCATGGCGCACTTGCTCTGTCCTGCTCGGGGCTCCGCTCTCACCGACGGATTGCGGTGCAGGCCGGGGACGGCTGCGTCCGTAGCATCTGTATGCGGTCTTGTTGGTGCGTCGATGGCTTCCGCACGACTTGCCGGACAGTGCCTGTAGGTGCTGCTGTCTCGGCGCCGTCTTCTTCCGGTGGGTGACGTATTCCGTGAGGTGGAGCTGGCTGTCGAGCTGTACGTCCCGGAATGTCTAAACAGGGCCTGCTTTCGATGGCTTCTCCGCTGAGGAAACCGCTGACTTGACGCTGCCTCCGCTTTCGTCGGGGCTCAGCCAGCTGGCGGCAACGCAGCCTGTGTTTGATGGTTGGCGTCACCTTCCATCGCTGGAGCCTCCCGTCGAGCGTCCGTCGATGGAGCGGGCAGCCGCCAGCAGACGCATCCAGACATGGCCGTGCGGGGGACTGCGCCCGTCGATGGGGCGGGCAGTCACCAGCAGAGCCACGTCGCCCGCGTCCAGGGGTTGCGAAACTTCTCCGGCCGCGCCATGGTCGATGTATCTTGTCAGGGTCCCGTTTAGCTCATTGTCTTGGTCTGCGCTGCCAGCATCGAGAGCCCCCCCCCCCCGCCCCTCCATGGGGATAAGAAGGAAAACTCTTAAGATATATCAGTTTTACGCCAGTTGGTCGATAGAGCTCACAACGAGGACTTGTCATGAAACCAGCTGAAGCCAAGTAGATGCTTCTCATCAAAATTTCGACACTACTTAAACGGAGTCTCACTGGTATCACGGAGTCTTGAAACCATGCTGGTATTATTATTATCAGATATGGAATTCGCATTGAAGCGTTCTTTTGCGATAAGAAAGTAATATTTTGATAGCACATATTTACGTTCTATCCATGAACTTCATCAGTATAGTTGGCAACGACAACGCCAAACCACGAAGGAAGCTGGGTACAAGCTGTCATCACGGAGTTGTCGGGAATTTCCAGGATGTGAGGTGCATTCTAAGAACTACCAAGGGTAATCCTTCAACATTAGAAACACGGAGAACCCGTGTCTTTAATTTGTTGCGTCCGTTGTCCGTGTTCTTCATTTTGGAATCTGGGTTATTTGTTGTGCTTTTAAAGATTTCGGAAATTCAACAAAAATGAAGATGTTAGAATTTAACAAAATTCAACAAAAAATTAATTCAACGAAAATGCTAGAAGGTATGCACCTGCCAATTTGGAAATTCGGGCTGTGGTGCAAGCCACACTGAAGAACAAGTCAATTACGTAACATGGACACAGGTACACAGGACATGCTCCTGTGTACCAAAGTGACTTCATTCTGCTTCCATCTTTGTAGACAAAATCGTATAAAAGTGTCGCCCCCCTCCCCTCCCCAATCAGGGGTGACGTCTCTGCCTGCCTGTGGCGACGTCGCCTCGAGGGTCCGTTGCTGGCCGGGCGTGCGGCCATGCTTCCGCCGGCATTCCTCAGATAAAGTGCTCAGGAGCGGCGCCGTCACTGTGGCCCAGCCGCGCTACCATAGTGATGAAATAAGTGGCCATGCGGCGCCAGTGATGCAACGGGGAAACATGCGGCGCCGATGGGTGACACCCCACGTGCTTTACGGCTGCGTCGCGACGAGGCCACCGATTGGCCGGCTGCCACGACTGCGACCGGGACGCGGGGAAAGAGTTTGGAAAAGAGCTTTTCTAGTGAGAGGCGGGACCGTCCCTGTTTTTCCAGTGAGAGACGAGACTCGTCCTGTTTGGCCACTGAGAGACGAGACCCGCCCTGTTTGGCCAGCGCCGACCGATGTTGTCGCGCTGTTATGACATGGGTCGTTGTGATGTTTAGTTTTCTATTAGAGACCGGAGACGTGAGTTTTCCGTCAGCTTTCCTGCTTCTTGACTAATATGCATCCACCTGATCACGCCAGCTGACGTCGCGGTACATAACTTAACGGAGACTTCAATGATGAAGTTTGATGAAACAGGACTGGGAAGACATTCTGGGGGCGTGTATCAGCGGCGTGCGTCGGCCGTTAGTGGGTTGGCCGGGCGTGTGTGGTGTGGTGTGGTGTGGTGTTGTGAGGTAAGGTGGGGTGTGGTGGGGTGGCGTGTGCGTCGGCCGTGCTGACGGGAGCGGCCGCCTCCACAGGCGAGTGTGCCGTGATCATGGCCGACCCGCCCTGGGACATCCACATGGAGCTGCCCTACGGCACCATGGCAGACGACGAGATGCGTAACCTGGACATCCCCTCGCTGCAAACCTCGGGCCTCATCTTCCTCTGGGTGACGGGCAGGTGAGTGTGGTTAGCTGCCCCCAACTCATCCTCACCCAGTTCTGCTTAGTCTCGGTACGCATAATCGCTAGCCCGCCGCAGCGTGAATGTGAGACGCGTCCCGTGTGTGGGGGCTCCACTGTGGAGAGAGGTCTGGTCACATACCATTTTGCCTCTTCCTGAGCCGGTTGTCCGACATGTCGAGGTGGGTGGGTCGTGTCGGGTCGGTCAGGTGTCCCTGTCGAGGCGTGAGGGCCGTCCCGGTCAGACCATCGCGTCGGTCGCGCGCCTGTTGACGCTGACGAGACCCGTCTGACACACGAGCTGATCAGCTGCGGCTGCGGCGGCGGCGGTGCGCCTCGGCTGACGCGCGCCGGGTGACCGCAGGGCGATGGAGCTGGGCCGGGAGTGTCTCTCGCTGTGGGGCTACCAGCGGGTGGACGAGCTCATCTGGGTCAAGAGCAACCAGCTGCAGCGTATCATCCGTACCGGCCGCACCGGCCACTGGCTCAACCACGGCAAGGTAGTACCGAAGCCGCTGCTTTCGGATTTGCACATGCAAAATTTAAAGCCAGGTGCTTTCGCCTTCGCGTTTTGAAAATCACGAAGCCATTGGCTTCGGCCTTCACATTCACAGTTCCAGACTCCAAAGTAACCGACTTCGACTTCAGCTTCGTATTTTTGTCTTGGCTTCGAATTTGGCTTCGAAGCCAGAGGACTAGTTTCTTCCACATATATGATTTACAGACATAGGGTAGATTTATAATATATTTGCAAATGGAACGCTGAAGGGATTTCCTGTCAAGGTGAGTTGTCAAAGAAAAGTGTGCAATGCACCTAGGACATTTTCACCTACAAGGTGAAAAGCTTAAAAAATAGAAACTTGATCAGTGTCATGCCCAGCAATTCCTGGTATCGAACCAAAGTACAACCCATGCATCTGATCGTCGCATTCTGCTTAGTCAGCCGTTACGCAGCGCATATCATACAGATGAGTGCACAAGGTTTTATGGAATGAATGCGCTGACATTCGCCACGCAAGGTCAGATTTTTGCAGATTGAGAACGCCATTGGTACCAACAAATACAATGAGTGGCCTTACTATCAGTGTCACCGAGTCAACCTGTTTAATCAAGACACAGGAAACAGATTACAAAGGCAAATTTAGAATGTGGATTGGAAAGCGGAGACATTGATACCGGGTCAATTATATTGCAAACCAACCCAAAGAACTAACACTCGGCCCAAGCTATGCGGGTTGCCGTCAATGCCCACATGCTCATAGCCGTAATCTGACCTATATATAGCCATTAAAGCGGCATCGTGTTGTTCAGGCGTTGGTTTAAGATCCAGCGTATCGGTGGTCAAGCCAGGCCACCTTTTCCACACAAGTGGGCATGATTTGTTTCAAAGTGCACGCTGGTATAGCCGATTTTGGATCCCGACATGGCCCTCAGTATTCTCGCTATCCCAGTGGCACTTTTGCCCTGGCATCGCGCATTCGAAGGCTGTTCTTTTTCAACGGTTTGTTCGGACATTTGAAGTAGCGCTGGCGCCCTGAAAGGTTTTTTTCGTAAGGCAATCAAGGGATAATGGAACAAGTCCTGGGTTTTAATGTTTGTAAGCTTAAGTGTTAAGAGTAGTTTTGATGTCTCAAAGTAACCGATTATGTGCAAGTAAACTTTATGTTTGCCAGATTTTATGATTGCCCCATTGCTTCATGATAAGTTCCCTCTTCCGATCCTCTCAATAAACTGAGCCAGCCCGATGCGGCCGCGTGGGATGACGGCGCGCGCCCGGCCGCGTCCCCAGGAGCACTGTCTGGTGGGCATGAAGGGCGAGCCGCAGTTCCTGAACCGCGGCCTGGACGCCGACGTGCTGGTGGCGGAGGTGCGCGCCACGTCACATAAGCCCGACGAGATCTACGGCATCATCGAGCGGCTCAGCCCGGGCACCAGGAAGCTGGAGCTCTTCGGCCGGCCGCACAACGCTCAGCCCAACTGGTGAGGGTACACCGCCGCCACTGGCACCCGAACGCTACCGGTGACGTCACGCGAACAGGACGCGGCCCCGGTGGATTAGCTGTGTAGCTGCCACGCGTCTCCTGTGCCGCGTCTTTGGGTGATGTGTGATCGAGTGCATCTATGCTGCCGTCTGACGGAATGCAAAGCAGAGTCCGTCTGTGCTACCCCACTCACGGGTCGCGTGACAGACCGTCTTTGCCGCGTCTCTGGTCTGTTAGTGTGGCCGTCTGTGTCGCGTCTCATGTCTGATGTGTGAGATGTTGTGCCGCTTCTGTGGTCTGGTGTGTGACTGTCTGTGGCACGTCTCTGGCGGGGTGCGTGTGACAAACTGTCTGTGCCGCGTCTGGTAGCGGGATCCCGTCACTGGGCCAGACTCTGGTCTGGTGGCGGGGTCCCGTCACTGGGTCAGAGCGCTCTCCATCCTCGCAACAGCTCGCACTCTGCCTGACCGTCCGTGCCGCGTCTTTGGTCTGGCGGCAGGGTCCCGTCACTGGGTCAGAACGCTCTCCATCCTCGCAACAGCTCGCACCCTGCCTGACCGTCTGTGCCGCGTCTTTGGTCTGGCGGCAGGGTCCCGTCACTGGGTCAGAGCGCTCTCCATCCTCGCAACAGCTCGCACCCTGCCTGACCGTCTGTGCCGCGTCTTTGGTCTGGCGGCAGGGTCCCGTCACTGGGTCAGAGCGCTCTCCATCCTCGCAACAGCTCGCACCCTGCCTGACCGTCCGTGCCGCGTCTTTGGTCTGGCGGCAGGGTCCCGTCACTGGGTCAGAGCGCTCTCCATCCTCGCAACAGCTCGCACCCTGCCTGACCGTCCGTGCCGCGTCTTTGGTCTGGCGGCAGGGTCCCTGTCACTGGGTCAGAGCGCTCTCCATCCTCGCAAGCAGCTCGCACCCTGCCTGGCTGTCTGTGCGGCGGCCAGGCTGCGCTCTGTGGGTCAGCTTCGGCCTCTTGTCCGGTCGTCCGGTGCGTAGTCGACACGCCATGCCCTGTGCTCAGCAGCGTTTGGCTGTGCAGCGCCACGAGCCTGCGAGCGAGCTCCGGGCGGCGGATACTGCTGACGTGCGGTCCGTCCGCCGCAGGATCACGCTCGGCAACCAGCTGGACGGCGTCAACCTCAGCGACCCGGAGATCGTCGAGCGGTTCAAGAAGCGGTACCCAGACGGCGACTGCCTGAAGCCGCCGCCCTGACGTCGCCGGCCGGACGGCAGCGACCTCTTCACTGGGGTGGAGCGCGGGGCCGGCGGCGGCTGCGGCCTCGTAGCCCTGCACCGCCCGCCACCCGCCCGTTGCGCCGGCGCACGGTGCGTGACCGGCGCCGGCGTGCCGCCTGACCCGCGCTGCTGTGACGGGCTCGCGGAGGTGACTCCCGAAGTCAAGCGGGGAGCTTAGTGGTGGGCGAGGGCACCCAAAGCCAAAGGTGATATTGTGTACCTTGTCAGAGGTCCAGACAGATCGGTCTTCACAAGACGGGACGTTTTCCTGCCAGTCTGAACCTGACACTCGAACCAATAGTGGCTGGAGCTCCATGCACAGGACGGGCTTGTTTTGAGTAAGCTGTAAGGAACTCGCCAGGGATCGTCATGTCCTTCATCCTAATATTTGGGCCCTCGTGTGGGCCTACTGGCTTGCGCTTGTTTTGACGATTCCGTATGTCTTCATCGGCCGTAGGGAGTGTGAACTGCAGGACACACTCTTGTACAAACCCATTTGACCATGACGATGCGTGCGAGCCGATGAGCCACATGACCAAGCATAGGGCGTGCGTTGTCCTGCGCTGCGTTGTCTACAGCGTGCGATTATGCATTTATCCTGCATTTACCCGCCGCCAGCTGGTTTGCTGACCTCTCCGTCTGGTGTTTTATCTCTGATTTAACCATTTCAACCTACTGAGATATACATTTTCTGAGTGAAAGATAAACGGTGTGTTTCGACTCGGATTTGTTATGCAGTGTTGCACTGTAATGTGAAATATTGTGTAACGCGGGTTTGGTGGGTGGTGGGATAGTCAGACTCAGCAAGGTGATGTTTCCGTCACGATAAACTATAATTCATAATGGGGTAAAAGTTGTCGGCATCAATTGCTCTCAGCTCGGTGTCAGCGGTTCCGGTCTGTCTGGTTCTCTTTGTCATCAGCGCCTTGGTCTGTTGGGTCTGACACGGAGTCTACCCCACCTTGGATATCGGCATCTCGGTCTTTCCGTAAGTCGTCAGTTTTTCTGCCGGGCTAGTGTTGCCACTACCTAACCGTCGTGATCAACTTGCATGACTCAGCTGAAGAATGGCCATCCTCGGCTGTTTTGCGGAGGCTTATTAGCGCTGGAAGTGGGAGAATGAGGAAGCATAACGTGAAGTGCTAGGGCCATGATCAATAGATATTCCTGCAGCGCACCGATCACCTGGCGCGTGGATCTTGCTCAACATGCCATCTCCTGTGCGTCATTGTCTAACTTTGGAAAGTGGAGATCTTCTCTAAGCGAAAAAGGAGCATGGAAACATATATAAACGATAAAACACGGACAACAGAAAGCTGTGAGACAGGAGCGCAAAAAACCAACGTACAAAAACAGCCAACGAGCCAACGCGGCTAAGAAACATGAGGTATTCGCTTGACGATTCGAATGTTTGGCCAGCAAGACCTTACAAAAAGCGATAAGAAGCGACGGGGCGACAAAAAGTGGGCCAGCCACATCCGAAATGATGTCACCCAGTGCTGACGTCATGATGAAAGTTAAATAGCAATAAATACGTCATTCAGATACACTGATATGAGATCCACTGGTCGTTCCTAGTCCGGAGCAGCGCACCGAGCTGCGCCGGCCGCCATCTAGCCGGAGGGCAGCTGCTCAGCCGTTTTCAGACGGTGTCGAACAGCGGCTCGTTCATGGTGTCCTTGATCCAGTTGACGTGGTAGGCCACGTCGATAAACACGGCCGGCGTGTCGGTCAGGCCGCAATCGACGCCCCAGGAGGTGATGGCGGCGAGCACCGGTGCGCCGGGCGCCCTGTAGTAGGCCAGCCCGCCGCCCGAGTCGCCCCAGCACAGGCTGCTCTCTGGCGATGGCACGGCACACAGCATCGGGCGCGGAGCGAAGCTGAAATACAGCAGCCGACGCAGGCACTGCTCGTCGCTGAGCACGCGCAGTGGCACCTTGTGCAGCAGGCGGGGATAGATGGGCCCCTCCGCCGTCGCGTCCGACGCGCCCCAGCCGGCCGCCACGCCGTACTTGCCTGCGGAAACAGGGCTGGGGTTAGTCGACAACTGAGCACTGGGCGCCGGTCGTCAGCAGGGACAAGGCGGTTCCAACCAATCATTGGCCGTTTCCAGCAGACGCCGCCGGATTCAAATGTTGCGCTAGCATGCGCTGTAAAGTGGTATCAATCCACACGTGGCACCGTGACCGCAACCACTACGCTGCCCCGTGTACTCTGCATGCAGCTTGAAGGGCGTTAAGAGTGTAGACTCGGGCTGAGCGGCGGGCGGCCAGACGGCACCTTGTGAAGGACAGCGAGGGCGACCGCCGGCGGGCGCTTACCGGTGAAGTCATCGGTGGCCTTGGGTAGGGGGATCGGTGCCACCCCGTCGCCGAGCAGCGCCGGCCGGTCCAGCTTGATCAGAGCGATGTCGCTCTGCTGCGAAGAGCGCGGCGAGCGCGAGACGCCGAACCGGCCGCTGTAGAGCACGGCCTCGGCCAGCCGGCGGCGCTGCTCCGTACCCTCCTCCAGCGCCACATCATGCTCGCCCAGCACCACCTGCAGCGGTGCGGCGTGCTGGTGTCAGCCGGCGCTCACCCCGATATCGTGTAGCGCGTGGTTTTGTCAGCAATATGCTGAACGAGACGCGATAACTTTTCACTTACTTTGCGTTAGATTGATCCACTTAGCCGACATGTTTGGGTGGTTAGTTGTCAAAGCCTGGCAATTTATTGGTAACATATTTCTGTTGACTGACGGTGCGTCAGCTGCGGCGAATCATGGCTGTCGGAGACAGACAGCTGTTGACGGAGAGAGGCGGAGAACCTGCCGTTGATCGGTGCCTCGTTCCTGAGCTGGCCGCCACGCACCTGGTACGCATCGAGCTCCTCCAGCCCAGAGAGACAGTGAGCGGCGGTCAGCAGCCAGCGGTCGCTGACCAGCACAGCACCGCACACGTGCGCGCCCCGCTTCAGCAGCTGTGCCTGCCAGGGGAACTCGGCCTTGGCGGCCGGCTGCGCCTTGATGGAGCCCTGCTTGCCGCGCGGCCCCGTGGACGGGAAGGTCCAGCACACTGGAAGCGGGGGTGACCGGTTAGTCCGTCGGCCGACGGCCGAACCGCGGGAGGACAGACGCTCGACTTGTGGAAGCAGAGCTCCCAGCGCGGCTCCGGTGAACGGCTCCGTGCCGCCTCTTGCAGTTGATGCGTCGAACAACAGGGGTCATGTAAGGGAGACATGACATTTCCCGAGGAAAAGAGGAAGGGCCTTCCATCAATCACATTACGCATGAAGTGGCTGAGGCCTGGAAAGGATGACACTGAAATATAGGTGTTTGAACCTACATGCATTACGCTTCATTAAGCAAATTAAGTCTGAAGCGTGTGAGGTCCGTGACCTATGACGCCATTTCTTAACCTCTGCACAGCCGATTTGGCGAGAAGTTTCTGAAAACTGCATACGCACGACAGTAAAAGGCTCTCGGAAACGGAGGGAGCGGAAATGATATTCAAGGATAGCGTTAGGTGCGCAAGACTGCGAAAAGCTATTTTATGTTGTCTGGTGTCCTGTGTTTTCACTTAGCAACGTCTTGCTCCTTCGCGGTCCAAACGAAATATTTGTCATTGAGCTTGGTATACGCAACAGAAGCGATTGGTATTGTAATTATCGGATCCTATTACAAACATATCTTACCAAAATGACGTTTATACTATACCCTCAAGTGGCGCCGTATGATGTAGTTACGTTGCAGTGCTAATGAACAATGAACACCTGAACGAGCGACATTTACCTAAGAAAAGGGAAACAGTGACATCACGCATGACGTCACGCATGAGGGAGCGGGCGAGTCCGGTCTCGCCCGCTTGCATTGATTGACCTTCCAATGCGTTTTGGGTGCTCAGTTTCGAGGAACAGCCAGGTAGTAGGCCAAATGACAAAAGCAGCATCGTCAATCAGACTAATGATATTATCACATGACCTGTGATGATCGCGAGATGTGTTTTACTGGCATAAGTCGAGTAGCGGGTTAACTTGGAGGCGCTGAAAATATCGAATCGCTGTCTTTCTACCCTAAGCGGTTACTACATGGGTAAAAAGTGCGGTAAAATGCGGGGGGACTGCGACTCACGACTTGCACCCTATCCCCAGTCACATGTTTAAAGGAGGAAGTGTGGTCTACTTTGACCCATCCTGACAGGTCATAGAATAAACTATATAGTTGTAAATGACATCTGGACATTACCTCTTGCTCTTTCAGCCTTTATGTGGTATGGTCTGTTTGCCAGGAGTCGTAAAGTTACAGTCCGCCACATAGTCAAGGTTGGTTCAACCATGGAAGCTGGAGAGGCACAAGCAAAACATGGCTTGCTCATTGACCTTGTCATCTTTGCGACCTAATTCGACTTACCGGTAAAAATGGACGAAGCCACTGCAGCCCAAATTATCTGGTTTGCCATGCAATTCTAATTGAATGTAACGCACGGAAAGAATAGGATCGTTTGCTTAACCACCCCGCAATGGTGTTCACGTTTTGCCTGCACTGTAAAGCTGCTGAAGTGTTAGCGACGGATGCTCACGGCCGAATGACCCACTCCACAACGAGTGGGCCCTGATGAAACCCAGTTATCTTGACGACTTCTGGATTCCCAGAACGTGTTTGCACAAGCTCTGTCTCCAATCGCAGTGACCTTTGCCAATAGTGGTGACGTAGTCAGTTGGACCGGCTAAAACCCGTCACTCACAGCCACGTGAGGTGCTTTGTTTCTTTGGGGGGTGCCTTGGTCCTAACAGTGGGCATCCACACTCCTATGCTGTGAAGTCTTGATCATCTGAAAAGCCGACGAAAGGCGTAACACGAACGAACACCATAGCTGAGAGACTGTGACCTTTGCCCGGTCTCCAATGAATTTCGAATGGCTTCGCTGTTGCCGACAGCCGTGCCGCGTGGTTTACCGGCCACTCATTGTGCCACAATCAGCCACTCCTCTCCAGGCGGAAACTGATTCCGGAGCCCGTCCACTAGATGCCACAGATTCCTGCGGACATGAGCAAACTTGCTAATCTGATAGCGTTATCTTTGGTGTGGTCGCACGAGCGTCGGCCCCAACGACTCAAGTCTATCACCGCTGCAGTTTATCATGACTGCAGCCTATCGCGAGGGGCTAGCCCAGCACTCCTTCGGCGAGTGCGCCAATCTGCCCCGGATAAGAGCTCTGCGCATCCGGGGTCACGCAGCGGGAGATCTCCGGCCGCAGCAGGCGCCAGCCAGCGATAAGTAACGCATGTCGTTGACACTTCGGGATCGGGGAGGCAGGTGTGATTTCAAAGTTAGGTGGGCAAACGAAAATAGCAGGCTGCAAATCCTACGTCCTCCCGTGTTATCCCGGATTTTGTTCGCTATATTTTAGATTTTCGCAAAAAAACATGTTTCGTGCGATTGAAATGTTTTTTTATCGATGTCAACGCGTGCTCTGGTGTAATGTACTGTATGTACTGTATGTAATGTATGAACATGCCCCTGGACTTTTTCCTCTTGGATGCGATATTTTCGAATTAGTTGTAAGCTGTTCTTTACATATGCACATCATGATCACATTTAGCTGTTTGCTTAACCTGATGAAGGAAATCAGGCATTATAAACATACTGAGAAATATCGTAACATCCACGTCCCCAGGCTCATCCCGCACACTTTCACAAGCACGAGACATGACAAACAATCTGAGTCGTGCCTGGAATGTCGAAAGTCAAATGTTTACATCTACTTGATGTTGAAGTTGAGCATTCAACCTGACGACCATAAAATGCATGGGACATTATCTACCGCGCCTCAGAATAGCCCTGCATAATCTATGCGGCATTACAGCAGTGACCCAACGTTGTTTCACTCCAGACACTACGACTCACCACCAGTTCACTGCTGACTACTTAAATAGTCGTGCTGTTCTCAATGGCAATGGCCACTGAGATGTCACAAAATGAACGGTTTACCAATGCGTTGCAACCTTTTATCGCTTTGCTTGCTTGCAGCTTCCGATTGTGTATTAATAAAGCTTAGGCCACGGATTTACTCACTGGCTGTCCACGCGTGGTATGTCATCACATATGGTTAATAGTTCATAGACGACGCGAGAGGTTGACGCGAGGGTCCGAATCAACGCAAATATACTCGTACGGGTCGAGTGTGGGTCAAGCAACCCGTCGCTGAGCCATGCATAACTCACCGGATGCATTAAAAAAACGCAATACAATTGAGATGTCCCAGCGGGGCAATAAGAAATATGTTTTTGCGTTCAGCAGATGTTCATGTGTCGCACCCTCATGACCACCGCATGAAACCTTGAAAAATACTCGACATTTAAACCCAGTTGATCACAGGTAATTTTGATAACCGTTTCTAGATACACGAAAGGCTGAGCATTATAAGCACTCCAACATAAACATGTTACGCGATCCATGCTTGAGTTTGTAACCGAAGATTCATTTATTGTCAATTTTTAATCACCGGCAATACCTGCTTTTCTCAATGATCTGAGAACGTCAGATTTTCACGGATTGTCTATAATGCGCTGTGTGCTAAGCCCACCTAATCTCATAGTCATAAAATCTCTCGTCTTGACTTCAAGTCTGTTTTATCACCTGCCCAAAATGTTAGTTCCGGCGGCTATAAAACTTTCGAGCACGCCATACAAAGACTTTGATGCACCGTGTATTCACTGTAGCCGTGCGACTGCGGTCGCCTTTGGACCAGAACGTTCTGATAAAACCACGCCTGATCATTGTCGTCCATGCGGTGCACTTCACGGAGTGCAGAGGTCGTCACAGTACGATATCGGGCCTGGCTTCTCCCCGGTACACATTGCTCTTTGAGATGGCACTACCACTAGCAGATGTGCTTCTTCAGTGGACCAGGGATCGTCAGGGAAGTTTGATTCGCACGGAAGCCGCTCAGGGCAGCTGCGGGAGCACTTCACATACATAAGACTGTCAGATGACCTTATTCCTTGTCGAATAATCAGGTATTTTGGCTACATGTATTTGTCAAAACTGTTATAAGCATTAACTTCTGCAAGAGCTTCTCAAAGACTTGATGCGCCTTTGCGTATTCACTATAGCGGTGTGACTAGCATCTTCCTTGGACCAGAGTGACCCGATAAGACCACGTGTTCAGACGACGCCTCCTCATGATCGTTTCGACCAATGGATGTAGCCGGAGCCAACACATCATGTAGCCGGTACATCATTCTCTCTCATTTCTCCTGGTTTTTCCACGAGGAATCAGGCTATCAGTACTGTCTTAACACGCGGCCAGCAGGTCGGTTGAAGATCGTTCGCTCGAGCGGCGACTTATTTGACTCCCCTAAAATCGCAAAAAGCCAATAGGTCTAGGGATACCAAATTCACAGGGTGGGTCAACCTGAATCTAAACGTTCTTGTGTCAAAATTTGAGGCCCGTACGTTATAACAGTCGAATCAAATAAGGCGAAACAAGGTCAAACTCAAGACTAGTATTCAAAGTGCTCCCAGGCGTCTTCATGCAACCGTCTTGAACTCAAACACCTGTTCTAAACAAAAGGTCACTGGTGTTTATTTTAGTTCAGTGACCTTCTTTGGCCTTCACAAGGTCACGTCGAACAGATTATAGAAATATATCCGATCCATTTACATCTACCTGGATTGTTAAACCCATCTTGATCCGTCCATAACTCTGGCGGAAAAAAACCTCCGGAAAGAAGTATATCGCGGCATGTGACACGTATAATGCGTGCGAGGCAGGATGTGAAAAATGACCTTGTTGTCTTCAAGGTGCGTCCGTTATTAGTGAGTCACAATTTTTAGAGATACTGATGCTTTCAAGACAAAAAGAGCAGCAATGTGTATACGCTGCGACAAAACTGCGTGTGCCTCCATGCATTTTCGGCCGGTACGAGCCTAACTAAATAGATAATAGATACAGAAATCCGATTTTTCACGAAATATGACGTTTTGCTTGGTGGTTTTGCTGCACGCGGCAGGCAACAGCTGCATAATCCGATAAAGTTGTATGTCCAAACTGTTCAGAAAAATTTACGCGCCGGCGACGCGGTACATTCAAAATTCCTCGGTAGCTATGACACCCATATTATTGATGCATCGCTTAAGTCACTTTCGGAACACAATGTGGCTGTTAGCAAATTCTTACCCCTTCGTTACAATGCTAATTTTCAGCACAATATTCGCTTGTCCCCATTGCAAAGACTCACAAAATATTTTTACATATCCCAGTGAGGAACTACATGTTTAAATGCAATGAAATGCGTGTCATCAAGCAAACAAAAAAGGACATGCCTTCAGGCCTTTTAGCTGCCACCAATATCTTAATCCAAAGGACAGAGTTTCTTGACGGACGCTATTTTCTTGACGTTCATGGGTGGGCAAATACTCTGATGCTTATAAATCCGAGGCCGGAAACCTTGGGCGCTATGGAGTTCTCCGTCACTTGAGCACTGGTTTGATCCAGAAGGCTGACCTTGAAAAGTCAAGACTTATTGAGGAACGCTAGTTCATGCGCTGGCAAATATTATGGTACTTCATAATCAAAAATCGGCTAGAAACTAAGCGTGGTAAGGAGTTCCTGGCCATTTCAGTTTGACCTTAAAAGGTGGCCTTGGGAGGTCAGGACTTCATGACGGATGCAAGTTTATACGCTGAAAACGTATAACGTTCTGCTGCTAAATAATACCAAATCGCCAGGAAACTTTTTGATATGAATTTCCTCGTCATTACACCTTGAATAGTAACATGAGAAATAAAGATGTTTTGACGGACGCTTGATCATGTGCTAGCGACTAATATGATAAAAATAAATCAAAAACAGACTGGTAGCATCTGGGCCACATGAAGTTCCTGTCCCTTGGGCCGGACTTTGACCATGAGGAGTCAGTACTTTTATTGATGGACGTTAGTTTCTGCGTCGTTGAACGTAAACCTGAAATTGGCCAATAACTTTCGGGTGATGCGGAGTTGCCTATTGCTTGACGGATACAAGTTTGGGTGCTGAACACGATAGTGATGCTGAATAATCCGAAATTGGCTGGTATCGTACAGAACTAATGGTGTTATTGAGTTCCCCGTCATTTGGCCCTGAATGTGGCTTAAAAGTCGTGTGATATCGAAACAAAGACGTCAGCAGCGGGATGGAAAACGACGTCAGATTTATTGTTCTCATGTCACAAGCGACCATCTGACGTGTTTTGGTAAAATTGGAGCCTGTCGTTTACTACATCGCTAAATACGGCTCGCTAAGATTAGATAGACGGGCATTATCTGCCATGCAAACAATTGCGCGCGATTTTCGTTCGTCCAGACTATTGCAGGCTCAACCAGTCTCGTGACTTACCTTTTCACGATTAACATTTTGCTGCGCACTTTTATGCCTTACACAAACTGTATACCCCACGTGCCATATGCTGACGAATTTTGGAGATCGTCCTATATCTGAAAACAATGCCGGGTACCCGACCGCACATATCTCTGTGAATAAAAAAACGGAATTCAACATTTCCTTTCTGTTGGTCTTTGTCACTACGACCGCTGGGCACTCTTTCACAATACCGGGCTGTTAATCATAAGGAGGCTTCGCCATTCTCCCCGACCGGCCCCAGTCCTGATCCTTCTCTGCACCCGTCAGGGCACTGATCGGACAGTCCGGTTTCGCCTGGGCGCATCGCCTCCACGATGGCCGCCACCGCTGCTACACGTGCCCCGAGCAAAGACCAAGACGCTCCCGACCCGTAATTGTGTAAATATTCTGGTGACGACCATACATCGCAGCCCGCAACATATTACGCATAGGGTTTATAGTTATATTTCAGTTGTCTAACTCACATGGTCTCATTTCCTCTTGGTCAGTTCATCGTTTAACCATAATACGTATAGCAAGAACTTTATTGTTTGGTTGGCCTCATCAGTCGTCACTCTACGCAATGGGAGAACGACGCAAACCAACCTACATCAACACATATCGTATAACCATACGCATGGCACACACCACATCCTCACACAGCCTTCACACAGCTGGCAACACAACCCAGACTACACCACCCACAGGCTAAGCCGTCCAGCACCTGCGGGTGGCACGGCCAGCCTTCCGGCACAACGGCACCCCGTCATGGACGCGCCACAGATCCGAGAACAATATAATGCACACCGGGCGCCGGGTGGTCATCACTGCACGCCCAAAGGTCGTCACAACCACACATGCCATGTTAGGAGAATATCCAGGCGCCAGGGGAGAGGGTCGCAGAAATTGCACCCAAAGTCAAAACAAACGCATCTTTCGAGTAGTGCCCTGGAGACGCTGGACGCTGATATTGGGCATTGCCATCCACGAAATGACCCCAGCTCGCTGACACACTTGTTCACCCACACCCATCAGGCGCGACGGTTGGGTGCAGTGAGCACTGTACACAAGTCGCCTCAGTTCGCCAGCCGAGCGATACAGCCATAACAAGCGGGACGCACAACCGTACCGAACATCACACATTTGTGGAGCCGAAACTGACACTTGCCTGCCCATATTGACGAGATGCGACCAACAGTGTTCAGAAGCCGTCATTAGACTCACACCGGAAAACTGCGCCACCTGGACGGTCAGACATTCACAAAGCCCACGCCAACACCACCAATGTTGCCCTGTCCACTCCAGTCCGCAAGGCTCAGCGCCCGTAACGACAGAACTTCAGAACGCAACTCTGACGCCGTCCAACGCTACAGACACAGCACAGATCATTTTTCGACATCATCACCGACCCTCCCGCCGCTCTACGTCCTGCGCAGGCAATCATATCCTGCCATTTCCACCACAGGCCAGCCAGCCGCCCTACCAAATACCGCTGCGCTTAACCAAATGTTTCCGTTCGTGCTCGCTCTCGCTCTCGCTCTCGCTCTCGCTCTCGCTCTCTCTCTCTCTCTCTCATTTTATCCTGGTTTTCCCAGCCACTAAAAACGACCCTTTCGTACCACCTCCAACACTACTCCTATTGCGTCCTCTGTACCATTTGATATCAATCCACCAGTGCGTCTCTCTTCCCCTCTATGCCCTCCGGGGCTGCCCCCGCTGCGATCACCGACGCCGCCCACTTCTCCGCTCCGAGCCCATCCCCGAGCTCCGCACCGCTCTCGCTGCCGGTCCCGCTACTCCTCGCTCTGCGCCCGCTCCAGCTCGGTGACGTGGAATCGGACGCCGGTCAGCTGGGCGCTGAGGTCCCACAAGCCCTGCACGGCCGGCTCGTCGAGCGCCACCGGCGCGTACTCCTCGCGCTTGCAGTTGGCGTAGATGTGGCCCGACTCGAGCTCCAGCTGCTCGGATACGGCGCAGTTCAGCTGCGTCTGCACACCCTCAGCCACGGTGCGCATGAAGAGGAAGGCGACCGGCAGGGCGGCCACCCGCGCCACCCACGAGAGCGACGAGTGCCGAAACAGGCCCGAGTACACCCAGCCCGGGCAGCACGAGTACACGCGCACGCCGCTGCCCTCCAGCAGGCGCGCCAGCTGGCGGCCGAAGAGCACGTTGCAGAGCTTCGAGTTGGCGTAGGCCGGGTTGAGCCGACGGCCGGGCTTCAGGTCTTCGCCGTTGGCAATGTGCGCCAGGTCGACGCGGCCCTTCTTGTACAGGGAGGACGTGACCACGACCACGCGCGCGGTGGACGACGCCTGCAGCCGGTCCAACAGCAGTCCGGTCAGCATGTAGTGGGCCAGATGGTTGACACCGAAGTGGATCTCGTATCCCTGCGCGGTGCGCTGGTGCGCCTCCACGGGGTACACCACGCCCGCGTTGTTCATGAGCACGTCCAGCCGGCTGAACTGCTCCTTGAAGGCGCGCGCGAACTCCTTGACCGAGTTTAAGTCCGCCAGGTCTAGGTGCATCGGAATCTGAGAAGGAGGGGGACAATCAACGATTGATGGGCCACATGGGGGTTGGGAGCCAGCGATTGATCAGCGATATGAACTCTGATATGGCTGAGAATTTCGGAAAAATCGCTGACCATTCCAATCTGGCAATCTGCATTAAAGACAGCTGGTCCAGTAGCAGTCCACGTAAAAATGTAGTGGCTTCGGTAGTTAACGCCAAAGTTGATCTAATATTTCTGCACGGCGCGCTGGTACGCCCGCGTGTTACTGGCAGTGGAATGTTCGGCACGTTTGTGCTAAACCTGGTGTAAGTAGCACCAACCGTACTGCATTCTGCATTGGAAAAGCACACACAACATCAATGACATCTCACTACCCCACGATGCAAGAGCTATTTTGTCTCGATATCTTACATCCTTTACGTCCGAAAACAAATACATTAGTGCTAGATACTCGATTCCACCATTGGAAACAAAGTTTCAACTCTGGTCACGGACGTCAATGACTAGAATTGGGAGACATAAAACCACCTTAAAAATGTCGGGCAATAACAACATATGCTCAGTGATGGTAGACAACATCCATTTGCTGGGTTTCGCGCGGCCGAGGGGAAACGCAGAATCGTCACATCTCCAGTCTGGATGTCGACTGCCAGTCAGGCAGACCGGCAGGCAGGCGGACCGAGGGAGGGGGGCGTGACGGCCAAACGCTGGCCATCTGACGTCTGGTGGTCTCACCAGCTGTCCGCGCTCGGTCCGGCGGCGGATCTGCTCCTGGGCGGCGCGCGCCTTGTCGAGGTCGCGGCAGGCCATGACGACGGCAGCGCCCCGCTCGGCCAGCCGCAGCGTCGTTTCACATCCTAGGCCGCTGTTGGCGCCCGTCACCACCACCACCTTGCCGGCCATCGAGCGTTGGCTGGTGCACCGGCCCCAGTGGCGCGCGCGAAGCCGGCGCACCAGGTACAGGCCGACGGCCACGGCGCCGGCCGCACACAGGTACGAGGGCAGACCCATGGCTGGGGGTGGCGGCGGCAATAGGTCGAACAGCCCGTCCCTTCTCTTCTGTCAGTCAGACCTGAGGGAACACACAAAGGGGGTTACAGGCAACTTTGAGAGCAGTACACCACAAAACACTATGTTGCTCAAGGGGTACATTACATACGGATTGACGGAACATCGATATGTGGAGCAAATACTGCTTAATGTGACGAAAAAGAAACATCAAGGAAATAGCACAGCAGTCCACCTCCAAACGTTATTGGAACACAGCAAAGCCTGACCGCACCCTTACAATTACATATATTTGAGACAGCATGTTCATGTTGCAACAATACTAACACACCCTGGAAAGTTAGGTTTTCTTCGCGGAATTTCCTGAACAAAGACATGTATGCTCCTTAAATCAGCATTGCAAATGACTTATCCGGGAAGAGTGAACAAGTCAGGCGCATGCAGCTACTGTGGCACAAGGCAGCAGAAAATATTAGCTTGGTGCCAAATCCAACAAGACAGACCCAAGTTATGCATCACATTTTATTACCACAAAATCTGACCAACAACATAATTTCACTGAAGATAACGGTATTTTACCACATCAATTTTAAGTATCTAAGCGCCCATAGGCGTAGAAACGTTTCAAAAAGTGGGTGGGCCAAGTTTAGGGTGTATTTCAGGAACTTTTTCTGGAAGGCGAGCCTAATGACCGGAGGGGGGGGGGGGGGGTAAGGATGGAGGTTGTTATTGCCCTTTATTCAAATGTCATGGCTGCTATGCTAGATATGAATCTAGAGCTGTTTATTACTGGTGCACAATCATGCCTATTCGACTCATCTGTCATTTGGCAAATAATGCTATCCAGCTTCCCTAGATTATTCGTCCATTTTAACATCGTCTTTCCTGGGGAGGCGAAATTCCGCGAGCGGGTAGGTATTTTGGGTCAATGAGGAAGCATCTGCCTCCACAGCGTAGATACCAAAATACGATCTGAATATAGGCTGGTGGGAATTTTGAAAGTGGATCGATGGCTCACAGTGCGACAGATTTCTCATGCGCCTTCATTTCGCTGGCTGCTTGTCAAGAGGTAAGACTTGTCGCAGCATTTTAGGCGGAAACAAATTCGAGAGCTTAAAACTGCTAGAAACAATGTGCCAAAAGCCATAAAACTGGAGAATCTCTTTTAAGATTATTATTTTTTTTAATTAATTAGGGCCAATTAGGCCAATATGTCATAATTAGGCCAATTTGTCACATGATCCTTATCTGGGCCCTGCTCCTGTCCGCCATGAGTGGCCACTGCCCTGGCCCCGATGCCTCCCGCATGACTGACTGCGAAGTGATCGTATGGCTGCTTAGTTGCACACTTTCACTTTTGGACCAGCGTTACTACTACATGGTGTTTGAAACACGTGTTGGACACCTGCAACAGTATCTTTTTTCCGAATTATCTTCCCTCACACCATAACATCGCAGAAAAATAGCCTCAGGCAAGCTGTCTGCCTTAGGTATGAATTGGCCCTACGGACACTTCATTGCCCATCATGCAACGTATACGACTTGATCTGCCTTGTGTGTAGGCAGGGGCGTCGCCAGAGTCTTGCAAAGGAGGAACGCAAGGTTGACAAAAGCCCATATTATGGCGATCCCCTCCCAAATTCCCGGATATAGCTTACTTGTTAGCAAGTGACACGGTTTTCTTCGTTTTACTGTTATTGTTACCATGTAACCAGAACAGAAAACAGGAGCTACCGTGAGTTCAATTTTGTTTGTATTTTGAGGCCAATAAACTGCAGAAATCAGGCGTTGAGCGACTGCATGGAAGAAATCACCGGCGCTCTTAATTTATAACGGTTAGTTGATTCTTTGCAAACCGATGTAATTCAGAGGCTTTGTCAGTTTTTTATCTGGGTTCTACAAACATTAAGGACTTTGCGAAGGTGGATTGTAGATCGATATGTTTTATCCAAATTTGAAGAGGAAAATTTGATTGCAGATCGAGTGATCAACAATGTGTGTTAACATGGCGAAGCCATGTTTGTCTGAAAATGTTCACCATCCAGTCAGAATCGATAAGTGATAAAATCTATGTAGCGTGTTTTTAACATGCGCGCTCGCAAATCTTGGCAACAAAAACCTCGCCACCAGCGTTACAGTCTCCACAGTCCGCGGAGCGTTAGCCCAGTAGCTACTATTTAGCCGTGACCCACCGGTGGACGAAAATGATAACGCTTCTGAGATGCCGGCCTTTAAACACTGCAATCAACTAGCAAGAAGACAAGTTATGTGACGTAATTTCGAGCATGCACACTCGAAAATTGTAGAAACACAAGCCTCGGCCGCAGGCGTTGCAGTCTCTGTAGGCCGCGCAGCGTCGGCCTAGCAGCTAATATTAAGTTGTGGCCAACGGGTGGACGAAATAACGACGCTTTTGAAAAAGTATCCTTGGACGCTTCATGGCATCACATCTTGCATTTAGAAGGCAGTCTGAGCGCATATCCCACGTGTGCAATGTTTAGACTGATGGAAAACACGGATTGGCCCCTAACGCACCGCAAAGCGGGCTAGAATCTGGTGGTTTAACTGGAAGAGTGGGGGTAAAATATCTACTTTTCGTGTTTTCGCAGCTATTTATCTGTCCAGAAGACAGGTTAACACGGCGCTCGCCGTCTATTGGCAGTTGAAGTGGCCGAACTTTTCGGTTTTACGGAAGCTGCAACCCACACCATCCTTGTCCTTGCTCTCGAGGTTGCGGGCGGGCATGTTCAAGCCATTTGATGTAATTTGTTTCAATGATACATTCTGAAAAGCGAACGTCCTCAGGCAAACATGGCGTGACCTTGCTCGTTTTTTTAAAAAAAATTCCTTTCGACCCGCGCTTATCAACACTAATGAGAGCTCCACTCAAGTCAACAATAATGAGACACCTTATTTCCTTCCGGGCAAGGGGCCTCTTAACTAAAACACCAGAGGTGCATTACCGTTTCCGGTCAAGGGCTGAAGGGCCATTCCGTCCCATCGCGAAGTGTCTTCTGGCTATCATTCTGGTGGCATGGGACGGGATCTCCTGGTTGATCCGGAGGCCATTAGAAGGATAAATCATATTATATTGTTCCCATCCCTGACACGGGAGGCCTTCTGACCCGCGCAGTTAGCCACGGATCAGCATAGGAACCCTCATTGACGCAACAGCATTCCTGATAACCGCAGGTAATCCAATAGTTGTTACATAGACTCCCGTTCCGTGCTTTTCTGTGTTCTTCAGAGATAATGAGATCTCCTTGACTGTAGATTGAAGATGAAATGGGGTTCCTAATTTGTATTAACATGGCTAACCCACGTTCATCTTAAAATGCTCAAGATCATGTCAGAGCTGATTATGGATAAGATAACTATGTAACGCGGTGCTGAGCATGCGTGCTCGTAAGTCATAGCAAACAGCCTCGACGCCCGGCGTTGCAGTCTCCAGGCTGTGCGGCGTCGGCCTTGCGGCTGTAACGATAAGTGATGGGCAATGAGCAAATGCAAAGGATGACACATTTTGAGGGAGATGAGGGAAATGAGGGAGATGCACAGGGATGTCTTGAACATGTCATTCACTATTGCAAACCATAGTGAAATTGATGTCAAGAATAGAATGAGGCTGTGACATCATGTATAAATTGGATAAGCAGCTACAGATTATAACCTCCAAGTATGGACAAGTGATGCCTAAGCAGGACCTAATGACCTTACTTATAGCCTGAAAATGAGGAAGCAAAGTGTGAAGGAGTTGTGTCTGCACTCATTGTGGGTGTGTACCTAGAGGTAAAAATGCTTTCCTCCAACCATACCTAAGTTCTGGTCTCTGCATGAAATGCACATCATTCATGATGTATGTTACTTGCTCAGGTCCATAACAAGAACATGAGAGTACCAACAACCACCCCAAACATAATACAATAGTGACCATCACCATCTGAACAAACCCACAAACAGTAACAGTAAGCTGACTAGCAAATGTGCATGTGGAGTGCAATGTGCCAGACATAGGCTAAAATTTGATAGAGTTGTTTGGCATTCAAACAAATTTTCACTAAATCCATGCCAGAAGGCAGCAGAAGTCATTGATGACCAACTACACATATATTAATTTGCCAGGCACCTTTACATTACAGCCAGAGGTCCAGTCATGTGGAGACCAGGCTAGGAAATAAGTTAGCACATCATCCAAGAGTAAGTAAGTTACATTTACTTCACATATATGTCAGGTGTATATGTTCTATTGATAACATGTGCACTAGAAAGTGCTAGGCTCCCGATATTTCAATGTGAACTTTGGCTTCTCCCATGAAAACAAATTCACAGTCTGAAACATGCAGAGTAGAAGTAGGAGTCCATGAGTACCAGACACTCATGTTGGTTTCTGTTGGTATTATCAGCAATTTCATCCCGATTTATTGCATATAATAAGTTCTAACCAGCTGAGTTATTGTTCAGAAATGTTGGTATCTGCTCTAGCTATCCTGTAATCATCCCTTCACTTTCAATTTCAAATGAGGCACACTTCAATAACAAGAGTGATAAAGTGTTGGTATTACTCATTATAACATAAATGTTGTCTATCATATACTAGCAAACTAAGAAAATCCCCATCATACTAGTTCAGCAAGTTGTTCACAAGTAACCTATCAAGCAGTGGCATGGTAGGACTGTGAAATGCCAGTAACACATACAGCTGTGGAAGGCTACAACCCAGACATTTAACAAATTCTGCTCACCTTGTCCAGCTAAATAATGCAATATCAAGAAAAAATATTCATGGTGTGGGGATATTTCAAGTAAAAATATTGTAAAAATCAGCTCAGTTTACCTTAGCCTGAATTCTAGGATGTATACTACACTCATCACACAAAAGTCACATGAGCATCCAGTGACCAGTGTTGGATGAATTTTGCAGACTGCCAAAACCACACTAACCTGTACACACAACTACTCTAAAATATATTCCCAAGCACATTTACACAACAAGCACATGCATAGGCACACCAACCCCCACAGAGTGTAGGTATACATTGGTACCTAACATCATAAAAAATCACTGTACACCAATTGTCATGTTTAAGGCAGAACATACCATAAATAATCTTAAAACAGGTAAATTCATGCTCCCGCCTTCAAATTTTAATAACTACGATAGTGAGCTACTGTGCCGCACACACTCCACCACCTTGACTCCCAAGCACAGTTTCTGTGTAATCATCACATAATTACAATATTTCTGCTTATCAAGAACCATAAAAAATGTATGGGACCAAGGTAACACTAATAATCCAATGAAAAATGCTTCTTATTGTATCTATGTACATTTATGAAATGGACAGGCCATTCAGAACATAGCCTAAACTAGCCTAACCTAACCTTACCTAACCTAACCTAATGTAACCTAACCTAGCCTAACTTTCCCTCACCTAACCTAACCTAACCTAACCTAACCTAACCTGATCTAACTTAACCTAACCTAACCCCCACCCTATCCCCTTCAACCCAGTGTCCCATTGGCATCCATGTTCCATGCCATATATATGCTCCATATCAAGAAGCTTCATTTAGCCGCCATATTCTAAATTTGCTTTTCATTCCCACTCAAAAATGTCATGTTTCCCCACCATTTCAACCAATCTAGAAACAATACAGAAGACTGCTTGGATATGCAAGGAACACATTTCATTGGATTCTTGTTACCTTGGCCTCATAATTTTTAAGGCTCTTGATTCACGCAGTTACGTTGTGATCACCGGTAGAAATGGCGCCGGGTCATGGTTGCTGCATGTTTACGCTCAGATGTTCGCTACCACAGTTATTTAAGTTCCAAGGTAAGAGTTTAGATGACCTATTTTACAATTAATTGATATGTTCTGCCTTAAAAATGACCATTGATGTACAATGCTCTTTCTTAACATGAGGTAGCAATGAATACCCTGACCTCACAGCATTAGTTCACATGTACTGAAATTTGCGGTGACAACACACCATGAGCAAACAGAATAGCAGCGTGCATGCACCAACAGGTCTGCAGCTGCATTAGTGCTTCGCTGGAAAGGTTTAAGGTAATGTAAATGTTTTGCTGTCTGGTTATGGCTGGCTAAGAAAACGACATGAAAGGAGGGAAATGGGGGGGGGGATGAAGAACGAAAATGGCTCAAAATGTCAAATTAAGCCTAAAAACGAGGTTTTCACCGATCCACGAAATTTCAATCAGCTGACTGCTCGGTTGGTTCAATTTAACCACCCTTCCAATAAACATTAAGGCCGGAGCCCCTTCAACTGCATACGGAGCGACACCCGTAAGGTCTAGCATTCAGGCTATAAGAGTACACCCAATATCATATGCTCAGCGTACCTGGGACTACTCTGACAGCGGTCACTGGCGAAGGTGATATTTAGCCACAGCCGACAATATTTTGGGACGCAAACTGTGTGCGTGAATGTGGCGCGGATGATCATTACGACTTACGTTGACGACGGACAAACCAGCTGATGATGACGTAACGACTGGACCTAGCAAAATATATCGGGTATAAAATTATTATCAAATCGGCTCATCTCTGTGGTCATGGGTACAAAAACAGCGTAGTCTCGTATGCATTTCTGACCGAGGGAATATATGGACACCTTTTCTAGGTAATATCAAAATTGACAACATAGACTGCCTTTTGCCAAAACACAGCAGGTTAAACCCGCGGGGGGAAGGGGAATTCCCCGGGCACTCGGCTCACCCTCCAACATTTAAAGAATTGACACCCCTAATTCGCAAATCCTCTCCAAGGAACACAGATGGAGGGTGGATCATGTAACATGAAAACCGAAATCAGGCAAGTGTGCAGCACCGGCAGCTCATAGCCGTACAGCATCACCATGAACTGCACCCCTCATAATTTTCTCTCGTTACCACAAACATTTATTCCCACTCCGCCGTATTTCACCTCTCATGCCATGGACAGATAGCTGCTCTTAGCAACAAGCTGTCAGAGGGAGCTTTGAAAAAAGCTATGTCGGCCAATTAGCGACCTAAAATGCCGCCCAATAGTACACCCACAATGACATCGTGTGCACATGGTCGCACTCGCTGCGCACGACTAAAGGTACTTTCAAATTAGGCAACAATATTTTGCAAATCCCAAAAAAAGTTCGTCCGGGTGGCTCAGTTGATTAGAGCGCCTGCCTCCTGATCCACCTTTCGTGGCACGGTGGGTTCAAGTCGCTTTAGGGCTCTCGCTATTTGCCCTTGCCAGGTATGGCCTGCGGCCGGTGGCAGCGGTCGCTCTAAAGGTCAGTTGACGTCAGAGGGCAGGAGGGACCGTGCCGAGCATTGCGGCATGTCAAGCTTTCGCCACTAAATTCTGCCCTCGCCTGGAATTGCGCGATCGGATTGTGGGGGCCAGGGCTCACACAAGCACTGCTTAGCGTGAGCACTGATCCCAGAACCCATTTACTGATCTTCATTCACTGATCACTGATCCCATCCTTTCAAAAGGTTCGGATCAAATTCATTATAAAAATTGCCGCTGGGGCCAACCTCCAAGCATTTATAATTTGTATTGGGGCTTCACGTCTCACTGACTTAATATAGGGTTTACGCCAGGCCTACTCCGAAACGGATACCTTTAACGGGTCATCATGTGGGATGCGGTGGCGCCGTGGCAGGAGTTCAGACGCAAGACGCAAAGGTCCAGAGTTGGTCGTACTCTGCCACTGCCGCCCCCACCCTCCAGCGTTGAGTAAGATACTATCATGGAGTCAAATGAATAAAAAGCAGCCCGATCAGCGTGCTTTACTGAAAGCAAGTACCGCTATACCAGCGTTATGGAATGCACTGTCGCACACATCCCGTGCCATTCCGTGCCAAGTGTTTTCTCGGGCCTCCGCATCCTTGCCATCGGGCTACCGGCAGACCGGAAAAAGTTCGCAATACGCAGTCGAGGAGAAAGTTGGGAAAAGTCTTAGAAGCCCACGACATTATGACAGTGTGATGACTACATTACCGGCCGACAGTTCTCTCACGAGTACACGTGGTTGCACCTGCTGCGCACAATTAAAAGTATCTTAAATTGAACACCGTAACTCTGTGAATCACTTCTGGGCCAGCCTGCGAGCAGTAAAAGGAACGTGTCACATTTGGAGATATTGAAGCAAGCATCAGATATGATAAAATAAGCTCACTTATAACTATTGGTATGCCTTTAAGTGGAAAAGACTACTCTAGACAACGCAGTTTCTCTATTTAGTGAATGTGCTCCTCAATACGTCATTGTTTGCGTCATCGTACGTTGCACAACATCAAATGTATTCCTTTGGATCAAATGGACTCCCTGAACAGACAAGTACTCGTCGCTGGTATCACCACACCAGTACTAGCAACCGGACACAGTTGCACGCTTGGCGAAACTTAGTTTGAATAAAAAATGCTGTGTCCGCAGATTAGCGGGCACAGCATTTATTCATAAATTCCTGTCCGACAGTGCTCCTAGGATGCCATCCTGGGAAACGATTTGTTCCCGCCGTTCACGACTAAAAATAATCTGAATTGGGTATCGTAGCTGTGCAAAGTATTTTATGTCTGCGCACTGCCATAGGATGTGTTAAGCAAAACAGGTCATATCGACTGACGAGAGATTTACATCGCACGCCGATAGTGCCCCCACAATGACAGCGTGTGCATAAGGTTATATCTACCGCTCAAAAACTAAAATCATTTAAAATGGGACGCAAAAGCCTCTGCAAATCACTACTCCGTCGAGCCCTCAAGCAATGAGTAATACGCCGTCAGCGGCTGAGCCGAATAAAATCGAAACCAAAATCCGACGGGTGTGTTGTGCTGGTAGCTGAAAGCACTGCACCAGCGCTACGAAATGCACACGGTCGCAATCTTCGCGTTTGACACCGGTGCGAAGAAGATGCTCTGGCCCTGAACGATTCCATGACCTCACTTTCATCTCCAGACCCAATATCCGAATCGAGAAGCCACTCCCACCTGGTCTGTTTAGCCTTGGACGAGCTCCGACTAGTGAGTGATCAGGGCATTGGTGTTACGTGCGTAGACAATGGCAGAGTAGATGGGATGCCACGAGTAGCTCTGTCATGAAGCTGAAGCGCCTAACATGTGAGTAGTGGGCATCACGCCGTGAGAACATGTGGGAGGGGCCTCTCTTCATAGTTTCAGGCTGGGCCACACACGCACAACCCACTCGTTTCTCCTGGCTGGCCAGCGTGCCCCGGCGTGTGTCAGGAGCGGTGAACGGCTCACAATCGAGCACGATCGGTCTCTTGCCGTCAATACGGTACAGTGAAAGGGGCATGCTTCCCGGCGGCGACTTTTGTGTAGCTGGTTGGGGAACTCCATGTTAAGATGTGGAACGACCCTTCACATTTTTCTAGCCAGCATTGACTTCGGCGTGATTTACATGACATTCAGGCCAGGTATCATTGTCCACATAACTCCACACATATGGAGCTGTATTCGGGCACAGAGGCGTTCAATTTTTACACGCGAGCCACTTCACTCTCCATAAAAACACCTCGTTTACTGACTACCGAAACAAATCACTGGTGCTGCCAGCCCGCGCGCAATGAGTGATGCGCTGCCACGGTGTCAACCCACTAGAATGAGAAGCTTTCGGCCGTCAGCGATGTTACGGTGCCAGCTACAAGCGTAATAGAAGCACTTTAAAATGCGCCCGGCCTTTCCTTCCGCCCGTTCGTGATGTCACTGTTTTTTCAGAGGCTGCCGTTCGTTTGCCACCATGCTCACGGCCGGCACAATGCATTCGATAACGCTCTGTCAGCGTGCCGTATAAACAAAATAGGTGCCACAGATAGACTGCTTGTTCGGACTGTCGTTTTCATCTGGTGTGTTAGCATGCACACAACGTTTCGGCCACCTAACTCTACGGCTGTCGTCAGAGGTCAGGGAGTCAACAGAAGGACCGGATGTTTGGCTTTCAGCCAAGTACGTGTCACCGTGACACGTACCTTAGCTTGCAGCCAGAGTTCTGTCTGAATAGCTATTCCCGGATTTCTCAGATTCCAAGCAGGGTGTTCCGATTGTAAGTCTGGTGTCCAACCAACTGCGCTAACCGGGATGAATAGTTCCGGACCGTGCACCCAGACCAGTCTAGACAGGACAGGCAGAACAGGAGGGAAGCCATCCACGGTTAGTTGGTAAAACACTGGGCTGACAATCAGAAGGCCCTGGCTCGAATCAAATCAGTCCCAGAAAGAGAATTCGAGCATCATCTCGTCCTTCTAAGGGCTCCATAACACATGATGACGGCTGGAGATTTCTTTGGCCGAAACCTTTGTACACACTGATGCTCTAAACGAGGACGGTATCCCGAACAATTATTCCGCCCGGTTCACTAATATCCCGTCTTGATGCTACACAGAATTAAAAGATGTATCCGTGGTACACAGTGGTGTCTTATGGTGTCAACCAATAAACATAGCACAATGTTATCATATACACAAGGCTGTACCTGTAGCCCACGGAAATAATTTTATCAACTGCCGTAAATTTGCACACTCCTACACTGACCGGCGCACCAACATTGCATAATGCACTGTCAGGAAGTCAACCCAGTGAGTTGTATTCTGGCGGCTGACAACACCGTTACAACGCCAGCTGACAGCCATAGAGCAGTGCTATGAATCGCACACGATTGCACTATCGAGGCGTAATTTAAAGCATCTTTCAAAGGCTGTCGCACGGTTACCACCAAGTTCACGGCCGACCGGGCACGTTCAGTGATAAGCGCCTCAAAACTACATTGGTGTAACAATAACATGAAACAAAATAGGTGTCCTTGGCCAACGAGGTATGTTGCCAGGCGATAGGCCTCCCAGTGTTATGATGTACACACGGTCATACCCATCGCGCACAATGGCAGCAAAACTTAACACGCGCACGGGTGGCCGGTTGGATGCTCTTCGCTCGGATGGGTGTCAATTTGGCCCCCTGAGATCTCGAGAACTATGAAAGCTAGAGACACCAAACTTATAGGATGTGTTGACCCATACGTAAACTCACTTAGGTCAAGGTTTCAGCTTCCTAGGTGGTGACATTTGGGTTCAAATGAGGTCAAACAAGGTCAAATTTCAGATTGGTTTCCAAAGTGCCCACAGCACCTAGATAACCGTTGCTAAGCAAAAGGGCAAAACCTCTAAGAAGACCATGGGAGATGCATAGTGCAATTCCTGCTATCAATAAATTGGAAATTAGCACCAGAAACTACCCCAACAGCAAACCCTACAGTAATAAAACAGGACGGTTTTGACCTTGGTCTGACCTTCATACCTGACCTCAGGGCAATGTGATTTGCCCATTCAACTGTTGTGCTGCCTAAGAAAGCATCTCAGAGATGTATGACCTTGTCTTACACTCCGTTTTTGCATCAGATTGAACGATTCCCTAGAAATTGGCTTCGCTGAAACCGTGGCCTGACTTTGACCTGCCGAAGGTCAGCGACCTTACAAGGTACGCTTAACTTGTTCATGCCAAACAATCCTCTATTCCATTGTCTACAGCCACGCAAAATTTGGCGCGGGTACGCCATGCCGTTCGGAAACCGTTGCGGAAAAGCCTTCGGGGGAGGTAGTGGTCAATTTGACCGCCCCCCCCCCCCTCACCCGAGCGCAGGTTAAAATTCACACCGTAGCACGGCCCTTTTTCAAAGACTGTCGTATGTTTTCTATGACGCTTGCGACTGGCCGACCACATTCAGTAATGCGCTGAGAAGAGGCCATATGAACAAAATAGATGAGGTCAACAGACAACGAAGTTGCAATTCCAGCCAACGAATATACACACGGGCGCAGCTGCTGCGGACGACAAGAAGTAATTTTGATTGACCGCAAAACTTTGCAAACCCTTGCTTCCACCGGTCCCTCATGTAGTGGTGTGCTGTCAAGGAGTCGGGCCACTACGATAAAACCTTCGTCCAACAGCGATATTACGGTGCCCGCTGATAACGCTACGGAAGTGCAATAGAATGAACACCGTGGCACTCTCTGCGCGGGATTGTGAGCATTTTTTCAAAGGTTTCCGTATGCTGAGCTGTGCACTCCCGGCCCGCAGGCCCATGTACTGTCATCGGGTCATCTGAATGAAATAGGTGCCATCCGCCAGAAATGACCGGTGACAGCCCATGGCAATTCACAAAGTACTAGAGTATGAAATGCGTTCACCCCGTCTTGCCCTGGTCTTGCGTGACAGCGCGTTAGCTCCACAGGAGGCTACATATGTATATGGTCACACATGCAACGCACGAACGAAATAATATTATTGACTGCTGTAAAGTTGCAAATCCACTCGCAATACACAACACAATACTCACATAACCCATAGATGGTACCGTTTGCAACCAGAAAGTGTTTTAAAGCTCAAAACCTACTCAGCCGCGGCTCCCCGGGTCGGCTGCCGCCGAACGCCCAGGGCGGTGCTACGCTAGCGACCGGACGCCACCACGTTCATCGGTTTGTCATGATTCATTCCTGATCCATGCCATCCATCATTTGTCAGGACGAAAATGCGACGGCAGCGATGGCGCCATCAGAAGCGCGGTGCCGCATTATCTTGGCCGTTTCGCTGCGTCCGCCGCTCGCTAATAAAGACAAACAGCATGCATGGGAAATAAGACCACCGCCAAGGCCTAATGTGGCGTGGCCCAGCACTGTCAGTCGGGCCGCCCGAACAAGCGGTATCGGGGCGATCCACCGCCGCCGGTCGGGCCGCCCGATCAGGCGGTATCGGGGCGATCCACAGCCGCCGGTCGCGCCGCCCGATCCACCGGTGTCGGGGCGATCCAACGCCGCCGGTCGTGCCGCCCGATCCACCGGTGTCGGGGCGAACTGCTGCCATCGGTCGGGCCGCCCTGACCCCCACCCCATGATTTGAAGGAGTGGACGTGGTGATAAGCTTTGTGTTATTTCTGGCTCTGCAGCTCAAAACTAAATGTTTTAATATTTTGAGCGCCTGCAGGGACGCAGCCAAGAAAGCGGAACGGAGGACTGAGCGTCTTTCTTGGGCTGGGATTTGTTGCTGTTCGCCATCGAGGGTTCCCGACGGAAAATTAGGCATAGTAGTGCGTTCTCACCTAATTCAGAGTCCCCCTCTTAGGAAATCCTGGCTGTGCCCCTCGCGCCCCATGATATCGCTGTCGGGGTTTCATGAGTGCAGACTTCCCACTTGGCAGTAAAACAATGATGGATTGAGTGAGACAATACATCAACTGTCTTATGACCGAACGACGATAGTATTCGTGGTACGGCGCAGTGTTTCCAAACATCACGACGTTGCGCTTCTAAAAGAGGGAAGGTATTATTTGCGGTGTGTGCTTTCTTTGACCGGAGCTCGTGATGGGATATTGCAACCAGATTCTACTGATGGCACCTATATCGATATTGGTACTGAGAGAGCGAGAGCGAGAGCGAGAGCGAGAGCGAGAGCGAGAGCGAGAGCGAGAGCGAGAGCGAGAGCGAGAGCGAGAGCGAGAGCGAGAGCGAGAGCGAGAGCGAGAGCGAGAGCGAGAGCGAGAGCGAGAGCGAGAGAGAGAGAGAGAGAGAGAGAGAGAGGAGAGAGAGAGAGAGAGAGAGAGAGAGAGAGAGAGAGAGAGACTTTATCAAGAAAAAACATAGTTTCGGGTATCAACTCATATAACACGTTTGAATAACATCGTCGACAAAATTTCACGAGTATCGTACAGATAAACAAATTGAGAAGTAATAAACTGCTTAATTGATAAAATGACAGTGTTAATGCTACTTGTTATATGCGGAATATTTGAAGTATGTGCACGCGCGTCACAACAAAACTTTTCTAATGTGCTTGTACTCCGGGTATTTTTAACGGATATCGTCACTCGTTGCTTTGGAAGCGGATCTTTATGCATGGGAGACACCAGCATCCACGCCAAAAAGACGAGCGTCCACGAGCGATTTACACCCTGGCAGTGCCCACACCACACAGTTTGCATCCTAGCCGCATCCACGGCACACGGTTTGCACCCACGCTAGCACGCCAAATAACGAGCTCTGGGGTCAGATTGGCATGTGAAAAGGACGGGGTCAGCAGACGACTCCGTGCCGCATACCATCGAGTCAGGGCCAGCTTTCCATGTGGCCTCTACGCGCCAGCACTGGTGCCTCCGGTGACCACGCTCCCCGCGCGCTCATACAGCAACCTCATGCCCGAGTTGAGGCAGCACTGGCGCCTCCGGTGACCACGCTCCCCGCGCGCTCATACAGCAACCTCATGCCCGAGCTGAGGCAGCACTGGCGCCTCCGGTGGCCACGCTCCCCACGCGCTTATACAGCAGCCTCATGCCCGAGCTGGGGCAGCACTGGCGCCTCCGGTGGCCACGCTCCCCGCGCGCTCATACAGCAACCTCATGCCCGAGCTGAGGCAGCACTGGCGCCTCCGGTGGCCACGCTCCTCGCCCACTCGCACAGCAGCCTTAAGGCCGAGCTGAGGCGGCTGCCCGTCAGCCAGCAGCTCGAACCATTTAATGAGACTAAATCAAATCTCGCTGGCTGATGCACGTCTGGCAATCCAGGGTCTGTCACCACAAGGTAACCTTTGCAATACTTTGTCAAACTTGTCAGTCTCGAGACTGGCAAGAGCGTATATTAAACATCTGCGAAATTAATCATCGCTGCGAATGCTCAGGTTTTTAACGCAAGACACACTTGGAGCATGTTTTGTATTAATATCTTATTTACGCTCAGATAAGGGATGTGATGTAATTTTTCTTTCAACCAGTCAGTCGTTCTGCATTCATCGTTTTTATTTATCAATTAAATAACGGTAAGGGAGCATCGAGATGGACTAGTGCGATGGTCTCAAAATTAGTCGATCATGATTCCTGAAAGTCCGTGCTTGCTACGCACTGCAGCTTTATGTACCGACACGACCAAAATGAATAACGTTTTACATGCTAAAGAAGAACAAAAAAAACAAAACAAACAAACAGCGGACGACTAAGTGGACGGTTCACAATTTCCAAAATCTAAATAAACATGTCCTTTGCCAAGGACGGCCTTGAATGGCGCACGTACGGCGTGCGTTCTGACTTCTCGGTTATATCGCGGAGAGAAAAGAGAAGGTGCCAGCTAATCAGCTCCCGCGGCGAAGTAAGTTTCCAGCTCCTCGGACGAAGTCACGTCAAACTGAAGCGACGCCCAAACCTGGAGACGGACACAGCCACGTGGTCAGCCTCTTAATCAGTCGATTAACCGAGTGCATGAACATGCCAACCATCAAGGCGCAAAATGGAAGAAGTTACGCAACTCGCTTAAGTACGCACGAAACGGATCTGCAAAAATAGATAATATCTTCAAATCACTTCAATTTTTTTTAGCTTTCTGAGAACCAGCACCATACGAAGTTTTGTTGTCGGTGGACATTTAGTTACACATGCAATGTCTGCTAGTTGAAAGAAAAACGCAAAGTACATGCTGTAAGATAGCAACCAAGCTGTGCGCGATATAAATCTAAGGCAGGTCGGCGCTTCTCTTCTAATTTTCAGAGCGTATTGGGGCTCCGTGACTAGATTTATAATCTCCAAGTGACCAAATTTAACCGACCAAAGGCGTCAAAGTCCTCTTGGCAGCAAGTTCGCGCGCGCGCGTGTGTGTGTGTGTGTGTGTGTGTGTGTGTGTGTGTGTGTGTGTGTGTGTGTGTGTGTGTGTGTGTGTGTGTGTGTGCGCGCGCGCTAGCAGACCCACACGCATGCACACGCAGGCGCGGGTGCACACACGCACACACACGCACGTACGCTTGCCCAGCTGTATCCTTGTCATACCGTGATGCAAACATTTACAATACAATTGCAAATAACGGCAGCCAGCCATCGTCGTGGGCGCTACATGTGAACCATGACCTGATGGGAAGAGTGTGGCAAGGTTTGGTCACTGGTCCCGACATGCTCGTCCCGTGTCGGGGTTCACTCCCCGTGTCGCGGAGCTCCCGTCAGCTGACCTTACTGTCCGACTGGTCGGGGAATGGGGTGGAAGAGGCGCGCTCGGTCAGCTGGGAGTCGGTGGCGCGCACCGACGGCCGGCTCTGCCCTTCTCCCGCCTCGGTCAGCTGGGAGTCGGTGGAGCGCACCGACGGCCGGCTCTGCCCTTCTCCCGCCTCGGTCAGCTGGGAGTCGGTGGCGCGCACCGACGGCCGGCTCTGCCCTTCTCCCGCCTCGGTCAGCTGGGAGTCGGTGGCGCGCACCGACGGCCGGCTCTGCTCTCCTCCCGCCTCGACCATCTGGAAGTCGGTGGCGCCGACCGACTGCCCGCTGCGTTTTCCTTCCGGCTTGTACAGCACGCCACCGTTCGTGATGCCAACAGTCTTCACCGGCCGCTCGTTGTTGGTTTCCACCATCTCCAGGTAATCCAGCACGGCTGATCCCTCCACCAGCTGGCTGGTGGGGCGCGCACGCGCTCCGTCAGAGCACGGGTGGCGGTGAGCGGCGTCACAGTCATCAAAACAGCGCTGGACAGCCGGCGTCGGACAGGCGCAGTCGGTGACGGCATGCTATCGAGGGACAGGGTCTGGTTTGCGTTATCACAGTCGACGACGGACAGCTGCGCGCATTGTTTTACGTAGAGTCTTCCTTCCCTAACGCATCGTCAGAGTGGGCATTCCCATCACGGAGCGGTTCAAAAAGTCATCGGCGACACCAACACTGGTCCGCCATCGCGGCGACCCCGCTCACCCGAAGGCGCAGCTCATGTACTGCATGTAGGTCATGGGCTGGAAGGCCACCATGAACTGCGACGCGTTGTGGTTGCGCTCGTCCTGCACCATGGCGAGTCTGCCACGCCTATCGTGCGGCACGGCGTAACACTCGTCGGCGAACCGTCGGCCAAAGACGCTCTCGCCGTGCGCGCCACACCCGTCCACGATGTCTGCCGGGCGGGGTCAGACGGGGGCGCTCGCCACAGGCGTCGGACACGACCGCTTCAGGCGCAGCGAGGGAAGGGGGCAGGCACACAGCACAGGTAGACTCGCGCCTGACGCACACCACCGCCAGCCGCAGTCCCCCTGACCCTCTGACACCCACCACGGGCTACAGTCCCTCTGACACTCAATACAGGCTGCAGTCCTTCTGACACCCACTACCGGCCACAGTCCCCCTGATATCCAACACCGACCACAGCCCCCCTGGCACCCATTGCCGGCCACAGTCTGACAATCACTATCGGCCATGATCTCTCTGGCATACATTACCGGCCTCAGTCCCCCTGGCTCCCATTACCAACCGCAGTCGCTCTGACACCCACCGCCCGCCTGGAGCCAGCCGCCGCGGACGATCCTGTGGACGGGCGTGCCGGCGTACCAAAGCACGGTGCCGGCGACGCTCAAGCCCAGCTGGCCGCCACACAGCTGCCGGAAGTTCTCGCACGTCCTCGGCAGCAGCTCGTCGTACAGCTCAAACACGAGCCGCCCCAGCATCTGGCCGTCGTGTGAGAAGTCCAGGTACACCATGCTGTGCTGCAACACATACACTCATGGAGGGCAAGGCATGCTACGATGTGTTTCAGCACGTGGCGGCAGGAGCATAGAACACTTTTCCATGCGCTGGGGCTTCGCACTTCACTAACAGGATGACAACTCATGTCTCGCGTGGGAATGTCTCGCTAGCTAGTTGCCATTTACGATGACTGACGATAGTGCAAGTTTACCGCCGCGCTGAAGTCAACCCATTTATGTCCAGCAGCCACATTTAGCACTGTATGCTCCACGTCTTTTGGATGTGACTATTTCCATTGAAAACACCATCTCGTATGGATGGTTGTTGCCGAGCCGCCAGCTGGTACCACACCTGCCTCGTGACGAGCATTTCCTGGTAGATATTGCCTCTCTGCTCCAGGTCGTCCAGATCGAAGGTGACATTGAACGTCTCCGTGATCCAGTCCAGCGCCTGCTCAGGGCCGCCGACATACTGTGTGTCGCAGAACAGCACGGCCAAGGTGTCCAGACACCAGAGCTCACCGCCCTGCAGCATCTGGCAAAAGGAAGGCATGGTGAGGCTACACAACTTGCACCACATGCTGAGTGGGAGGCATGATAAGCGGGCACAGCCCGCTGCAGAATCAGCTGTCTGCTTATTTGTCGAAGCATGTAACCGCAATAGTCGCCACAGCACTGAAGTGACCTCGCCAACCGTGGTGAAAATCGTGGCCAGCGCAGGATTACTGAGGTAAGAATCGAACCGCAGCCTTTCGATCCGGGCCAAGCGCTTTTCCTTCATCCCTCAGGCCGGTTGCCCTCCCTGCACATCGGATAAGACACGGCGGGACGTGTTCAGTCCCTGACCGACACGGACTCATTGGCGCCAGGGGGCAAGGAAGTGGGCCTGCGGGCCACTCTACCGCAGAGCTGAGCTGTGCGTAATCGCTGGTGGGTCCGGGCAACATGCGCATGCTCGCACTCATGAGGGTCCTTTGTGCGACTCGACCTATGCTGAAGGTGAAGTGACCACCCGACGGGGCACTAAGCAGCCAAGTGATTTTGCGATATCACCCAGGATCTCCCAGGAAACTGGAAAGAGTGCTGGAGAGATACTCCGGAACTTGGTGTGGTACTCACATTTTGTTCCGATTTTTAGCCTACTTCTGTTGTTCCTCGCATTCAACACAGAGGGCGGGGGGGGGGGGGGGGAGGGCACCAGTAGTGACCACAGTACCGCCCACACGATCACACACCACCAGCACCTGACCTTCCTGAGGTTGTCCACGAAGGTGGTCCACTCGGCCTCGTGCTGAGGGAAGATCTCAGGCGCCCGCAGGAAGAAGGCGGGCCGCTGCTGGTACAGCAGCTGCACACAGTTGACCAGCTGCTGCAGGTCCTCCGAGTTCGCATCGCCGTACACCTGCAGGTGAACGGGCACGAAGCTCTGCGGCGGCGGCCCGCTGGCTGGCTCCGACTCAACGCTCTCCGCCTCAGCCTCCTCGAACATGGCGGCGACTCGACCGACCTCGGCACCACGGCCAGACGGTGCGGTGCAACGCCCCCAGAGATCTGTGTCACCACGGCCGGCGGTGGTAGGTCTCTCGAACGTGGATGGCGCCGGCTCTCGTAGATTGAAATTTGGGGCTCACAAACCAGAGCGATGAAAAAGGTGTATAATTACGTGAAAAAATACGAGTTGACAGGCAAGCAATAGATTACACTGCGGTGCAAATAAGCGGAGGTATTCCGTCCACAGCCGGGGGAAATGATAAAGCCTTCTTCGACAAAGATGCATATACTATGTGTTTTGAGAAACTTCATTCCATATTTTCTAAGGCTGTTAAAACTAAGTAAAACCAACACTTCCACGGGATTCGTGTTTCCGAGATCCCCACGGAAAATTATCACATGGATTCTCGACGCCATCGGTCTTCCGGACACAGCGGTAATAAGCCCTTAGGCGCACTGAAGGTCTGCAGCCACCGTTGTATGCATGTCACTTTACCCCATTCATTTCTTAGACTCGGATCGCTGCACTTCCACCACCAAATCGACAAAAAGCAGGGCTCATTATGCATAATGTTTATTTTTCCATTGTGCCGGCCTGATAGACGAAGTTGGATTCTGCGGCCACTCTGAAAGACATGTCCGCGGACACAGCGCCATCTTGGAGAGAGCGACCCGGCTGCGTCATCACGAGGTCACCAGATGCAACTGACGTCACGCACACACTGGCAGTAGTTACGACTACTAAAACACTGAGACTGGCCTCCCGGCACTAGGCTTAAAACAGTAACGGGACGGGCGCCAACCGCCGTCACGCCCGCCCTCACCTGACCCCGACACGGGTATTGTCGACTGGACGCGAGCGCGCGCGCGCGCACGCACGCAGGACACACACGCACGCACACGGACCGACGACAGCGACAGACAGACAAACGGACAAACAGACGAGGACATGGCGCCCAGCCTCGCCCCGGCGCCCCGCCGGGCTTGCACGCGACAGCTACTAAAAAGAACATCACAGACAAAAATATAAAGTACAAAGAGGCGTGTGGCACGGCGCCGGCGTCGGCGCGCCGGGCGGCCCGTCTGCTGGGCGGAGATTCTGGCCCCGCCACCGGGGGGCACGCCTGATTGTGTGGAGAGACTACCGCAGGATATACACAGGGCCGGGCGGAGGCGCGGCGCGCCGTCCGACACTGCGGCACGGCTGACAGCCTGGTTAAAACAACACTCGACCGCGAACGGTGCCGCCGGCCGGCCAATCACGTGGTGTACCGCATGACGGCCCGCAGCGCGTACAGCAGCTCCGACTGCAGCCGAGCCTCCAGACACAGGATCGCCACGTGCACCTGGCGGGCGGGGCAGCGCAGCGTCAGCGCACGGCGCGGGACCGGCTTACCGCGGAGCGGGCCCGCCGGCTGGCGGCGTACCGCTACTCGGCAGCCAGGGCGACCCCACGGTCACCGGGGCACGGAGGGCACGGGACGAAGACAGCCAGCGACACTGCGAGACACCATCAGTCAACGCACGACACCCTGGAAACGCTGGCACTGCACTCTCCAAGCGCACTGCGACAACCCATCAAACGCTACTCGGCACGATTACAGCCGTGCACAGCACACACACTCTGGTGCGGTACCAATGCCCTGACACCGCCGCCCCACCGGCCTAGCTGTTGCAGCGCCGACGCACCTTCTCCGAGCGCTGGAAACCTTCCATGACATGCTTCAGCCGCTCGTTGGACGGCTCCAGCCGCTCCGGGTACACGCAGGCCGTCTTGACGAACGACTTGAGGCGGCGATCCAGCAGCTGGTTTACCACCGCGTAGTCGTAGTCGTCGTGCCTGCGCGGCGTCCAAGCGGCGGTCAGGCAGGGAACAGGCGGAGGTCACACGGAGGTCAGACAGGGGTCAGGCCGATGCCAGAGGGCAATCATGCAGAGGCCAGACGGATGTCAGGCGGAAGTCAGACAGAGGTCGTGCGGTGGTCAGACAGAGGTCAGGCGGAGGTCAGACGGAGGTCCCGCGGCGGCGGCGGCCAACAGACAGGTCAGCTGTCGCACCCGCCAGCTGGGAAGACTGGGATGAACCCAGGCGAGAGAGATACCGCTGGAGTAGTGATGTCATTTTGGGGCCAAATGTTTGGTGAATCGAAAACCGATGTAGGCAAGTTTAGTTTTGGTCGGTCATTGGTTAAATTTTCGTTACTTGACCCGTAAATCAATTATCAGCTACAACACTTTAAAAAAATAATTAGCACATATTATCTCAGCCGAAATAATGTCGACGAAAAACAATTTCAGATGAGGGCAGCAACACCACCAACGGGCATGGCATTATGTGAGAGATGAATAAGACCAAACATATCACAGAGGTTCCTCACCTCTGGTCCCAAGCAAATGGTTATTGCTGAACATTGCTTCACAGAATCAAATCTGGGAGCAGTCAGTACCATTTGGAAATTGCATGCAACACTCTGAACTGCAATGAACGAAATAATGAATCAACAGACAAACGAAGAGAGTCAACAGTACACCGTCCAGCTTTCATGAGAACAGCTTCAGGTCCCACATATACCCTACAGATGGCGCGGCAGACACCGGATGAGGGGTCCGGCACACGGAACCCTATTGCCTCACCTGATGCCGTATAGACACTGGATGTAGCGCCAGACGGCCCTCCGGAAGAGCCGGGTGTCCACGGACCGAAACGAGCCCATCGTCTGGTAGGTGAGGTGGAAGGCGATGCGGAACTTGTCATCCAGCAGCACTCCTACGTCCGAGTACAACCGGTTCACCAGCGAGAAGCCGTGGTCCTCCCAGTTGTAGTCCTGCGGGACGCGGTCGCAGCGTGACACAGAGACACCGCAGACACCGCGGACCGACACACGGCCCCGGACCGGCGTCAGCAGAGGGCGTCGGTCCGGGCCACGGCCCACGCCCGTCAGCTGACAAAACGACACGTCTGAGCCCGAACTGGATCTGTTCAGACCGCCCGGCAAGCCGCTGCAGGCAGGCGTCATCAGTCCCCGCAGCGCCCTATTGGTTCCGTCGTTCGTCCGCCCGTCCGGCGGCCGTGAACCTCACCTGCACCCTGAACGTGGAGACGGTGTGCGGCTCGCCGCGCCTGCTGAAGTCCTCGTACGCGAACTCGGCGTCCTCGACGAACCGCGCCAGCTGGTCGGGCGCTGGCTGCTGGCTGGGCTGCTCCGCCTCCACAGCGCCGCTGTCCACCGCCGCGTAGATCTCGTTCTTCTCCTCGACCGTCAGCTGGTCGGCGGCCCGCAGCTGCTGCTCGCTCAGCGTGCGCATCTTCTGCATGAGCTGCTGCACTGGCGCGCCATCTGACGGCGAGCCGGCGCACTGCTGGGGCTCCTTGGCGCCACTAGGTGTCGACGCGTCTGCGGGACGGCCGGGCGTCAGCGGGGCGGCCGGCACCGAGCCGCCAGCAGCAGCCGCGGGGGGCCCGGCGGTCCGGGGTGACCTCTGTCAGGGCTGGGAGCGGGCTCAGCGCCCGGCAGCCAGCTCGCAGCGGGCCCGGGCGGCCCGGCCGCCACACGGTGCGGGCCCACCGCCGTGTTTACCGTGGCGACACAGTCAGACGGCTCGACACGTTCAAGACCTCGCGCGTCAACACAGGCCCCGCCGAGGGCGAGGGCGAGGGCGAGGGCGAGGGCGGGGGCGGGGGCGGGGGCGGGGGCGGGGGCGGGGGCGAGGGCGAGGGCGCGAGCGGGGGCGGTGGATACGTGCAATCAAGGTGGCTTCTCTGGGGCCAACCGGCAACGGCAACCGACGGCACAGTCATTACTAATGATGCAATTATTGCATCACACTCGAATGACACACTGACGTTTTCCACTTTTTCTCGGTCATGTCAGGTCACGCTGAGCACTAAGGTTCGCACAGTCATTCTTTGATAAGTGTCTGTTCTTACTGTTCAGCGGATCGTTAATGGTAGTTAAAAAGAAAAGTATGTAATAAGATGGCCACTATCTTGATGGGTCCATGCCCCTTCTTAGGCGAAACGGGGCCAACGGGAAGCATTGACGTTTAATATTAGACAGATCCGATACCTTTTTTAACCCAGTCAGATTCTGGATACGACCGCGCCGTATTTGGTACGCAGCCGGCTCGCTGCCTGACCGGTACAATCGTGGCTGATGCTCATTACGAGACCAGCTGACGAGGGGTTGCCTACCCCACTAGCCCCGCCCCCGGCGATAGCACCTCCCGCCCGGCGAGGAGCAGCGCAGGGGCGTGGGTGCAGAGCGGCGGGGCCTGTTTCGGCCGGGGCGGCTGTGCTCGGTACCGGCTCTGATGTCCGGCAAACGTGACACCCGCGTCCGTCGACAGCAGCGCCGTGCAGCCGCCGGTCAGCAGCACCCCTGCACGTCCCGACGCCAGACGCCCGCTGCCTGCCGTGGTCGCGGCGCGCCCTCGGTCATGCGGCCCGGGGCGTGATCCTGCGCGCCCCCGGCCCAGGCACGCGCCGGGCAAACAGCCACCGCCACCTGCCGGCCTCGCGCTGCCCGGTCACGACGCCGTATCGGCTACCGACAGCTGTTCCAACAGGCGCAATTACTTCAGCTACGCGGCGAGTCAACACTCGGAGGCCGCTGCCGTGTTGACCCTCTCCTCAACCACATCGTCTCGACTCGCGCGTGGGAACACGTCAAGGGCCCACCACTTCCCGGCGCAGCAGCCGCCCGCCCGCGCGCCATCCTGCGGGCCGCTCGGGCGACGGCGTGCACCTCCGCGTGCGGTCCGAGCCGGCTGTCCCTCCGGCGGTCAGCGGGGTGGCGGGCTGACCCCACCGCCGGGCCGCCGGCGCGTGCGGCACCTGGCCGGCGCGGCCTTGAGGCGGCGGCAAGGTCGGCCGCTGGGCCCAGAGGTCGCCAACCGCATCGGACGTACGTCTGTGCGTGAGGGGCTGGTGCGGCCGCGGCCCGCACCGGGGTCCGCGACAGCGCGGCGGGGGCGGGCCGTGACAGCGGCGACTGTCAGCCGCTCGACCGCCGGTCACCGCGGTCCACTTGGCGGCGGCGCCGGCGGCGCTCCCTCCGACATACCGGTGACACCTGACAGCGACGGCGACAGCGAAGCCGGCGCCAAATGGCCAGTCGAGGGCTCGCAGGGCAAGCTCGACGACTCGGCTTGAGTTTTTGTAGCTGACGCATTCCTGGCATCGGACGCCAAATGTCGTACTCACTCTGATGCGCCGAGTAACGACTTCATAACGCCAGCAGCCATCCCAGTTTTCTAGCATCGCGTTGGACCCCACCGTTTGCGCCCCGGGGTCAGTCTCCGTCAAACATTCGCCGCTGGGCCCTGCCACGTCACCGGAGGCTCTCATCAGCCGCCGGAGGAGCGGCGTCGGGACGGGCCGGCCGCGGCCGCCCGCTGCGGGGACGGCAGGCGGACGGCGCGCGGAGATGGCTCCCCGGCCAGACGCCAGGCGCGGCCGTAACTCAGCCGTCGGCGGCACAGGCAGCGCAACATGCGACGTCAGGCGCCGGCGGGGGCGGCCTGAGCCACCACCGTCGGCATTTCCGACACGCGACCCGCGGGCGGGCGGGCGCCGAGCGCGGCCCGCGCAGGGGCCCCCCTAGTGGAGACACCACGCTACAGGACGGAGCGCCCAGCTGGAGAAGACCAGACATCGACGCACGGAAGAGGGTAACTGGCCGGGACAGCCCAGATACACGAACTGGGACAAGGAGCCAAAGAGACGTTGCAACACGACATAGGACACAACTTATGGAGCGGAAATATCTGTCCGCAAAAGCAGACGAAGGCCGATTACGAGGAGACGCTGAGCTGACCGGGACCGGACCGACGGGAGAGGCGGGACCGACGGATTCAGAGCACTCACGCCGGACTGGGACGATGGTCGGTCTGGCGAGGCATCGCCAGTAAGGAGTAGGCCTGGAGGCGGCAGGAGCGGACACCCAGCCGGCGCCACGGGCGGCGCTGACCGCGACTGAGGAACGGGCCTGAAGGCGGCAGGAGCGGACACCCAGCCGGCGCCGACCGCGCCACGGCCGGCCACTCACCGGACGGTTCGGTGCTGTCGGGCTGATCGACGCCTAGCGCGTGGCACCCGCGCACGAACGAGCAGACGGCGTGGTAGTGGGCGAGCACGGTGAGCGCCTGCAGCAGCTCGCCCAGGCTCCAATTGTCGCGACCCTTGGCCAGCCGCTGCCGAAGAACGCGCGCCGGTCAGCGGCGCGCCCATGGCCGCCAGATCGCCGCCGATACCGACCGCCAAACAGGATTGCCCACCGCTGGCGGTCAAACATCGGGCACGAAATCGTCCCGCCGCTCGTGCAAGGACAACCGCAGAGCAACACAAGGCACCCCGGTCACAGCCGAGCGGACCTTGAGCGGCCGAAAACAAACCCATGCATCAAGTGCACGGCCATACGGCGTCTAATAACGCGAGATACGGGGGAAATCGGTGGGTGCGGCAGTGAGCCAACCGGTGTCGGCGGGTCGGGCGGCGCGGCCCCAGCCGACGGCGGCGGCAACCGAGCCACCGCGCCCGGCTGGCCGCATCGGACAGCTCACATGTAAACAAGAGGCGGAGCCGGGAGAAGAGGGGGGGGGGGGGGGGGGGGCAGGCGCCCAAGGCCAGCGGTGGTCGTCGCCGGCCGCCCCACCTCGATATGTGACTTGTTGAGGAGCCACGGCCGGTGCGCCATGATCTTGTTGACCTCGTTCAGGTCGGCCAGCTTCTTGGGCACGTGCTGCAGGCCATCCAGCCAGCGCGGCTCGCCGCCGTTCGCCAGAAACTCCTCCTTGAGCTGGTCCACCAGCCAGTCACACCGGTGCCGGCCGGCCGCCTGCGGGCACCGGGGGGAGGGTCAGTCGACGGAGTGCTCACATCGCAGCCACGGAAGCGCTGATGCAAGCCCGGAGCGTCTAGCTGCAGCTGCGACTGCGTCTGAAATGTTGCAAAAGTGTAGAGTTGCCAGTTCTCTGGAATCGTGTCCAAGACAAACCATTAGCCCCGACCGGCGACACAAACCAGAGCCCTGACAACTTGGCGACTGAAGAAGTGTCCCAAAGGACCACTCATTACACAATGCGCGGCACTGTCAACGGTAAATGCTCACGCCTCTGTCCCTCCCAGTCGTCGTTCTAAGCTGCGCACGTCAAACTTGCCAATTACACCGAGCCCAGTCCATGAGCTGAGCAGCAGACATCTCTCAGGCCGAAAAGCACAGGGCAGCGAGATGGCCGGCGTTCAGAGCGCGCCCCAGTCTCCGGACAGACGACCGTCGGTACTCGAAAGCTCCCCCGCAGGTGACCAACGGTGTCAGCCGCACTCGCGCAGAGCGTCGGGCCCAAGAGATCCCTTACGGCGCGCTACGACACCAGACAGCCGTCGCGGGAGGGGGTGAGTCTTGCAGACCCCGGGACGGCCGGGCAACGAGAGAAGCGAGGAGCCGGCCGGCGCATGGCGCAGCCTGTCCCCATCCTGAGGCGGCGAGCCGGCCGCCAGAGCGGCACAGCGCCTCCATTAGCCGGATCGGCCCCAGCGTGGCCATCGTTCGTCACCGCCGCGCCGCTTGAAGCCCGCTCAAGAATGCGGCGGCCGCTGCTGACGCCGACGGCGACGGACGCCAACAAAGCCAACGGCGGCTGACGGAGCGGCGGGCCGCGCCACGGCACACGTAGCGAAAACACCGCCACCGGACCGCCCGGAACCAGCGACAGCTCGCGCCCAGGGACCCAGCGCTGACTCGGTCGGGGACGTAGCTCTGGCGGAGAGCGTCCATGCGGTACCGCGTGCACGCTCGCCCCGGACAGACAAGTGCGGCGCTCTGATCGGGCCGAGGCGGACACCGACGCCGGCCCGCGCCCAGATACGGACGCCGAACCGTTTTTGCCGGGGGCTTGGCCGGACAAAAACGATGGCGGCCGCGCCTCCGCTGCCGTCTCCGGCCGGACCTGACCCCAGCGACGACACCAGCCGACTGCAGGTCCGCCCAACCGGGAGCCGGGAGGTCGGGGCGGGCCACCCCGCCGCCGAGACGCCGCTGTCCACGTCCGGCGCCTCGCTGCGCCGCCATCTGCATAATCACATATTCACGAGCCGCCGACTAACGGATGGCGCCGGCGCCGGCGCTGGCGGACCTCCGGCCAACGGTGCAACCTGCGTCCCGCGGCGCGGCCCGTGCGCCGCGCGTGGGCCGCGCGCGCCAGCGCCGCACCTCGGCCGAGCGCGGCACAACAGGCCGCCGGCGCCGCCGCCGCCGCTCCAGCTATTTGCGCTTCCGCTGACGCCCGGGCGATGGAGCGAGCGCCTGGCAGCGGCGGCAGGACGCCCGTAACTGACCCGGCCGCGCTCCATCTCACGAGCCCGCCCGCTAATGACCTCTGGCGCAAGGTCACGCTGTCCGGTCCAGCGGCGCCCCGCCGCGCCGCATCGGCCCATCAGACGCAATCAATCGCTCATCGCGAGAAATTGCCGCCGAAAATAACGCGCCCAGCGCCGCGCCGGGGAGCGGCGGCAGGCCGTGACGTCAGCCGCATCCATGACAACGTGACGTCACGCGGCCGTGGCCAAAACAGCGGTGCCGGGTGGAGCGGGCGGCGATGCACGGCGAACGAGCTCGTCCAATGGGTGGTTGGTGTGTGAGAATAGAACATCCAGGGGTCATTGAGCCGGCGACGTGAAACAATGCCAGGTTAGGTAAACAGGGCGGAATTGCTACCGGCGGGTTGCAAGATGAGATGCGTTGTTGGCGACAGCCTCCGATCGGGAGCCGGGCGGGAGCTCATTGCCCAGAATTTGGAATTCCCGTCCAGAGTCAAAACATTAACAAGTAAGCAGCATTCGGCTTTATTCAACATGTCGCCAATCCCTGATGCAAGAGCTTCTTATTAATGCTATGACAATTTACTGGTGATTGCAAGTTATTAAAAAAAAAAAAACAGGCACGACTGATCAAGCTCAAGTCTTTTTTGGACGCGTGTATGGGATGAGCTAACACTAAGCAGTGTTTGCACGAGCCCTAATCCCACCATCTCGTCGTAAAATTCTAGTTGAACGGCATTATTTGCCGTCAAAATTGATCCTATCGCAACGTTAGGCGCAGTTCGTCCCACCCCCTGACCGCAACTGACCTCGAGCGGCGCCGGCCGCGGGCCATCCCAGCCAGGGGCCCGCTCTTTACTGGCAAATGGAAGCCCATTCCGTACTTCGAGTAAACCATGTCAGCTTCATACATGTGAGCCTCGCTTGGCCGAGGCCAGGTAAGTGTGGTAAGTCGTGGTTTGGCCGAAGCCAGGTAAGTGTGAAGTCGTGGTTAACTGCACAGCAGCCCCTAGCAACCGTGGTCGAGCTGTTGACGGCCGCGAATGTCCCACAAGCGGGCACCGCTCGACTGCATGTGGACGGCGTGATCGACGATCATGTTTTTGATCACATCAATTGTCGAAAACAATCCAATCCAACAGCATCCAAGGGCGCCGTTGCTGCGCGCTACAAGTCTCCATAAGCTTGAATCGGCCGATTTTCCTGTAAAAAAACCTGCAGAATCCGGTTTCCAAACTTCGTCCTCTAAAGCCCCAAAAAAGCCTTTGGAGGACCCGTTGCCAGGGCATTTTTATCATCACAGCGGATTAAACTGGCAGGCATTGCTATTTCAAATGTACGTTGAGTAACTATAGGCGTCCTTTACCTTCCAGAAACTAACTGGGCCTCAATTACGTTCCAGAAAGTCAAAAGGTTTCAGTTACGTTCCAGAAAACGATTGCCTTCAGCCAAATTGGTCCAAAGACCGCTAAACTGATGTACAGTGTCGTAGTCTATGCAATAGCTCATTTAGATCTAGAAAATCAGCTCTGAACCACACCCACGGGACTAAACACTACCCGTCCAGGACAGGAAGCGCGCGGGAAGAGTCCCAATGCTTCAGTGCGGTGAATTCAGGAGTTTCCTGGAAATGGAAGCCGCCTGGCCGGTCATATTTGTTGTCGTGAAAATGAATTTGGCTTGGGCATGCTGAAAATGAATTTTGACACTTTTTAAAATTCGTTCAGCTTGTGGCAACCACTTCCGAGCTGCCCGCAAGCTTTGGCAAAGGACAATGGCGGCTTAAAACGAATCCCTCCAGAGTTGTTCGAAAAGTCACTGCCGCAATTACCGTCTTTGTCCTGTCCAGAGCTGAGACTTACGGAGCAAAAATAAAAAATAAAACAACTAAATAAGAACAAAGTAATAAATTAAAAGTTAATGTGGATACAAGCAACACAAATACCATAAAAAAGTCGTAACCCGATCTGTCTCTGTCTGTCGGAGCGCTGGATCGTATACCATGCTGGTCTCAATCGTCCATCTCTACGAGTTTTTAGAGCAGGCTCCGGAAGGTGTAACCACCCCTTTTAAATAAACGAAGATCACAAAGTCCTTGGAACTATTAGGCTCTATGGATATAAACATCACGGCACATCACCTTCAAACCGCAACTTCCGGACGTTATTGACTTCGGGTTCAAATTATATGTCACCACAGATCCATAGCCACATGGTTTTCATCACCGTAAATCGTACTATCAAAATGAGATCAGGTCAGATCCTGCAGGATAGGCCTACACACATCAAAAATTAACCAGCGGCCTTGTTTACGGAGAAGAATGCGTCGTTGCCAGATAGGAACAAAACTGCTCCCAAACTAGAAACGCTAAGATGCCATAAGTGATGGGTTTTGAGACGATAAGACCAGTTAGTTCAGATAATATGAGGTGAGTCTGGTTCAAATGCGCGCTTTTCAACTCACTTAAAAAAGATAATAAGCTTCACGGATATGTCTTCCAGTAAAGAATCATTTTAAAAGAAGCCTTTTCCGTCGACTAAAAAGCAGCGCCGCTATGCTGGCAGCCGGCCCAGCAGTCACCTCGTTCTGCAACCGACGCTCCTGATCGCGGAGAGCATCAGCCGCACCGTGCGATCATCGCGTCTTTGCCCGTCCCCTCCCGGTTCCCAGGTGTTGCATGCGCGCGACGTTCGATCGCTACACCCCCGCACATCAGATATCACCGCAGTGCGCACGCGGTAGCCTGGGAGCCGACCAAACTCCCCCACTTCATCGCAGCAAGGACGGCGGCGGCCGGCCTCCGTATACAATTCTGGAAACACGTCTCGGGTGGCGCCTCGTGTCTCATGCTAGTGCTGTGCTGTGCTGTGCTGTGCTGTGCTGCGCTGAGCTGTGCTGTGCTGTGCTGTGCTGTGCTGTGCTGCGCTGTGCTGCGCTGTGCTGCGCTGTGCTGCGCTGTGTTGGTGCTGTGCTGCGCTGCACTGTGTTGGTGCTGTTCTGTGCTGCAATGCACTGTGTTGGTGCTATGCTGTGCTGCGCTGACGATGGGGTTGGCGATTTGCATTGATTTGCCTGTTGTCCTAGCTGCGTGGATCATGCACGTGATGCTTAACGAGTTTTGTTCGCGATTGTTAAGTTGCTCGACGAAGCCAGTTACATGATCGAGTTTTCGTCCAGCGTTCACAGCCGCAATCGCTTTTCCCGATTATCAATGCCTTCGCGAATGGTGTTTTAACCAGTTACGTAACAACGATCCAATACTCCTTACCAGCCCAGCGTTCCTCATTCCAGAAACACAAATGAAGGCCAGTGGCCAAGCCCCTTGACATTTGCCATCCAATATGGACGGAAGTTCGGCCAATCGCAGCGGGGCTCAAGTGGCCGGCTCCGGGTCAGCCTACGGTCGGCTCGCACCGGTGTCGGTCTATTTCAGACGCGTCCCACCACCACCGCCGACCGCCGCAGGCGCGTGAAGGCGCACCGTTGCCACGGGAGCGCTGAAGAAACTCAGCGCCACGT